ATCGTCTAGATTCATATAAGGGACTAATTATTTAAAATTTGTTATCATTGAATTGGGTAACATTCCTGCATGATTATTATTAAACGTATAACAATATGTACATTGGTACACGATATTTACAAGTTGAAAAAATTGTTCTTCTTTAAGAAAAAAATTACTCTCAATTTTCAAATACTCTTCTGGTGTTATCAATACCAGTTATGATTTCTTATTTTATTCAATTATCAAATATCGCTACATATTTCAGTGGTTTCAAATTGTAGTACGTATATACCGTGCTATATATATATATATATATATATATATATATATATATATAAAATTGATTTACTAGGTGTATTGATCTGAATGCCTTTCACTCTATGCTTTACATGAGTCATTTTAAATTGGTTTGTGTGTATTTCTCTAGAATATTCTTGTATGTGTAATTATGCCTGTAAATTCATATGGATTATTAGTGTCACATTATATCACGGCTGTTATTTTGGTATTTTATCATTGCTGTCAAAAGCTACTTAACTCACTAGTAAATTCATTTATAAACATATTTTCTTATGGTTATAATTTTAGTTATTATATAATAGTACTGATCAAAATTTTATCTTTGAAGTAATGATCTTAAGAGAAATCAGTGTTTGGGTAAATGATTATTTTTGATATGTGTGAAATATACGCGTCAGGTTATGAAAGAACATATTTCAGTGAAGAGTCTCTTTTCAACGATTTCATTTTTAATACTGAACAATCATAAATGTATACATTTTTCTAGTGTAATGATTTGATTGTAATCTACTTTGCTGTGGCTAGTAAAGGAATTTAGGATGCACGTTTCGTCCTATCTGTGACTCGTCATCTGGATGTACCTAGATTCCAGTGTGGAGGGATGTTGTTCCCACTGAGACTTGAACCCCGTACCCATCGTCTCAAACATCAAAGCGTTATCCACTAGGCCATGGATGCACGATAGCCACCTCTTGTACAACGAGTATTAGTGATTACTATTTGTTGATATACTTGTAATTCTCTATTGTTTCACTAAATCGAACGATTTAACCTCTATGAGTTCCTGTGCAGATGCCTCGATATTGCCTGAATATTAATTATGACAATTTACTTGGCACCCCTATAGGAGCACATATAGCAGTAGAGGTCACACAATTTGATCCAGTAAAACAACAGAGAATTACAAGCATATCAATAAATAGTAAGGATTCGATAGTTTAAAACGGTTTGTCAAGCATGGCAGCACAAACAGTTTCAATATATGAGCTGCCACTAAAATTTTAAAAAATTGTGATGAGTAGCGAATACGTTTGGACAAGAAGTTTCGTAACATGACGACATATTTAGAAACTGAATTGTGATCAGAAAGAGCACAGCAACAAGAAAGAATAGCAAATTGCGTAAGCATTCACTAGTGTCAAAACAGAAAATAAAAGGGGGGGGCAGAGGTGAAAACTAAAACTATAAAAGGAAGAAGGGTTGAACAATCTTCTTTCGCATACACAACAGTTCAGATTTCTCTATGTCGATGGTAAAGGCTTCGGTGATGCAGAGAATATGAAGACATACAGCCTTTGGAAGATTTCTTTTCACTTTATAGATGACTTTGGACAATGAGGTTCTTGAGATGGCATGATTCGTGTTCGCGATGTATTCAGTTAAAGCACTCCTTATGGCTCCATTGTTACCTCTTTGTAACCATACAGGATAGTGCTCTTGAACCCTTTTGAATAACAATCGTATCATCGAACAACCTATATTCTTGGCTCCACAAGATCAAGTCAATTGATATATGCACATATAAGTGGTCAGGTGCGAACGTTTTTCCCTTGAGTTGTTAGAAATCGTTGGGCTATAAGAGAATGTTCTTAGAGCTTTTGATATCCTTCTTTTTAGAGTGTCAATGACTGAATTACCTTTGATTTTAGATTCTTTTAAAGTGTCTTCTTTGACACGGTGGTAGGGTTCTCTTTGCAAGGTTTAGGCTTGATATTTTTGTCCATGAAGCGTGATGGGAATCCATTTTCAGTTAGGATGCTCTTTAGAACAGAAAGTTTTTCTCCTAACACATTGGGACTGCAAACTCGTATAATGCGAATGGCAAAAGATAAGATCAAATTTCCCTTACGACTCATAGGGACCAGCTACTTAAGTTCGTCGGTTGACTATTCCACGTTGGCTTCCTGTGAATTGACCTCTTTAACGTTCCATCAACTGTTATTGTCAGCTCTACAGAAAGCAATGGAATTTTCGACCCTAAATGTGAACCTAATCAAATCATTTTGATCATTACAGATAATAAGTGTCATCCGCGTACTTTGTGTACAGTTGAAAACCTTTAATCGTTGATTTTAAGGGTGTGTTCTGCATACTAGCCATAAAGCAGTCTGCTAGTAGTAGACATAGTAGGGATCCCAAATGTTTGCACTTGAAATGTGTATAAATTTACGATTGTACAGCTTTGAAAATGAAATCGCCGAAAACCGACTCTTCGCTGAAATGCTCGTTTTTGATATATCAGTAAATTTATATAATATATTGATATTTTCGATAGTTGTAACTAATTGGTTTAGGCAGTTGACTTTCAACTAGGCGCGTTTTTAAGGATCACTCTGACAACTGCTGAAATAACCAATCAGATCTCAATATTCCGGCGAGAAAGGTAGTTTCTCATAAAATAGAGAAGCTTAATTGGTTATCTCAACGGTAGCTAGAGTGATTTTTGAAGTCACTCTTCAAACAAGTGGATCGTGAGTTCGAACATCATTCAACCTATTGTGGTTTGAGCAGTTAGGTCGTATCATTAACTCAACCCTCACAGAATAGGTGTGACTCATCGCCTAGTGCACGAACAAATGATTTTAAATGGCAATCAGTTAGAAAGCAGCGAGCGTTCTATCAGCTTTCGTATAAACTTACTCTAGACACTTTTTTAGTTTCTGATATGTTGTTGTTGTTGTTTTCGATCCTATTCAAGAATCTTCATGACACAAATTGTTTTAATCATCGTCATACTTTAATGCAATGGTTGTAACGTAGTTATTTTATTATGTGGCAGCTTTCGGCACTGGTAAAGTGTCTGTCAAGTGTGCTGGTCAGCAACCTGTATTCTCCTACTTTATAGCTTTAAAATGATGTCATTAAAGGTTAAGGACATGAGAAGGCTCTTGGTTTTCGACTAATGTTGCCTTTATGTCGTGTCTAGTGAACCATCACGGAAGTATTGTAAAGGTTAAGTGTGAACTTTTAAGCAGAAGAGGTAAGTCAGCTACTTAAATCATAAAACTTAATTGACTAGTGTGCCTAAACAGCCGTTTGCTTGCTACATGCGATTTACACTGAAGTAGGGCTAAGTTGGAAAAAGGTAAGAAGTGACTATGCTATGAAATAAATGTGTAGCATCAATTCATAAAGTCGCTAACTGTTAACCTACTCCATGCAGAGCAGAGTAAACTTCCAGGTCAAGGTTTGCACGATAACCGAAATCAACAGTTGGGACGATGTAGGTCAATGGCGAAGATACCGTCACACTGTATATTTATCCTAAGGCTTATTTGGTATTAAACCACTCATCTTACTCCACCCCACTCTTTTGGGTGTCTACAACTTTTGATTATTTTATTTATGAAAAGTAGAAGACATGAGACGATTGTAAAGTTTTGATCATAGGTGCCTTCATAACATTACTTGCATATGGTGAAATCACTATGCGAGCAATGTTGAAGTCAGTCGAAAGGTACTGGACAAGATGGAAAATAGATTGACGAGGTGTTGAACTATGTGGAGAAATGTACACTGCGCACTCGTCGGAGTCCCGAGACGAAAGGAATCAGTGGTTGAGAACTTTAAGTGACTTGGCTGAAAATCGGTCACTATGGCGCGGATGTATTCATACCTTGACATCTTCTAAAGCTTGAATATTCATGCTAACCTTTTTCTTAAAATAGTTTTTTCTGCTTTGATATCCCTCCTTTGTTATCCCCCTGGTTCTTTGTTTACTACTGTGAAGTGTGGTAACTTGAGCGGATCCATTTGTGAACGAGTTTCTACGTTGATTTTTTAAATCTGTTTTGATGTAAGGTAGGACAACCTGGGAATTGAGACTGTCTAACGTTTTCTAGGCAAGAGTTTACGTCAAAGTAAGATGAAATAGTTACTTTTCCCATAAGATTTACAATTTCATACTGGGTGATGATTGAAGGTGTAATGAAAATTTGGATCGTGACCGGATTCGAACCAGCGACTACCGAGTTTCCGACCCGATGCTCTATCAACTGAGCTACGAGGACCAACTGCTGACCAGATTTTTATTTTACTTCAATCACCAATGGTTTTACCCAACGACTGCCATGTGAATTCTTAATGCATTACTACCGCTTGATCGTATTTACGCTGGTTGCCCATTCCAGTCAGGACTTCTCATCCCAATCCAAATCTAACCGAATTAGAAAGGGGGAGCATCATATTGATTATCATTTGACTATATGAGATAGCAGTCGTAGTTTGGCAGACTAGTATTTCAATCATCATCCAGTATCAATACTAGTCTGTGAAACCACGGCTGCTATCTCAGATAGTCAAAATGAGAATCAATATGATGCTCCCCTCCCCCTTCTAATTCAGTTAGATTTAGATTTGGATGAGAAGTCCTGACTGGAACGGGCAGCCAGTGTCAATACGATCAAGCGGTAGTAACACATCGCGAATTCACATGATAGTCGGACAAAAAACCGTAGATGATTGAAATGAAATAGAAATTTGATCAGAAGTTGGACCTCATAGCTCAGTTAGTGGAGCACCGGGCGGGTAACCCGGTGGTTGCTGGTTGGAATCTAGCCACAGTTCATATTTTCATTTCACCTTCAATCATCAGTCAGTATAAATACTAGTCTGGTAAACTATGGTTATCTTAGATAGTCAAATGATAATTTACAATTCCAGTTGATTCTTTGATATGAAAACATTTTCTCTTTTAATTTTATATTCATTTCATATAGTTTTGTTGGTGGTCTATGGCATTTGGAATTCTCTAACAATCATCTGACGACTATACCAAACGTCAATCGATTAACTAGTCAAAATTATTTTACCCAGTTATGCTTTAATATTCAACTATTTGGTATTCATTTATCTGAATGTTTATTTCTTGATGATGATATAACGACAATCAAGAATAAGGCTGAAATGATAATGAATGGACAAGACAAAAAAATGGAATCATTTGAAGTTAGTTTACTTCAATAATATTCATCTTTTTGTTTTTATTTGGCTTAATTCCACCTTTATATGGTCAATTTATCCTTGTAAACAAATGATCTAACTTGTCAAACTTTTTACTCTAAATCAAATGCGTTCCAAGAGGGAGGAGGGTGAGGTTGGATCAGATTCAAGGAATAACCTATGAATACACAACACTATCATCTATAAAACGGTTGGATGTTTGAATCATGGATACTATCTTCTGGTTGTTGAAGGAACAAAGTTGAAAAACAAACAGGATCTTCCTGCTTCACTTTTTGTCTTTATATTATTTGTATAAAGTTATGATTTTTAACCAATGGATCATGGGTTCGAATCCCTCGCCAATTTCCGAAGTTCTTTTAGCTAGGTAGTATCAGTAGTTTTCATACACAAATGTGTACAAGGTTGCTGAGTGGATTTCGACTTCATATTTTTGTAACTAGCAGTATGATATGAATGAAATCTTACCACGTGGAATAAACTTATATAGCACTATGGATCCTCTGTTTTGATAACAAGTTCGTTGACTTTTACTTTTGCCGTCTTTAACATCCCAGAGATCCAAGGGACTAGTTTTTAAAGTCACAAAGTTGTTCGTTATTTCGACTTTTGTAGCCTCCCTAACTTGTGGATCTTATACTAAGTATGTCCTAGACGATTGGATAAATGAAACTCATGTTTTCTTAAGAAGCTTACAAAAGAGAGCAGAACATCAATACACCATCATTTTACGTTGTCATGTGGTTCATTGTAACCCCAAAAAAATCATTATGAAGCATTGTCTAGATTGTCAATTCACTAATTATCGGAAAGCAGATTCGAAAGCCGCCTTATATATCGAAACCTGAGCTTTTAGATAGTAATAGTGGTAGCTTTTAAATAACAGGCGTTATCCATCACCTCCTACAAGATTCTGTATGTTATTGCTACATTTCACTATACTTTAATTTCAGAAACAGGATAATCATTTCAACGAACTGACTTCAATTACAACATGATCATGTCTTCAGTTTAATTTTGGAAAGGCATTTAACTAATCTAGAAAGATATAATTTCGAAGAGAAGATATTCTTTGTTTGTTCAGGGTGATATTAGTATGTTTGGTGTAAATGTTAGATATCTGCTCAATCTCTTCGATATATCTTCTCACTTTGAAGGTGTTCTTGAAAAGTTATCAGTGTTCATCAACACCCATATATAACTTTACGAAACAGAGATTATTGGATATAAACTACTACGGAATATTGAAGAAGGATTAACTTGATTGAATGTGTAAATGGTTTTTAGAAAATGCATGACTAATGAGCGTGATGTGTGCATACTTCATTGATGCGCCCATGTTTCTGTGGAAATAAATCTACATTCTAATACAGTTTGATGGAAAATGTTGATTGATCTGAAGAGATTTAAACATGGTGTGAAAACTTTTTATATTGAGCTGTTATCTCAGTAAACAGTATCCAAGATCCTAAGTCTACATAGTAACTTAAAGCTAGTGTATTGAGGCTAAGGTGATCATGAGATAAACTGATAATTGGAAGTTATTTGCTATTTTTCAAATTTTCAGTGTTCGAAACATTCATCTTTAAACGGACCTGAGTGTTGAAATACCTCCTAGCCACCAAAGAGACAGACAGACAGAATCAACGTAGAACCTTACTCGCAGGTGGATAGGCTCAAGTTGCCACACTTCACAGTAGTAAACAAAGAACCAGGGGGATAACAAAGGAGGGATATCAAAGCAGAAAAAACTATTTTAAGAAAAAGGTTAGCGTGAATATTCAAGCTTTAGAAGATGTCAAGGTATGAATACATCTGCGCCACAGTGACCGATTTTCAGCCAAGTCACTTAAAGTTCTCAACCACTGATTCCTTTCGTCTCGGGGACTCCGACGAGTGCGCAGTGTACATTTCTCCACATGGCTCAGACCAACAGTCAGGAACCTTATGGATTGGTACTACGTCTTGTTCTAGTCAACCCGAACCCTTTTCCATCCTATTCCAACTTCATGTCAAGGTAGGCGGCGGTTTGGCATAAGCAGTACATGTCTACTCCACTCAGCATAAAGCGTAAACAAGATTCGGATTTTCAACACTAATGTCAGTCAAGTCAGTCAGTGCTTCCATTTGACGGTTGAGAGACTGACTTGGTTGCGTGTCACGAAAATCATTTCCAACAAACTACAGACATGCATCATCAACAACTGCCACCTAGGCTCACTCGATACTGACACCGACACTGACACTGAAGATCAGACAGATGGCGAGAATAATAAGAATAACCATCAAGGAAGTCACTAAGGGCTGGCAACGAACCGACCGAGAACCCATCACGTAACGAATATGCAGAAGAAGGAAGAGGAGGTGTATTTGATCAGACACATTGAGAAGACAGTTTGGGGACATCATGCGTCAGTTCACGCCTTCTAGGGGAAACGACGAGTTGGGTGTCCGAGACGAGGGTGACTACATGGAGGGAATGGCTTAAGGAATACATGAAAGTTTCTGGCAGTCGTGGAGTCAGGTTGAAAAGACTGTAGAGAAGAGATTGAAATGGCGACGTGCTACTGCAGCCCTACGTTCCACTAGGAACCCGAAGGACAAATAATAATAATAAAAACTCCACAGCAGTTTATTGAATCTAACGATGCCTTACATTATAAACGGTCTACACGTTTATCAGCATTGAATGGGAGGATTTAACATTTCCTGTTATTGGTAGTTTTATTTACTTCATCCTTGACCTAATTGAGAACACGATAAAGGTAATGTTGGTATTTATTCGGTCGATTAATGCCGTCAGTCGGACAGAGTATCTATAATTCGGGTTTGTACTCATTTCAGACCGATATCAGTTGAAAAACCATTGAAAAGCTGTGAGCACTGGATAGCTGTTTTGTCCTAGTGTGGAGCTACTCAGGTGTATGCCCCCATGGACCCCGCTAGGGATTGAACTCAAATTCATGGTTAAGGTATTCCCCATGAAACATAGTCTTGAATTCGACCCCTGGTGGGATCGTGGGTGCGTATCCTCGATGACGATACGGCTGTCTAGTCCTCTTAGACCTTCATTAGTTCTTCAACTAATGTCAGTCTGTGATGAGTACTAACTTGAAATAAATGAAACCACCTTTAACCTCAAAATGTATTAGAGTATCTGCATACTTGATATTCGTCGCCTCTTATTAAATCTGACACTCGTCAGTTTTAGCATTCGGTTGTTAACTTGTGAGTGGCGGATTCGAGCTCTCATTATGGGTGTTTCCCAATGCCCCTACATGTACGTAAATTTGAACATGCTTACTGACTTGTATTACATAATTATTTTTTTTATGCGGAAGACTGTTTTTACAAACTAATAAATCCTGTAAAAAGAATAAACAATTTGGCTGTTACTTGTATTATCCTGTCGTTGATTGGAACGAATTGATCTATCTGTATGGGCATATGGGCTCCTTTGCAGTACCTTGATATCCCCTGTGTCTCAGTTTTATATTTGTGATGCATAGTGGCTAGTAATGGGATCTTGAGCTCGCATTTCGTCCTATTTGGGGCTCGTCAGTCGGATGTACCTGTATCTCAGTGAGCAATGCTGTCCCGCGACAACATAAAAACTATACTCATAGCACAAGAAGTGGCTGCCGTGCATTAATGGCCTAGTGGATAATGCTGTGGCGTTTAGAGCAATCAGTCTCCGGCTAGAATCCTAGTGGGAGCAACGTCGCTCACTGAACGGCAAGTACACTTAGCTGACAAGTCTTAGACAGGACGAAACCCGGGCCCCGAAGTCCACTATCGGCTATGATCCATGGATAATATAGAATACACATTTGTTCTGTTGTAATTAATTAGAAGTTACCATCCAATATAAACTCGTAAAATGCTTATCTGTAATGAAACATTCATGTATCCTATTTACACATAAGCAAAAATAGGCAGGGAAATTTTTCAAAAGAAAAGGTGGGATAAGTAAGAAACTATTGAAGGAGAAGAAACCCCTTCGTTGCCTAGGAAATAATACAAAGGTTACGTCAACTAAAGTTTGTATATATGAATGTAACATTCTTACAGTGTATGTCTGATTGATAACCGAAATCTTTCACAATATTCTTCAAATATGTATGCATATATCAAGTGTTTGAATAGCTAGAAAGTAGATCAACTTGTATTTTTAGTTGTATTCAATGCGGTATCTTGTTGAAGGCTACCAGTATTACTATTATTGCTGGTACTTGTTTGTTGTCTAGTTTTTTGAGCTAGTAATCTTATTGAATTATTATACTGATCATTAAAAGTAGAATTAAGTGATTTTTGTTCACCTGTTTTCAATGTTGACTGTGGTGGAATCTTTGCACTTCTTAGAGGTTTCATATTGATATTTTTCGGCTTTGGTGATAATACTGGCGGTAAAGGGAAAAGTGATAACTTTTTCTCAGTCATGTTGTGACTTATATCTGTCAGTGTATCAGCATTCGTTTTTAACATTCCTTCTTTGGTTAACATAAATGGTGGTGGAGGTGGCGGTGGTGGCAGGGGTAATTCATAATCCAATGGTAAATATCTATCTGTCTTTCTAGCTTTGTTTACCTCTAGTCCAGTAGCAGGACTACTGACATTATTATTGTTAGTAGTAGTAGTAGTGTTATCATTGTTAGCAAATGTTTGAATACTATACAAATTCCCTGTTATTTGAAGCTTTTGGTGCCTTGGTGGTCTAATGGGTCTACTGTCATTGGTATTGTCATTATTATTACTGTTGACTGGTCGAGTGTTGCTAGCAATAGTATTATTTGTTGTCATCATAGTGTTGGTGTTGAGAATATCTGAAGTTGGTTGTTTCATCGGAGCGATGATTGGTGGCAGTTTCAGTTGTGATGATGGTGATATGAATGAGTCGGATAATATTAAATTAGGATAATTTATATGCTGAATGTGTATTAAATCAGTTACATACTCATCTATAGGAGATTTTTTAGTTGATGGTGATTTTGCTTGATGATTGTCACCTGATGGATTCGATCCCCCAGTCAATGGTTGGTTATCACTGTAATTTTCATGGGACATAGGTAGATAATCTGTTTGCCTACGATCTTGTGGTTCTACAACTGGTACCGCATATTCAACTTCTTGTTTGGGAAGCAGGAAAAACGGTTTCGGTAACTCAGGACATAAAAATTTTGGATCATCTTGACTTTGTATCTGTTGTGTGAGTGATTGCTGATGTTCTTGTTGTTGTTCGGCTTTTGTTAGTGGATGACTTTTTCTTGTTTTCGACGTACGATCACGTCGCAACCAATCACAAGTTTGGCGTAATTTACGTCGACTTGCTGATAGCCAGTTGTTTCTTAAATCAACACTGTTCTTTTCATTGTTCTCCAGTCTAGGCCGTGCAGAAACTACTAGTCTATTTCTTCTAAAGGCATTCTTCAAACTAGTTCGACTATTCGCCAGTATAGATCTTCCATTTTTCAGACTGATAGTTTCACTAGTGTCCATAGTTTTATTTCTCCATGGTAGAGTACTTCGACGTATGCTGGCAGTGAATACAGGTGAACGTTTCTTTCGTGTATCATAATGCCTTAGTAGATTAACCGATATATCTGTTGATGGCTGTAGGCTTGCTTGTTCTTCTACCTTCTTCATAGCTAAGTGTTTAGCACTTCGTCGTAGATTGAACGATGTTCCAGTTGATAAATATGAAGGTGATTCAATTCCCCTTGTTTGATGTAAATCACTAATACTTTTACTTTTTCTTGGCATTGGTAGCGGTGGTAGTGGAGAATTCGGTGGTGGGCGTAGTGGTCTTATCGTTTGTTCATAATCACTGTGCAGTAGAGTGTGAACACTTGCACTGATGATATGCAACGGCTTTTCGGCAATATTATGACTACTGTTATAATCAGACCAATTTGAGGCATGTTGACTAGATAACATATTTGGTTGACTAATTTTTCTTGTTATCGGTGCGATGAATTTCTCTCCCTCCTGAGAGTCATGCTTAGATTCGAAAATTAAAGACCGTTTTATCTCTTTATTTCGCTCAGTTTTTCGATTAAATAAAGGCTTCTGACAATCTCTGTTGTTATTATTATTATTATTATGATGATTGTCGATATATCGGTTTAATGATTGAGTTTCTTGTTTGTCTAAGTCAGTCACCTCAGAATAAATTGGACTAATATTCCTCTGATCGGTATTATTTGCAAAAATTCTAATTGATGTTTGACTAATGTCTTCAATTCTATGGGATTTTGGACGTAATGAATTGATTGTCTCACTTGTCGATGAAATATGCTTTGAACAGTGTGTAGAACAACCACAAAGAGAACAGTGTTGAATAAGCCTTTTAGCATCACAGTCACCATTGTATGAAGTTAAATTACACAGTGGAAATGGACAACAATGAAGTTTTTTACAGTGATAACAACTTACTTCATTCAATCGTTCACGATAGAATTTTTTACTATGAAAAGAGATTTGCTGTTGTTGTTGCTGCTGATGATGATTAGTCTTTCGTTTCAAACGTATGCATAACCAAATGATAATAATAAGACTAACTAGTATAAAGCATAAAGCAGCTACACCAGCAATTATGATTAAAGTTAACGCCTCTTTCGATACTGTTGTTGCATTCTGTTGTAATACAACAAGTGATGGATTATCACGAAATAATACACCTGTAGTCTTATATGTTTCCAATATTGCATTCTTTCTTTCATATATTTCTTCTAAGTTTGGACTGAGTGTTTTATTCAACTTCCAGCATGGTTGTAAATTCTCTAATGATTTAGCATTTTGCCCATATACATCTGGTCTATTCATACAGTCAATATGATCTACCATATAGAGATCATTTAGTGTTAATGTAAGAAAACTGCTTCCAGTCCATTGATTTGTTCCATAACATGTGAAATTTATGGCTTCATTTAAGTATTTTTTAAAGCTGAATAAATAATTTTCACCTTCATTTTGTATAAATGTTCTATTCATTTGATCAATAAAATAACGAAACCAAGCTAATCGACAATCACATACAAATGGATTGCCTATTATATTTAAACCTCCAAGCCAATAGATTTGATTTGTTGTATACTCTGTATTCTTTAAATTTATAATCAATTTCTCATCATATTGATTATATTGATTTTCAGCTAACCAAATAGGTTTCAATGGAATAATACTTTCAAATGGTATTCCAAGACCTAATGCATATGCACATCTTTCCATTGTTATTAAATTATTATAACTTAAATCTAAGCGTAAAAGTCGATGTTCTATACTTTTTGATGTATAGTATACATTCTCTTCTTTATCCTCTTCAATTTTATATTCTTGTATTGTTAAAAGTTGATTTTGTGTCAGTACTAGACTGTTTAATTCATGAAGATTATAAAATAATTTTGGTGGAATATATTCTAAATAATTTCCTGAAAGTATTAAACTTTTTAAATGTTTTATACTTTTTAAGTCTAAATTTAAGTAGATTTCTTTATTGGTATATTTTTGTGTTAATATATCACTTTCATTCATTGTATTTGATAATGATGAATAATCATTTAACATATAGGCTTCTAATTGACAATTTATAAGACTTAAATGTTCAAGACTTAATTTGATTGGTTGAAATATTTTCATCCAATTAGCTTGTGTTCCTTCCAATTGAACACTAATCAAACGTATAGAATTCAAGTGTAATTCACTTAATTTTATACTATCATCATCATATTGTCTAATCCAATTGTTATCGAATAATTTTAAAGGATTTTCACTTAAATGTAATACTTTTAAATGATTTGAAATTGAATTATCTGGAATATATACAATACCATTTGATGTTAATTGAAGTTCTTGAAGATATGGCCATTGTATACTTAACCATTCTGGTAATTTTTTTAAAGGGATTTGATTTGAATTTATACTAAGTAATTGAAGATTATGAAATTGTTTAATACCTAATAAAAAATTGAAATTAACAAATTGATTATAGCCAAGATAAAGTTGTTTTAATTGTCCACCTAAATGAAGTAAATTTAATCCTGAAATATTTTTATTATATGTTTCAATATTCACTAGATTAGTTAATCCACAATTTTGTATATTCAAATATTCTAAATTTTTATTAACATAATCACCTAAATCTAATTTTAAATTTGATAAAAGAATGGATGATGTTTTTATTGATGTCATTTGTAAATTTGTTCCTTCTAAACTGAATACTTTTAAAGCATATAAATATTTTGCCCATTTATTAGAATTCTCTAATAATTTCCAACCATTATCAAGTTGTTTTTCTATTTTTAACTCGATTAATTTATTCTCTGTGCTAGTTGACAATGAGAAAGCTTCATCATGTATTGTATTCAAATTATTATTAATAAGTTTAATTGTTTTCAAGTGTCTTATCCAACCATAGAATGCATATTGTGGTATACCTATAGACAAGTCAATATTTTCTAAATGGAGAATTTTTAAGCGTTTTAAATTTTTCAACTCTTGAAATAGATTTCCAGATAATTTTTTTAATCCATCAGTTGATTGATAATTTTCAATATGAAGAACATTCAACTCAGTTAAACCTTTAAAGCATCCATACTGAAAGATGTGTAATGATAGTCCTGTTAGTATAAGTTTACGTTCAATACTTCCACGATATCTGGTTGTTGTTGTCCCCATGGTTATTGTATCATAATCATTCATAATATTTTCAAATGTACCAGTAGAGCATATTTCAATATTTGGATTATTTTCAATACGTATTGTACTGATTTGATATTGATTATCATTTGCCTGAGTAATAATTGGTAATCGATTACCAAATTGTATTGTAGCCTCTTTATTACAAATTATCATTTTGCTTATTGGATATGAATCATCTGATTGTATTATGCATGGTTGGAAGTGTTCTGACCCACGGAGATGGTACATATAGTCTCTTTCTGTGGAATTATATCGATCATTTAGCTGAAATATAGGCATAATTGTTGTATTGAATAATAATAATACTAGTAGGGCATAAGTAGATAAATATATTGTTGAATTATGAATTAAATCTTTTCTTGGATCAATGAACATTTTGTTGCCATGGTGAATATAATCCTCTTTCTATCAATCACATGTTTGTACACAAAGTATTTCGAGTCTATTTGCATACAGTCTGAGCTAGTAGCACTTATGGATCATACAACTACTACTGTTGTCATCATAATATATTGTTTCGATATATCCGAATAATTACTTTCATAGTCGATTAGGTAAATCCGACTGCCTAAGTTGCGACTTTTTTTCCTTTTCACATTCTGAGAAAAATACCAATTTTTATATATGCACTTTACTATACTTCTGATTGGTCTGTTGGTTGTGCGTCATGTAAAATAATTCTATTGTGTGATTGGCTAATAAAAATATAAGTCGTTATTTCAGTGGCTAATCGTAAATTGTTGTTTGTCTTAGCTATATTAACCTATGAAATTCAAATCAAAGTATCGACCAGTTGTATAATGTTATTTTTGTCCTATCATGTTCACTGACTGACTTGATATGAGAATTAGTGAACGAATGATTTACTGTACAGCTATAACGTTTATGAATAATAAGATGGTGTACTTCTGTTAACTTTTTACGGAAACGTGAGATTTTGTCATCGCATGAATACTTTACGCTTTAGCTAATCAACCATTAACATTTACTATATGTTGTGCGTGTCGAGCTACTGTTTATTTTGATGAATGATGTCGGGTGAGCTCCAATTACCGGGATCTCTAAAGGCCATCCTGGTGAAAACAACCAATTTCGACTGGTATGGCAGATTTTCATATAATAAGGAAGTTTGATTGGTTATTACATCAGGTGTTAGCAACTGTTGGAACAGCCAATCAGGTTCCAGTATTTTGGCTAGGAAGTAGAATTTTCATAAAAGAGACCCGTAATTGGTTGTCCTAACAATTACTAGGGTAGCCTTTAAGGTCAATCCAAGTTAAAATTATGCAAGCCTCAGAAACCTTAACATAATACCATTCCATTCATGTTGGAGTTACTTTAAGTGCCACCCTAGCAACTGATGAGACAGCCAACTGCATTCCTTCATTTTATGGAAAAGTACTTTTTCAGGCCAAACACCGAAGCCTGATTGGTCACTTTTGTTGTTGCTAGGGCTGCCTCTAAAGGCCGCCCCAGCAACAACTAAAATAACCCACCGGGTCTCGGTGATCCGGTTAGAAGGGTAGTTTTTCATGGAATAACAGTTACTAGGATGACCCTTAAAGTCACCCACCACGTCGGGTTATATGGTCTTGTTAGTTGAAATCTAATGGATAGCACGCGAAACTTGAGATTAACCTCTCTGCAGAGGTTGTATTCTGTTCAAAAACCTATAGATTGACTTACGTTTCTTGCTTATGACTCTCTGCGTTACATCAAAACGCTTAACCTCTTGGCTCCATAACACAAAAACATTGATATGGAAACATTTGTTATTCAGTAAATGCAACCTTCCTGTGCACCATTAACCTTCCAACACCTTTTCTAATAGTCATGAAGAAGGACTGACTCAGTATACTTGCCGTTCCCTGAAATCCCCAGCAGTGTTTTTCGCCTGTGCTCTGGTCACTTCAGGCCATCGAGGATGATGCATTTCCTCAAATAAGTCAAACACTCATTACTTTAGACTGTACTAATATCATTGAAACTGAAAAATAAGAAATGAGACTTCATTGGAACGAGAATTACTGTTATGTCTCAGTAAATACAACTGACCTTTTCTTAAAATGAGTACATATAGAGACTCTAGATGCAGGTTTCTATACGCACTCATTGTCAGACATACGCTTTTACGCAAGATTTAGATTTTAAATAATTACTTGGACAAAGCATTAATCTTATACCGATTCTCTTTCGCCAGTGGTGGGAATATGACTAATCTACTTTGGCGCTTTACTTACAAGTAGCAGTTCTTGTATTCCAGCCTTGCTCTCATCTTCTTTGATCTTAGAAGCAAGGCAGTATTCTGAGCTCTCACAAAGTCACTGTGCCCAGTACCAGATTGAGTTGCACAATAGACTGATTATCTGCAGTCATGAATAGTTGCAGTGTATTTCGATGTTAATGGAGATTCATTGTTTAAAGTAGGATTCTACACGGACTGACATCAGTTGAAGAACCATTGAAAACCTGGCAGCTCTGGAGAACCGTTTCGTGAGTGTATACTGTTGAGAAGTCCCATATGGGGACTAAATGGCTGTTCAGTGCTTTCAATTTTTTAGTGTTTCTCCAACTGACCATGAAATCAAACAAAATCTCTTCTGATGAGTAAACCCAGTAATAACTAGAATTATTATAATTAGTCTCGTAGCATAGAATTCTAAAGATACTAATGAGATGCTTTTCTGATGGACTCAACTTTTATAGACATTGAATTCACTTGAACGAGTGATTATCACTGATTGTTTGGCATTTGACAGAACTCATTCTATGCATCATTTAAACTTCAGTCAATGGTCATGTAGATGCATTGTCTAGATTGCTTTTCTGAGTTCTTGCGAATCCGTTCAACTGAATGGGACACACAATTTTATTGGTATGAATCAAATCTCCAAACCCTTTGTCTATATCAGAAACTAATTATACACCTACAACTGGAAACAGATAAAAGGTAGCAATCGAACCTCCTTACAATCATAGGATGAGCTTGACGTATTTAGAGCATTGATTAGTATAGTGAATAACCTCATTTAAGCTTTATACGCATATCTGGAAAGATTTTGGGACGAATGCTTGATTCACAAATTTTGTTATCAACTTCTTTGGCTTCACCTTAAATGACTATAGAGGTAGCATGTAAAGAAAAGTACTAGTCACATGAAGTAGGTGTTGTTGTCGGAATGTTTGAAAGTAAACATGAAAGTTTGGAGTACACTAGAAGCAAAAATTATCAAATACACCATCGCCATGATGTCTCCTTTTCCTATCAGTAGTGTAGCCAGCGTTGCTGATTAGAATGGATATAAGTAGTATGTGTTGAGAGGGCGGCAGAAATCATAGGGAATTACCAGCAAATAGGTAAGGATTCTACCCAGAGAAATGCAAGAGACAATGCGGAGGTACTAAGAGCAAATCAAGATAGAAGCAGTAGAGGGAATGAACAACATTATGCAAACAACTGTCTTACCGCAAGGTGTACCATATTTGATGGCTACTGTACAAGATGTCAATAGTAAACATTCCTTCCTTCGTCTCTGTCTTGTCATTTCCTTCAGTAGTAGCACAATTTCTCCATAAAACTCCCGTCACAATACGGTTTCAGTCAGTGATTAGTTATCGACTTTTTCCGATTCCAACCCAACAGTTACATGCTGGCCACGGAACCTAAAGGTCCTGGGTTCAATCCCTGGCTGGTTTATTGGTGCATACTGCTGAGAAATGCCATACTAAGATGAAACAGCTGTCCAGTGCTCTTAGGTTTCCAATTTTCCTGATATCAGTCCGTGATGAATGCCAACCTAAAATATTGGCAAGGATTGATATAATTCCAGTAGATTTCTAATGTTTCTTTCACTTGGTATTAATAATTAGGCTGTAATGGAGAATATTTGTAGCTCAGGTGGATGGTCTTGGTTGTATTGTATTCTCTGAGCTCAGATAATTAGGCTGTGAATCAACTTTCGTTTTAATTGTTGTTATTCGGTTCAATTCAGTTAATTAAATAATTAATTAGTTGACAAAATATACCCATTTATTCATGAATGTATCAGAGAAGAGGGAATTTCTCTTGTCAACAACTTCATTATCAAGCAGTACAGTCGTATTTTAATAATCAATAAAATGGTAGATAATTCATTTTTGGTTATTTTATCAATTTCATTTCACTTCACTTTGGTATACTTTTCTTTTATTATCATCATTATCACCAATTCTCACTTCATTGACAGCATTCGACTCATATTTCACTATTCAGTGTCAATTTGTTGTTATATACATTGACTTATTTTGCATGTTACAGTTATACCTTATCTCACCACTTGTTATCTCAATTCGTTCTACTCATTCAGTGACCTATTTTCTATTTCTTCCACTTGAATACAACCACCACCAACACCTACTATATATTTTGCATATTGCTTGACCAACTCTTCGTAGTGCAAATATCTGTCATTTTACTGAATATAAATACGATTGTACAGCGTGATAAAAGGTTGCTTACTACCACCTATGATCTTCCTCATTGTGGTCGACTGAATCATGCAACAAACTGTGAGCAGGAAGAATATGGGCATACTCTGGCTGGATCGATGAAAAAACCCCAGAAGAAAAAGATTTGGATTTCGCTACCGATGGCGGTTTATGTAAAAAATGTCTTGTCGCACAAACTCGAAGATCTACAGGTGAAAACCAATAAGTTGACAGAGGCGGCGAGGCAGCGAAGAATAGACTTCCTTCAAATGAACGTAGAGAAGACAGAGGTGATGAAGATATCCAATCACCACCACCAACAACAACAACAATAACAATAAACATCAATCACCATGAACAGGAGAAATCTAAACGAAGTTGTCTCTTTCACCTACCACCTAGACAGGCAGCATCTTTTCAACTACAGGCGGTGACACACGCACAGATGAGGACGTCAACAGCAGCCAGGATCGGAAAGACAACAAGATAGGCCTTGATTAACCTGAAATCAGTGTGCAGATCTACTCCACTCCACTCAGCACAAAGCGTGAACAACATCCGAATGTCAGTCAAGTCAGTCAGTGCTTCCATTTGACGGTTGAGAGACTGACTTGGTTGCGTGTCACGAAAATCATTTCCAACAAACTACAGACATGCATCATCAACAACTGCCACCTAGGCTCACTCGATACTGACACCGACACTGACACTGAAGATCAGACAGATGGCGAGAATAATAAGAATAACCATCAAGGAAGTCACTAAGGGCTGGCAACGAACCGACCGAGAACCCATCACCCAACAAATATGCAGAAGAAGGAAGAGGAGATGAATTTGATAGGACACATTGAGAAGACAGTTTGGGGACGTCACGCGTAAGGCCTGGGCGTCGATTGGAAGCGAAATGGGAAACGACGAGATGGGTGTCCGAGACGAAGGTGACTACATGGAGGAGATGGTGTGGGGAAGAAATGAAAGCTTGTGGGCAGTCATGGAGTCAGGTTGAAAAGACTGTAGAGAGGAGAGTGAAACGGTGATGTGCTACTGAAGTCCTATGTTCCACTAGGAACCTATGGGACAAATAATAATAAACACAGCTTGATCATGAAGTAGTTGAAAAGGAATTAATTAGTTGTGTATGGTGTAGCATTCATTCGATGTTTGCAATAAGTTGATAACGTATAACCTTTCAGTTATCACTAAATGATGCATTTTATAAACAATCACATTCCTCTTGTAAAAAATTGAGCAACTGTTTAACCAACATAAATCATTCAACTTTGAAATTGTTATCGTTCTGTTGAGTCACTGTCTGCAGGATAGTCAAGTTGATTGATGAGGTTGTGAACCTTATTCAACTTTGATGATTTGGTCATGTATTGTGTATGGCGAGCCACTGCCTACGTCGACATTCTATGCTAGGAGTATTTGGATTAGGTTAGAAGAGGGTACCAACGGGGGGGGGGAGCGACTAAGTCGTAACACTAGTGGATGAAGTTCTGAAACGTCTGTCTGAGCAGTGTAAGGAAATATAGATTATTTGGCTGGTGTTCCTAAGACGATAGGAATTATTAGTTGAGGACTTTTAGTAAAATTGTTGTAAATTGGTTACGATGGCAATGCTTCACAGCCTGACATCTTCGAGAGGTTGAATTTTAACACAACTTTATCCACATTCATCTCACTCTTTTTCTATCCACCTGTTCTTTGCATACTATTGTGAAGTGTGGCGCCTTCAACCAATGTACTTGTGTGAAGTTCTACGTTGATTCTGTCTGTTTGTATGTATCTGCCTGCCTGCCTGTCTCTGTTTGTCTATCTACCTGTCAGTATTAAGTAAAACTAAATGCGTATTTCAGCAGACCCACCTAGTACTGATCTTATTTCTGATTTCATATCTGATTGGTTGTTAACTTAATTCTGTACACTTTTTCAGCTGTTGCATTTCCCGTATAATTCTTCATCATCGTCATCATCCTCATCATCATTCTCTGGGTCGGATCGGTTATCCAGGTCTTCAAGTAATGAACCAGCTATAAAATTAAATGGAACCTTATATATACCACAAAATGAAGTTGATTCTCGTTCCAGGATTACTTCCAGTTCACAGGTGAGTACTTTCTACTTCAATGTAATCCTCTGTTATAATTAGATATCCCAGAATTTTGTCAACGAACTCCAAATTGACATCACTCATTTCTGTGTGGATTGGGATATTAGTATAATGGATCGAATACATCGTATTACAGATGCATTAGCGGCTGCATCTGAAGCTGTTGGTCGTCTGTCACCATTGAGACCATCGGATTTCAATCATCACGCAAAGTGGTATGATACAGATATTCCAGTTACAACAAGATCTGATCATCAACGTACGGAGTTTGTAAGTTATTGTTCTGGTTATAAATTAAATGAATGTATTTATTATAGTACTTTATTATTCTACTAGACATGCTCTGCGTATACTGAACCAAGTTGGATTACTTCAAAAGAGAGTTCATGGTGGCCAGACTAAGACATGGTACTGATCTATGATATCCCTAATTGGTTGTCTGAATCATGTACAGCGGTGTAGACTGAATGGTTGGAATTTTCCAAACGATAAGAACCAGTGGTTGATGATTCTTGGTGACGACTGAAAATCGATCATCATGGCGTAGATGTAATCACTCTTTGATTTCTTTTAAAGCGTGAATGTTTTGACTAACCGTTGTCCAGATTGATATCAATCCTTCCTTATCTCTTTGTTCTCTTTGTTAGACGCCCGACAATAGCTGTATTTCTCGACCTGAAGGCGGCATTTGACTCCGTTGATCGAGAAGTCTTATGGCAATGTATGTCACTGAAAGGCGTGCCTAGTAAGTACATCACGTTATTGAAAGCTCTCTACTCGAACACTTGTGGGCATGTTAGAGCCTATGGCGAATTGTCCAGGAAGCTATACTCATCAAGTGGTGTCCGTCAAGGATGCCCACTATCCCCATTCTTATTTAATTTTATCATAGATATTCTTATGGAGGTTTCCCTCTCCTCACCTTATTACACAGACGTTGACCCGATCACAGGTGAATTTTCTTTAGATCTAGAATATGCAGATGACATAGTCCTGTTAGGTGAAGACGCTGACAAGATGCAGAGTCTTCTGAACACTTTGAGTGGGAATTTCAGAATGTCTGGGATGCGGTTTTCACCACCCAAATGCAAATTTTTGCTCCAGGACTGGTCTTCAGCGGCACCGCGGTTAACAATAGAGAATGAAGTGGTTGAGTGTGTTGACCACTTCACTTACCTGGGAAGTAGGATCAGCCCTGGTGGGTTAGTTGCCGATGAGATCTCTGCATGGGTACAAAAGACTCGGTCGGCTTTTGCCAATTTGCGCCACCTATGGCGCCGCCGTGATATTCGTTTGTCTATTAAGGGTCGCGTGTACTGCACAACAGTCCGCTCTGTTCTACTGTATGGCTGTGAAACATGGCCATTGAAAGTGGAGGATACAAAAAGGCTTCAGGTATTTGATCACCGTTGCCTTCATAATATAGGACGTATTCCATGGTGTCACCACATGAGTAATGCAGAAGTTAGGTGTAGAGTTTTGGGGAGAAGAGGTAAATCAGTCGACGAGGTTGTGAACCTTCATCGACTGAGATGGTTGGGACACGTACTACGTATGCCTAGTCACCGATTGCCTCGTCACACAATGTTGGCTGAGGTGGGTCCAGGCTGGAAAAAGGCCCGAGGTGGCCAGACTAAAACATGTCACCAATGTATGAAGTCTCTGACTGTTGGTTTAAGCCATGTAGGACGATGCAGACTAGGTGGTTGGGGTCGACGGGACAAGAGGAACCAGTGGTTGGAGACCCTAGGTGATATGGGTCAGAACCGATGTCAGTGGTGCAGATGTATACACACATTATCCTCATCTTAACAACACTATACCGAATCTCACTATTTTGTCACTCCTGTTTCCTTTCTTCTCTTACTTTATATTTCTTTTGACTGCATTCACTTATCTTCATCCTTCGCCTCACTACCTTTTTACTTGATGTGCTGATATGAGGTGTGGCAACTCGAACCGTTACGTAATGCCTGGTCCTATGTTGATAATGATGAGGATGATGATCTCTTTGTTCTTTGTATACGACCGTAAAGTGTGGCAACTTGAACCGATGCATGAAACGATGTATGCAAGGTTTTACGTTGATTTTTTCTGCCTATCTACGTGCCACTAGAGTTTGATTTTGCTCCAAACGAAGCATAGGATGGAGTAATGGATTTTATTCCGAAATGGTGAAGAATATTTATAGCTGAGGTATTCATCAACGGGAGATACCTAAAGGAAGTTGTCTCTTTCACCTACCCGGACAAGTCAGCATCGTTTCAACTACAGGCGGGAGCAGACATGTGGACGTCAAAGCCAGGATCGGAAAAGCAAGACAGGCTTTCATTAATGTGAGATCACTCCACTCCACTCAGTACAAAGCGTGAACAACATCCGGATTTCCAACACTAGTGTCAGTCAAATCAGTCGATGCTTCTATGCGATGGTTGAGAGACTTGGTTGCGCGTCACAAAAATCATTTCCAACAAACTACAGACATACAGCAACAGCTGCCTACGGTCGTTGCTGAAGATCAGATGGCCGAAAAGAATAGACAACAAGAAACCCTCACGACGAACCAACCAAGAACCTATCACCAAACAAATATGCAGAAGAAAGTGGAGATGGGTTGGACACACACTTAAAAGGCCGATTGGGGACATCACGCGCCAGGCCCTCTAGTGGAATCCAACAGGGAAACGACGAGTTGGGCGTCCGAGGCGAGGGTGATGTGATGGGGATCATGTGAGGAAAAAATGAAAGCTTGTGAGCAGTCGTGGAGCTGGGTTCAAAAGACTGCAGAGAAAGAGTAGAATGGCGACGTGCTACTGCAGCTCTATGTTCCATTAGGAACCCAAGGGACAAATAATATAATAATAGATGGATGTGTTCTCTGAGCCGGGTTATTTACTCGTGAAGCTTTCATTGTCTTTCGAGATGACACCTTTAGCACTGACTCAAGATGTTAGTGAAGTTGACAATGATAATGGATTATATAGAAAAAAAAGCCTGATAAATTCTGGTATGAACGAAAATATCTCGACAAAATCAAGTCCGAATACACCTGACTGGCTAATAAAATCAACCTACAACCTCATACACTGGTGGATCCTTTCAAGTTGCCACAATTTACAGTAGTACAAACAGAACATGTGGATAGAAAAGGAGAGATATCAAAGTAGACAAAGTTGTGTAAGAGAATACACAATTTGAAGATGAAGGTTAGTGCAAATATTTAAGCTTTATAAGACGTCAAGGTGTGAATATATCTGCGCCGCCAATATGACCGATTTTCAGTGAATACACCTGTTTCACTACATCTAACTTTACAGCAAACTGTCTTAAACTCTTGACCGTTAAATTAAATTGTCTCTTTTTTACACAATGCAAAAGTTCCTATTTAGATATTTAGTAAAAACAAAGTGAGAGAAAAAAAAAATATTCCTTTTCACTTAGTTCCTCATCAGTGGCTCTGCACTAATATAAAGCATTTTCAAAAAGTAAAATTACATATCAATTTAGTAGTGAGAGTTATTTAATGAAAGGTTATCAATCTCAAATATCAAGAGGTTGATGATAAATGATCAGGTAATTAAGACAATTACCTAAAGCATAGATTAATTGTAGTAAAAAGATTTTATAAAATATCAAACAGGTTGTTATATATTAATGATGATACAAGCAACAACGCTAAAACTATACCCGTTATACAAGAGGTGGGTGTCATGACTCGGTGGCTTAGTGGATAACTCTCTGGCGTTCGAAGCTACGGGTCCGGGTTCGAGTTCCGGTTGAGTCAACATGACTCACTGGGAGGCAGGTATATCCAACGAGTCCCAAATAGGACGAAACACCAGTCTTGCATTCCACTGTTGGCCACAATCCAGTATCAAGGCATCCGCGCAGGAACTCATACGCCAATAGAGACCGATCATAGATCGATCAATTCGGTCCTATCAGCGACGGGAAAATACAAGCAACAACACTAGGGTTGTTATCAAATTGGTACTTTGTATAATGCTAACTAAAAGTTGCAGAAATGAACTGACACGTCAAGTGGTAAATTGTTGATGATAATTAGAGACATCCGGCTGGTGAACAAGATGGACAAAACTATAACAACAAATATGCAGAAGAAAATGGAGATGGATTGGATTGGACATACACTGAGAAGACAGTTTGGGAATATCACACGTCAGGCCTGGGCATCGATTGGAAGCGAGATGGGAAACGACGAGTTGGGTGTCCGAGACGAAGGTGACTACATGGAGGAGATGGTATGGGGGAGAAATGAAAGCTTGTGGGCAGTCATGGAGTCAGGTTGAAAAGACTGTAGAGAGGAGAGTGAAACGGTGATGTGCTACTGAAGTCCTATGTTTCACTAAGAACCCGAAGGACAAATAATAGTGATAATAACAATAATTTTGAAATGTCAATTGTGGTCATTTGTGGGATGAATGAAAGGAAGGTCTTGTTGTAATGAAGAAGCTATACACATGGCCATGGCGAAGAAAGAGGCTGTACGAATTTCTTCTGAACACACAAACCGCTTTTTCAGGTGGATTCGTATGGCTCCTGCTGTCTGTAAAAGACAACCCGTAGAGCATTCATGAGTGAGATGAGAAGGAACAAAATAAATCTCCTTAAAGGGGTTATGAATAATAACTTGGTGGTCAGTGTCGATCAGATGAGAAAGTATTGAGCTTCGTCTCGATCTGGTTCGCCTTTTACTTGGCCATGAATAGTGGTACTTGGTGATAAGACAACTGACTTACCCTAATGGTACGTGCAATATAACTAGCTTCGCAGAAGCAGATGAACTGGTAAGTGCAAATGGAAGAGTCGAGGTCAGGTAGTCTGTCTTTGATTCGCGTGGTCACCATCGACTGACTGTAGAATACACAACATAACTTTGCTGCACTAAATAATCTTTTTATGTCATTTCTTAGGCACTGTGTCGCGATATCACTGATGATGTCATCTCAAAATTGTTGTCTTAGGAACAATGGGTTTTTGCAGGACTGTGGGTACTCTGGTTTTCATATTAGACGGGTCCATATTTTTAGTTAGAAAGGTTTAGGGATATGCATTACTATTGAGTAGTAGTTCATGGATAATTTGAAGTTCTTCATCAAAAGTATCATTATAACAGATGAGTCTTGCCCGATGGACTAAACACTTGACTAGATTTTGGTTTATATTGCAAGGGGACGAAACTCAAGAAGTGGATGTATTGACCTATTGATGTTGGTTTCCGATATACACTTCTTTTTACAGTTCCATCCGCCTTCCTTGCCAATCGGACATCTAAGAAGGTGATGCTATCGTCACTTTCTTTCTCAATAGTGAAGGTTATCGCTGGATGGACGCTATTAAATTTATCCAATATAATCCTTGCGTCGTTCTCGTTATTCACAATGTATCGTCTTCATAACGACAGTAAAATTCTAACCGTCTTATGATACTATCTGGGGAATTATTTTCTAATTTGACTGAGAAAAAATCTGCTAACACTGGACCTAGTAATGACCCCATAGGAACACCATCTGACTATAGAATTCCTTGTTGAAGGCGAAGTGAACATTCATTGTACGTCTTTTCAAGATGGATGCCGTAATTCCATTTTCTATATATTCCTTTTTGTCAACACGCTACATAAGGAGTCTGCTGTTACAACCAGAGGGACATTTTTACATAAACTTCTTTAAAAAATCTACACTTCTTCGTGAGAACAATAGTTAGTAGTTTTGTTGTGTTTTTGTTTGATCAGCTTTCAATATTTTGATTAGAGCGGCCTAAAGGAAGCGAAGTGAAATGAAATCAGATAACTTATTTATTACTTTGAAGGTATTTTCTTGTCTACACCAAGTTGCTGCGTGTTACTGAACTCCTGGTAGTACAGAGTCATTTCACGGTCAGATTCCTTGGGATACTTTCAGCAAACACTGTCGTTACGTATTTTAATATCACTTACATGCATCTTTTTTGTGATGTGCAAATAAACTGGTTCATTGCGATGTGACAGTGTTTGCTTACTTTGATCCGGACTGATAAACATTTTTTCGCCTCTAGAATTACGCTGTTGACTACAGCTCTTATCTTTTGACTGCCCATGCTCACAAATCAGTTTTTTTGTACTTAAGTGTAATTATTTATTATTATTATTTGTCCCATGGGTTCCTAGTGGAACATAGGGCTACAGTAGCACATCACCGTTTCACTCTCCTCTCTACAGTCTTTTCAACCTGACTCCATGACTGCCCACAAGCTTTCATTTCTCCCCCATACCATCTCCTCCATGTAGTCACCTTCGTCTCGGACACCCATCTCGTCGTTTCCCATTTCGCTTCCAATCGACGCCCAGGCCTTACGCGTGACGTCCCCAAACTGTCTTCTCAATGTGTCCTATCAAATTCATCTCCTCTTCCTTCTTCTGCATATTTGTTGGGTGATGGGTTCTCGGTCGGTTCGTTGCCAGCCCTTAGTGACTTCCTTGATGGTTATTCTTATTATTCTCGCCATCTGTCTGATCTTCAGTGTCAGTGTCAGTGTCAGTATCGAGTGAGCCTAGGTGGCAGTTGTTGATGATGCATGTCTGTAGTTTGTTGGAAATGATTTTCGTGACGCGCAACCAAGTCAGTCTCTCAACGTCAAATGGAAGCACTGACTGACTTGACTGACATTCGGATGTTGTTCACGCTTTGTGCTGAGTGGAGTGGAGTAGATCTGCACACTGATTTCAGGTTAATCAAGGCCTATCTTGTTGTCTTTCCGATCCTGGCTGCTGTTGACGTCCTCATCTGTGCGTGTGTCACCGCCTGTAGTTGAAAAGATGCTGCCTGTCTAGGTGGTAGGTGAAAGAGACAACTTCGTTTAGATTTCTCCTGTTCATGGTGATTGATGTTTATTGTTATTGTTGTTGTTGTTGGTGGTGGTGATTGGATATCTTCATCACCTCTGTCTTCTCTACGTTCATTTGAAGGAAGTCTATTCTTCGCTGCTTCTGCAGCTTTACTGACACACCTATAAAAATATTATTTGCAAGGTTGCTGTCTTTCCATATCACATACTGATAATTCTGCCGCTTATCCAGAATGTAATACTCATGCATCTTCAACATGACTTAAATTTTAATAAACTTATAACGGCTTCCTATCTGAAACTGTTAACGATCATGTCTGACAGCCGTATAGTTTAACAGAATGGACTACAGCGCAGTATACTCTCCCTTCAATGGGTGGTCGGACATCACGCCAGTCGATACCAGAAATTACGCAGTTTGTCAACTGCCAAACGAATCTTCTGTATTCCAGCTGCGGTTTGAGTATCTAACCAATACAATCTGTCAGTCAGTCAATATATTTCAGAAAACCGAATAACTTGCTTTACTTTATGCTGTATGCCGAACATACGCATCATTCACACGGTGATACTCTGCAATTCCCGTTAATCAAGTTTTCGTCGGTTCGGTAGCATTCTTCACCAGCTCAACAGAACTTTCAAACTTATCATTCATTTTTTCTTCTGTTCCACTGAAGGTCAACTATTTACTGTTGATTGTAGTATCTAGTAAATAAACTTAGGCTTTTAAATTGTGTAATTCGAAGAACAAGTTTATTCTTAAAATGTGGTGTATATACCGAATACATTTTGAGCAATCTGATGGCACATTTACTTGTCAAGTCAAGTTGAGGGTGGGAGAGCATTCTTGTAAATGGGTTTAAGAACAAATGGGGTGTAAAACTTTGATAAGCTCAGGTGGGAAACAACTCTCTTCACGGATAGCTATGTATATTATAGAAACGGGTCACAAGGTTTAATGTTCAAACAGCTTTCAAAGAAATAGTCATGGACGCATGCTAAGATTTGTGGAAGCGATAGCTTTAAGCAAATGGAAACCTCATTCCTGTGTACACCACACCTACCTTAGTAAACTTTCTTTCTCAGCAAAATCAGGACCACCGTGTCACTCTTTCTTTTTGTTCTAATCTTTGCTAATTTTAATCCCCCTATAATCTCACTTGTTCTATCTATCCCTCCCATTCATTATTCGGCTTTATATAAATTGACTTGACTGGTAAATTTGCGGTGATATCTTTCAAAATGCATAGCGTAAGTGCATGACATTGTTACGATAAATCATGAGACTCAACAATAGTTATCCCTCACAGACCACACCCATTAGATGAAATTATGAGAGTGCTCAACGAATACAATATCAGAGTGTTCTACAAAACATCAAACACATTCCTGAACACCTCAGTTCATTTGAATGATGAGATCCCTCTAGCTTCACAATCTAATTGTGTTTATATAATAAAATACTCAAATTGTGATGAAACATACATGGAACAAACTTTCTGTGAAATCAAAATTACAAAAAAATGAACAGTGAAGAGTTTCCACTCGACCCTCTAAAAATCCAGTAGAATTGAAAACAACTTGAAAACACATCGACCATAGTTATAATTTCAGGTGACAAGGACGATTTTGACAATATCGCAATTATCCAGATAGGCTTTATAAATTATGAAGAGCGTGTCTTATAGCAAACAGAATCAAAATTGAATTTTCAGGGAGTTGTGAGGATTTGGAAATATTTCAAGTTGTTATTCATCGTAGACTGACATCAGTTGGAGGAACAAAGAAAACCTGGGAGCACTGGACAGCTAATTCGTCCTGGTATGGGACTCCTCGGAAGTGGGCACCCACGACCCCGCCAGGGATCGGACCCGCGGCCTTCAGGTCCTCCGCCAGCGCGTTACCATTGAGCTGAGGAGTCCTAGACTGGAACAAAACAGCTATCTAGTGCTCCCAGGTTTTCTTTGTTCCTTCAACTGATGTCAGTCTACGATGAATAACAACTTTAAGAATCAAAATTGTTTAAATAAGAAGGAATGAGGGAGTAAAACGTAGTTTGACCTGGCCTCAACCCACCCTCACATAGTGATGTAACCAACATACATACTATACGAACTATCAACACATGTGTACATACAAATCTCAATCTGTAATTCATACACCTTTCTGTCCCTCTCTCTCTCTCTCACACACACACACATACATACACAATACATAGGTATCATCACTAGCCAACATTTCTGACAACGCAGAATCATTCATGCAGAGGAACACATATCAAACTGATCATATATAAGCTTGGGAAATATTGTAAATTTTTGTTGAAACAAATTTATTTTCTTTTACATTCTCATTGAGAAATACAAATACTAAAATAATGGACAAGTTATCAACTTTCGCCACTTCCACGTGTATTTATCAATTCAATTGGACTATGTAGACTAATATATATATATATATATATATATATATATATATATATATATATATATATATATATATAACAGTTAATAGTATTATGCATAGAATTTATAGTGGTAGAACTTTGGGCGAAGTTTTGGAAATGATTATCTTTTCGACTTTTTCCCTTGTCTTGAATATTTAATCGAGGTTTTTGAATCTCGTGAGCATCCCGTTCAACGTCCATCAAAGAGAAAACCATCATGAACTTAATAATTTATTAGCATTTATGGATACCTATAATTCTTCGTTATTTTACTAAATCAAACGATTCGACCTCTGTTGGCATTTGGTCCCCTATGTGGATGCCTCGATATTGCCTGAGTGTTAATTATGGTAATTTACTTAATTGTAGCTAGCAGAGGAATCCAGGATGCACTGATGTGCAGGTACATCCAGTTGACAAGTCCCTAATAAGGAGTAAACGCAACTCCTAGATTCTTCTCCTAGCCAAAATCAAGCAAATAATAATAATTAGCATTCAGGCAATCGAATCGTTTGATTTAGTAAAACAGCGGAGAATTACAACCATATCAATAAATAGTAATAACTAATACTTGTTGTACAAGAGGTGGCTGTCGTGCCTTCATGGCTCCTGGGTAACGCGTTGACGTTTGAAGTGATGAGTGCGAGATTCGAGTTTCAGTGGGGACAACATCACTCCGGCTGCGTGGGGGTGCAGGTACATCCAACTGACGAGTCCCAAGTAGGACGAAACGCGCCTTCTGGATTCCTCTGTATTAGCCACATCCAATTAAATTACCATAATTTATAAATTATCTTGTTTTCTATTGGTAAGCGATTGTTATTTTGTCGACCCCTTCTTATCTTCATCCTTTTTTACTTTGTTTTTTCTTCCAGACTTCAGTTGATAAGTCAAGTCGTTCTCCTGCATATAACGTCTCTCATACACCTGATTATCCATTTGAACATGTGAATTTTTCAAAATCGTATTCATCTTCAGTAAATCTGATTATTAAATGTTGCAGTTTTGAATTTAATCTACGATTTCCAGTCCCATTAGAGGCTATTAAAGGTGTAAGTTTATTCATTGTTTCACATAGGTTTTGTTTATGATTTCTTCATAAATGATGCATAACTTGTGCAGTAATTCACATATTTCCAAAATATATATAGATTAACATTCTATTTCTTATAAAATTCAGTTTTCATGTATTCATTATCTTTCTTACAGAACTTTTTGTTCGAAATCATCTTACAGCCGTATAAAAGTTTATGGAGAGTTGTGATCTGAAGTGATGACATCTGGCGGTATCTACCAAGGATGCCCGCTGTCCCCGATCCTATGTAGCTTCTCTATAGACGTACTAGTGGACGTAAGCTTAGGTATGTCTGACTTCATAAGGATTGATCTACTCCTTGAAGGGGATTTAGTTGACTTGGAGTATGCAGATAATATTATCCTGCTGGATGCAGACACTGACAAAATCCAGAGTCATGTGAACGCATGGAGCAGAAATCCGAGTATGTTTGTCTGACATGTGTGTCACAACTATCATATGTAAGATGATGCTCCAGGACTGGTTAGCAACTACGCTCAGTTCATTTATAAAAATTGAAATGGTGGAATGTGGTAACTACTTCACTTACTTGAGGAGTTGCATCAGCGCTCCGAATAGGTTGATTGTTAACGAAATCTCAGCCTGGATACAAAAGGCCTGTTTGACATTTTCCAACTTGCGTCATCTGTTGTGCCGATTGGCGAGAGATATGCGACTATCTATCAAATGACGCGTATACTGCACTGCAGTTCGTTCTGTCCTGTTGTACGGCTGTGAGACATGACCGTTAAAAGTAAAAGACATGAAGCGGTTACAGTTATTCGATCACAGATGTCTTTGTATCATTGTTGATGTTTGATGAGATCACCGTTTGAGCAGTGTTTGAGGTAAGGTGAAGAGTACTAAACAAAGCAAGTAATTCAATTGCAGTGCTAGTTGTAGTTGGATTACATTACAAGAAGACTCAAGGTGACCAGAAAGAGACCTACTAGCAGTCAATGAAGTCTCCGATTGTTGATTTGAGCCTTGTTAGGTGAGGTGAAGGGAAGGCTTCCTACCTACCTACCGCGGGACCATGAGAATCAGAGGTTGAGGATTCTTGTTGATATGGCTGATAATCGGTCCCACTGGCTGAGATGTATTAACTCTTTGATGCCTTCTAAAGCTTGAATGTTGTGACGAGCCTTTATTTTTGAATTCCATTCGCTCTTGCACACCTTTATGTTCTTTGACAAGTCTTTTTGTATATACTAATGTAAAATGCGGGAACTTGTATGCGGCATTCCACATTGATTTTATCTATCTGCCTGTTTGGTCACCTCTCATTGCTTTCTTTTCGTATTTAGCTAAGAAGATTTTATTTCTAGCTTGCATTGTTTACTTCCGTGTTAGTTTATAATGGGATTTCGGGTGAACCATTCAACCTCTTAACTTTCAAACAACCAACCATTATCACAAATTGACGGAAGTAGAAAAATATGGACCACTGAATTCTGATATTGGTTTTTGCCAACTTACGCTATCTATGGCGCTGCCGCGATATCCGATTATCTATTAAGGGTCGCGTGTATTGCACTGCAGTCCGATCTGTTCTACTGTATGGCTGTGAAACATGGCCATTGAAGGTGGAAGACGTGAGAAGGCTTCAGGTATTTGACCACCGTTGTCGTCGTAGTATAGGCCGTATTCCGTGGTGTCACCACTTGAGTAACGCAGAAGTCGGGTGTATAGTTTTAGGGGGAAGAGTTAAGTCAGTTGACACAGTTGTGAGCCTTCATCTTCTGAGATAGCTGGTTGGGACATATGTTATGTATATCTAGTCGCCGTCCACCTCATCACACAATGTTGACCGAAGTAGGTTGAGGCTGAAAAAAGGCTCTTGGCCAGACTAGAATGTGGCACCAATGTATGAAGTGTTTATCTGTTGGTTTGGGGCGTGTGGAGTGATGCAGACTAGGTGTTTGGGGTCCGTGAGACAATGGAAAGCAGTTGTTGGAGACTGATTCGAGGTGATATGGCTTAAAACCGATGTCACTGGTGCAGATGTATACACACATCATCCTCATTTTAACCGTTATACTTAATCTCATCATCTCGTTCTTCCTTCCTTCATCATTTTCCATTTTGTTGCTTTGGTACTTGATGTGGTGAAACTAGGTGTGGCAACTTGGACCGTAGTAACGCCTAGTCAATGTTGATCTTGATGATGATGCAGCTGTTCAATGGTAATATGCTATCCACGAAATCTGATGGTCTTCAGTTTCTTCCTAAGCACTGTTGATGGTTCGCACTGATGATGAGTTATATACTATTACGAAACATCTATCCATTGCTCTCAGCTTTTCATTGGTTTTTCAACTGATATAAGTCTGTTATAGATACAACCTTAAAGTCTATATTTAATGAGTTCAAACAATTGGTTTCGATGTTTGGGCGGTATTTTTATCTATCATTCAACAGATACTTTTATGTTTTCGTATATCAGGGGAATGAATTTACTTCGTGACAAGTATTTTCTAGACTTAGAACCTGTGAAGTTTTAGTCAGTTTCTTTCTTAAAATCTATAAATTGAACTCAGCTACTTGTAAAATGGTTCCATTATGATGGACAAATTGTTTATGGTTCATATATTCAATAAAACTGATTACCTACACAAACTATCCACAGGATCCAATACTTTGTAACTGTTGTTATTAATTTTTTTTTGCATAATGTAACAATAATGTTACAATAATTTCTTAAACGAACAATCTAATCTAATATATTAAATGGAATTCGAATTAACCAACCGCAAAAGTAGTTAATCACAAGTTAAAATGGATATCATATTTTGTCTGGTTGACCAAATCTATGGAATGTCAATCATTATTGAATTCATTAATATAGGAGTAAAAATTGTACACTGTAGTGGAATGTAATTCCATTTTTATTGATTTATTAGATTTATCACATAGTAAAGGAACAGTATTGTTTACTGGATTACTTTCTGGATATAAATTACTATCCATAATCATATCAAGATAACTACAACTTTCAGACATCCTTTAGATAGTCCCAATTTTCCTGCCTCCTTTGTGAGATGGGTAGTAGTCATTCCTGTTGAATTTATTAGGTGTTAGTTTGATAAATAAAGATTCGGGTATCAATCTCTCCCTTCAGCACATTGAATCAGTTTTAAAGATTTCATTCTGTCCAATTCTGTTGTGTAGTTGTGTGTCATCGCATGCATAGCTATAGCTGAGGTTTCTCTAAATTCCTTACCTTACTAGGATCTACCAATTTTAACCTATCTACGATTTTGTACTCGGATAGTGTAATTAACCCTGGTCGAATACTTTGACTGACCTATGTATTTGACCTAGCAATTGTTGCAAGGGATTTGTTAAATTAATGAGATTCCTTTATCCCATGAAGCTTATTTCTGAGTGAGTTTGTAGGTTTAAGTGCTACTCTAATCCTAACCAGCCTAATTGAGAATACAGATATGTAGCGTATTTGAGGTGCCTTCTTTGTATGGTAATACAAACTGTAGAGGTTTTGAATTCTCTCTTCACAGTATTCCCACTACTATCATTATTATTACTGATTAACACATAGAGTGAGACGATTTAAAGTCAAAGCACCAATTTGGATGTGAAGGTTTTCTGTAGAAACTAGTATTTAAACTCCCATCTTGTTTCCTTTCGTTCTGTAGAAAGCCTTCACATTCTAATCGTCTCACCTTATGTTAGTTAAGGTTAGCTTGGTAAAATGTTTAAGTAGGAGGGCTAGAAAACTTACTAGTAAAACAAAAGATTTAAGATAAGAAACCAGATACATTAAGGATATCTTACTTATCAACAATCACCCTCCCAAACTCATTGATAAGGTCCTTAGAAATCGTAAGAAAAATATTAGGAACACAGGTATTAGTGGTAGTAATAATAATGTTAGTAATGGTAGTGGGAATACTGTGAAGAAAGAATTCAAAACCTCTACAGTCTATATTACCATATAAAGAAGGCACCTCAGAAACACTACGTATCCGTACTGAGATTTTGTCAGCAAGCAGCCTGTTTTGTATGGATGGTGGATGGTCTTGTTCGTATTGTGTTCTCTGAAGCTTTCATCGTCTTTCTAGGCTACATCATCAGTAATAACTTCAATTTGAAGTTTTTGTTTTGTATATCTTAACAATAATCGATCATATCGTGGTATTCCTTTATGATCTCTTATAAAGAAAAAAACTAATGTACACCTTCCTTTATTGAATAATTTCCTTCATTTACTATGTAACAATGGTATCAATCCCTTTCCAAGTGTTATCTGCATTTTGAAGATATGTCTACCAGCTTTCGGCACTCGGAAGACAATAAATAGTACAGTATAAGAATCCTAAGTTTAAGTGATGTTTTTGGATTGTAGTTGGGTCTGGCTGCATCATATTTATCATTAAAACACTAGTGTGAAATAAATTTTCATCTGACTATCTAAGATAACCGTAGTTTGGCAGAATAGTATTGATACTGGGTGGTGATTAAAAGTAAAATAAAAATTTGGACCACTGCCGGATTCGAACCAGCGACTACTGGGTTTCTGATCCAGTGCTCTACCAACCAAGTTGCGAGGTCCGACTACTGACCAGATTCTTATTTCACTTCAATCACCAAAGGTCTTGCTCCACTACTACTACTACTAATAATAATAATGATAATAATAATCGCTTTATTCCAAAAATATGTATGACAGTATGGAATTCTCAGCATGTAATTTTTCAACAAACTCACTCCCTAAAAAAAATACTTTCAAACAAAACGGTTATCGCATATGCATGATGTTAATAACAATAGTATTCAAGGCAATAATGTGAAATACCCAACTAGTTCTGGATGGGCATCCGGTCCATAATGAAGAATCAACAGAAATGCCAACGTAATTTTGCCGATGGCAGTTCATTCAGACGGTACAAAGAATCTGCAACTCAAGCTAAGCATCTGACAGATAGAAATATGATGTACTTTTTTGAACCAGAAAGTCCATTTCCATATAACATAACATTTTTTTCTCTCCTGTGTTATTGACTCAAGAAACGGACAGTTGGAAACAGTTTAAAAGATGTACAAGAGCACATTATACGTTTAAAGCACATATTTAGATAATTAAAACAAAGTGAAAGAGAAAAATTGAGGAAAAATGTTCGATAGATAAATATGGTAGCCCAAGGTTCAAGCAGGCTACCATATGAATTCGTGACACATGACTACCGCTTGATCATATTCATACTGGCTGCCTAGTCAGGACTTTCATCCCAATCCAAATATGAGTGAATCAGAGAAAGAGAGAGATGCTCTATCAACTGAGCTACGAGGACCAACTGCTGACCAGATTTTTATTTTACTTCAATCACTAATGGTTTTGTCCGACGACTGCCATGTGAATTCGTAATGCATTACTACCGCTTGATCGTATTCACACTGGCTGCCCATTCCAGTCAGGACTTCTCATCCCAATCCAAATCTAACTGAATTAGAAAGGGGAGGGCAGCATCATATTGATTATCATTTGACTATATAAGATAGCAGTCGTAGTTTGGCAGACTAGTATTTCAATCATCATCCAGTATCAATACCAGTCTGTGAAACCACGGCTGCTATCTCAGATAGTCAAAATGAGAATCAATATGATGCTCCCCTCCTCCTTCTAATTCAGTTAGATTTAGATTTGGATGAGAAGTCATGACTGAAATGAGAATATGATCAAGTGGTAGCAATGCATTACGAATACACATGGTAGTCTGGCAAGATCCGTTGATGATTGAAATGAAACAGAAATATGGTCAGCAGTCAGATCTCATAGAGCATCGGGTCGGAAATCCGATACGGTTCAAATTTTCATTTCATCCTTCAATCATCACCTAATATAAATAAATTTTTGTTAAGAATTGTTATCTGTCTATAGTTAGCTTATTTAATATAACTTTAGTTGGAATCCAGATCAGTCAGTGCCTAATTATTCTCATTGGTAGAAAATAGTCAATAGCTGATAGTTCCAGCAATCATATCATAATTTATCTCTTATTTTATACCTTGATAAATATTCTATACAAAAGTTTAACTTGTATTAAAATTTTATTAAAGGCTTATAATCAAAAAGTTACAGAAATGCGTACAAAATTATGGGGTTGTGGAAATCTCTACAATTTTAATCAATTAAATCTTATAAAAAATATTTCTTGGTGGAAAAAAACATTACGTAAAGAATATCTTTCATTATTCATGAAAAAAATTTGTTTAACAATAAATAATTATAAAGATTCAAATGAAAAGTTCCAGTATGAAACAAATGATCATTTACAAAATTACCGAAGTCTAAACTTTCATCAAATATTGGGACAAATAAAAAGCATACTGGAGGAAATGAACAAGAAGTAGAGTTACTAATTGGATCTATTTCAAGTAAGTGAATTAAAATAATATTTCCAAGTGATAATTATTGATTGATTTTATGATGGATTTATCTTATTATTATTATTTCTCCCTTGAGTTCCTAGTGAACATAGGACTGTATTAGCACGTCGCCATTTCACTCTCCTCTCTTACAATCTTTTCAACCTGACTCCATGACTGCCTACAAGCTTTCATTTCTTCTTCATACTGTCTCCTCCATGTAGTCACCCTCGTCTCGGACACCCAACTCGCCGTTTCCCATCTGGGTTCCACTCAAGTACCTGGAGAGTGATATCTCCGAATGCTCTTCTCAGTGTATACCTAATCCATCTCCACTTCCTTCCACTCTAGTGGGCGTTGCTGATAACAACGGATATAAGTAGCATATATGGAGAGGGTGGTAGGAATCATAGGGAATTACCGGTAATGGGTAAGGTTTCTGCCAAGAACAACGCAGGGGACAACACAGGCATATTACAGGGGATGCTGCTGATAAGAGTGTATGAAGAGCCGGTCAACAGCAAATCAAGATAGGAACAGAGAGGAAACGAAGACATTTGAAAGTGGCTGTGTTAGTGCAAGGAGTACCACATGTAACCACTACCATTCCAATTCTTCCTAATATACATTCTCTCGTCGAGTTGTCTTCTGTTTCCCCAATTGGTGTCTCTGCCTTTGGACGTGATGAAGATCCCATGGCATGCAGAGTTCGAGGATGGAGACATCAAGGTCTTCCTCAAGGACTTCGAGGTGGTAGCAGAGCTGGTGGGGGTTCGGGATCCGGAGGCGAAGGTCGTGTTGCTGGGAACGTTGCTGCGGGGCAGAGCGAAAGCAGCATATGACGGAGTGGAACGTGGTGACGGGAAGAAGACTTGGCGGAGAATGGTTCGGCGCCTGGTGGTGGAGTTCGACAGCTCGGTGGACAGAGAGCAGGCGATGCAGCAGTTCCGACGCGAAGTTGGGAATAGATGAAGATCCGCTGGTGTTGGCTGTGAAGTTGACCAAACTACTTCGATGAGCGCTTCCCACGTTGTATGAGGATGCCCAACAACAGTTGCCTACCGCACAGTTCACTGAGAGTGTCCCGAATGCCATTGCCCACCAGTTACGACTAGTCAATGCAGCCCAGCCCATGGACATTAGCGAAATGGCCAAGGTGACCAGACAGCTAATGGGTACAGGAGTAGCGGCAGTGGAGTTACCAGAGGCAAATAACTAGCAAGAACAAATCAACAACCTTCAGAAAGAGATAGCAGAGCAATTGAAGAAACAGAAGACAACTCGACGAGAGAATGTATATTAGGAAGAATTGGAATGGTAGTGGTTACATGTGGTACTCCTTGCACTAACGCAGCCACTTTCAAATGTCTTCGTTTCCTCTCTGTTCCTATCTTGATTTGCTGTTGACCGGCTCTTCATACACTCTTATCAGCAGCATCCCCTGTAATATGCCTGTGTTGTCCCCTGCGTTGTTCTTGGCAGAAACCTTACCCATTACCGGTAATTCCCTATGATTCCTGCCACCTTCTCCATACATGCTACTTATATCCGTTGTTATCAGCAACGCCCACTACACCACTACATATTTGTTGAGTTGTAGGTTCTTGGTTGGTTTGTTCCCAGAGTTCCTTGTTGCTCGTTCTTCCTGGCCATCTGATCTTCAGTAGCGAGCGTAAGCAGTTGTTGATGAATATCTGTAGTTTGTTGGAAATGCCTTTCGTAACGCACGAAGTCTGTGAACCATATATAGAAGCACTGACTTGACATTAGTGTTGATGATGAATACCGACCTGAAATAAATTAATAAATCCCCGAAAACCTCAAAATTGAACTAGTCTAGCGCTCATTGGTGACTAGCTTCGGAAAGTGATTCCCGAAGTATCAATAAGAAATCGTGACCGCTGGGGCCAACCAAATCGAACAATTAGTTACTCAGTGGTGTAAGTTGCGCAGTATAGTGAACTGAACCTTTGGATTCTAACCCAGTGACTGCATGGCATTGTGCTTGCTGTGAAACCTAAAGGTTCTCTGTTCGATCCCTACAGGGTTCATGGGTAACGTACTGCCGAAGAGTCCCATAGAAGGATGAGACAGTTGTTCAGTGCTCTCAGGTTTTCGTTGGTTCTCCAACTGATATCACTCCATGATGAATATCTCTTTGATGAAGCCGAAGAAAGAAACCATCGAAAAGGATATTCTTTATTCTTCTAATTATTTTTTGAATTATAATGAAAATTTTCGAGGAAATATTTTTGATGAACTTGATAATTTCAGTTTGCCAGTCGTAGAATCACTTTGAAGAAATGTTAACTTTCTGAAGTGATGGAAAAGATTTGTAGCTCAGGATGAAGATGATGGTGGTTTGATTTTCTTTTAGCTTTGATATTTTGTCATGAACCTTTCATCACTAGGCTTAGTGACGTCTTCAGCACGAACTTCATAGAGAGGCAAAGCATATTCGATTCTTACATGTAAGATTAGAATATGTTTTTATTGAACATTGGATGTTATCCAATTGTAAGTAAAGAGAGAAATATTTTTATTACACCCTGACCTCTTTAACCTGTCCTTAAATTATGTCATTAGATATTCTTTGTTGCAGTGGAATTATGCTTTTTATTGTTGTCACATTGTGCATCATTATTGATTTATCCAGTCGATTTGTCCTTGGTTGATGGGTGATTGTCTTCTTCCTAAGCAGATTGTAGATTGTGTCTATATCTACATGTCTGTTGATTGACTTTTCATTTGAATGTCATCCTTCTAGAAATTGTCTAGCAGTTTTGAAATCTACTCTTTTGAAGATTTTCACGTTCTCGCAGTTGAATTTGTGATGATGATTGTCTAGATGCATTGAAATCAAGGTGGTTGCATCATGTTGCTTTACAGAAATCATCCTACACTCCATAAGAAATCTTGTTTACAATGATTATTCTCAAGAGCCAAAACACATTGCAGCACTGAAGCACTAAAGAAAGCTGAAGAAAAATACCTCCATGAAATGTTCAAAGCCAATTTTTATTCAGCCAACTTTATCCATAAGTGTTTATCAGCAGAAAAGAAGACAGAGCAACTGCCCCAAATCCATAGGCATGTTACACTACCCTACATCTAAGATATCTCAGAAACAGTCAATCGATTGCTTAATCCTTTTGAAACCAGAGCGGCACACAAACTAATGAAATCACTACACAGCATATTGTGCAAACCAAAGGATCAATTACCAAAAGAAGACAGAACAAACATAATCTACAAAGTGCAAAGATTGTATGCAACATAATATTGACCAGGTAGCCGTTGGATTACACAGAGAATTAATTCATGAATACCAACTAGCAGTAAAGAGGCATGACGCAGCCACCTTGATTTCAATGCATCTAGACAATCATCATCACAAATTCAACTGCGAGAACGTGAAAATCTTCAAAAGAGTAGATTTCAAAACTGCTAGACAATTTCTAGAAGGATGACATTCAAATGAAAAGTCAATCAACAGACATGTAGATATAGACACAATCTACAATCTGCTTAGGAAGAAGACAATCACCCATCAACCAAGGACAAATCGACTGGATAAATCAATAATGATGCACAATGTGACAACAATAAAAAGCATAATTCCACTGCAACAAAGAATATCTAATGACATAATTTAAGGACAGGTTAAAGAGGTCAGGGTGTAATAAAAATATTTCTCTCTTTACTTACAATTGGATAACATCCAATGTTCAATAAAAACATATTCTAATCTTACATGTAAGAATCGAATATGCTTTGCCTCTCTATGAAGTTAATGCTGAAGATACGATAGTCTTGCAGGAGAAGTAATACTCGATGAGTTGATTTCGTTTGTATTCATTACTTCAGAGTTACCTGACTCCACTCCCAAGTAAACATATTTTTAAAAATTTTATTTTTGACAACAGTAGATTCATACTGTTTCAGCCATTAGCATTTGAGTTTAAAGATTCCTGATAGGGTAACTCAACTGTTGATAAATACAACTTTTAGGAGGTCAAATAGATATGTGACTGACATATATACTTCATGAAATGAATTTCGCATTATTCGATAAGGGTAGTTTTAAAAACATTTCGATGTATACATGTGTGGAGGTGTGGATTATTTCTCTTCCTGCTAGATTTTCAACCGCTGTTTAACAGTCTGAAACATCTCTCCGTTTACCGTCTTTTTATGCAGTCAGATATTCTTTCCACAAACAATAAATACAACTTATAATCTGATAAGCAAATATGCGCATTGTTTCTGAGTTTCTGAATATTTTACAATGCCCCAATTTTAATAATGGTCTTATCAATGTAGGTAGGTCAACAATTCCTTTCTATGTAAAACCAACAAGATAACCCGCTTAAGAGAGCATTTGGAATCGCTTTCTCGATGCTAGTCATTGTTAATTGTTGTGAAATTTAACTGTTGGATAAAAATCAACCCCACTGCTTGGTCGCTGGAGAGGAACCAATCTCTTGTTGTTATAGTTTTGAGTGCTGACTGAATTTCGTTGATCATTTCGCAATGTGACCACTCAGCTTGGGGGCTTACCACAGCCACCACCACTAGATTTCGTGCCTGTTCAGACTAATCAGCAAGGCGTATCTCCAACCTCAAGGGGACTGATATCCCCCCTGAGATTCGAACCTGAGTCACCCAATGTTGTAGTCAGCGACGTCACCACTAAGCTATTCTGGCAACGATTGACCTCCTGTAGAACTGGTTAACATACGCTGGTCGGTCATTGGAGAGTAGCTAATTTCATGTTGTCTAGTTCTGAGTTCTAACCGAATTCTGTCGATCATTTCGCAATATGACCTCTAGGCTAGGAGGCTCACTGTCGCGGTACACTTCAAATGCCATAAAATTGATTTCTATCCAGTGTTTTCGTCTATTTCCGTTCTAGCCATCACTGGGAAACCTTTGTTTTATTAAGATCACTGATTTATGGTTAAATAAATGCAAGTAGTTGAGTCCATTGCAAAGTATACGACACGGCGATTAAAAGTCAGCCACTTAGTTCAGCAAGACAATTCTGCTTCACCCCTCAGGGCATAAGATCTTAATAATAAAAGACGGAAAATCTTCACAGCCCTAGAAAGTGAGTCGAAATGCTCTCAGCAACCTTGTGCACATTCGTGCTGTAGGCAATAAGCCACATGTATTGTACGTTTACAGAGCTGATGGTATCATCTGTCTGCCCCACACCTCGGTTGGGTGGGGCGATGTTTAGATCCTCGATCTGACATCAGCTGGAGAACCCTTGAAAAACTGGAAGCACTAGACATCTGTTTCTTCCTCGCATAGTACTCCTCATCAGTAGTAAGCTTCGAAATAGATATCCTGAAGTTTCATTGAGAAGCTGTGACCTGTGGGGTCGAAAGTAAAACGGATGTCAACTGAGGAACTTAGATAATAGTCGCTTTATGTCGAGAAATAACAGAAATAGGAAACTGTACCCTTTTGAAATTCGACCCAGTGGTTGAATGGTGAATGGGCTTTCCAAGGGACCTGAAAGTCTTGATTCCCTTTCTTGGCGGGGTCGTTGGTACTTACTGCTGAGGAGTGCAATACGAGGACGGAACAACTGTCCATTGATCCAAGGTTTTCGAAGGTTCTCCAAACGATGTTAGTACTGCTAATTGTGAATATTGCCTCAAATTAAATTTTCGTTCATCTGGAGTGTTTTTTATTCCACGGTTGTATATCACTTTTCGTTTAGTAATTTTTACTGTTACAGATTTTGACATTTGGAATTTTTACTTAAAATAATGATACTCATTCTTTTGGCTGTCATACTTTTCTTCTAACTTCAAACAAACTTAACAACTTGTATATTAGTTGAGTGAACCAGTTTACTAAATATCTTAACAGCACAAAAAAGAATCTAGTAAAGCAAACCAGAAAAAAAACTTCAATTAACCGGAAATAAAGTGGTTGTATGTGTAATTGTTGGATGCCTTGTGGCAACATGGGTGTGTGTTTGTGTTTATGCATATTATGCGCATAACGTTGGATGTTTGTGTAAGAATGTTTTACCCAGTTAACAGACTGATTCATATCAGCCTACTGTTTCGTTGAAGCTTTGCAATAACTGTTATGCACCATTGGTTTTCGAAACCTTTCTTTTGGCAAAAAGTTGATGAAGCTATGCCTAATTTGGTTTAGACAGTTGACTTTACACCAGTGAGTCAAGGCTTTGAATCCTGCTTCTCCGACTAAGATGTTGGCAGTCAGGCGTGACATGTTGCCTACTTCACGAGTATGTATATGGTCGCTGAGTTTATTTCAGTTCATTATGTTTCAACTTAGCTGACAGTGTCTAGCAATGGATGGAATCAAGAATGCGCGTTTCTTCCCATTTGGGGCTCGTCAGCTGGGCGTGAATGTTGTTGTTCCACTGAGCCTTAGACCCAGTAATCGTCACTTCAAACACCAAAGGACTATCCCCTAGGCGACTGGGGCGTGAGGGCCTGTTTCAATTCAGTTATAAGTACTTACCTGAAGATTGATTGGTTATGTACTTTATCCTGAGATGCACACAAAATGTTAACTAATATTCACCAATGCTATATCAAATGATACATTATTTCCTTTGTTTCTCTGTTTATGTTAACTCTAATCTCCTGTACGCAGTACACTTGGCTAGTGATGATACAAAGATACAATCAACTCCTATTATCTATTTCACATCAAAACCTAATCCTGGTCCGGAATCAATCAAGTAGGTCCCTTTCTTTTTATTATGTAAATATGTGGCTGTATGTTGTGTTTACCACTTATATAACTGTGTCATTGTTATTTACTTCTTTGAGGGTGAAGTTGTGATTCATTGATTTAGGGAGACTATTTTCTACCACGTGGGCCTTGAGATCGAACCCCGCTCCACTTGGCTAGATTTCGCCAGCCAGGTAGAATCATTAGTTCTCAAACAGAGTTGGTATAGCTCATTGTACATATTGCATGAATGTGTACATGGTCGCTGATTGCTCTTTTTACCACGCTTAGTTATGATATGCGTGCGAATGTGATGGTAACCTACACGATTTCTGCTTAGCTGTTAGAGCTATATCTACGTATAGAGCTCCCATTGGATAGCAATACTTTACTTCTCAATACTATTATGATAAACTAGTGCAGCATAACCTTGGGACTAAAGAATATCATACAGTTGAGCAGTGTCTTTGCATTCAGATTTTGCATAGTGGTCGGCTACACAGACGCTGTAGACCACTCTTAAGCATCTTGTTCCTGAGCCTAATTATCTGTTAGACGCTTTCATTGAAAACTATCCTTCTGACTACAATGATTTGGAAATCCTTTCCACCAAAATGCTGCATTCAATTCCTCTCCCTCTATCTTACTGTCATATAATCCATATAAAAGTAGAATTTAGATGCTGCCGTGGAGTATGATTCCCATTTCAGTTTTTCTATGATATATCGCGGTGTAACACCATCATATCATCTCTCAGAATCGTTAAAATGTACTTTTGAGTTAATTATGTTGCTTGTATTATTCTATCGTTCAGCGGACCGAATTGATCGGTCTCTATTGGCATATGGGCTTCTATGTGGATACCCCGACATGGCCTCTGTTTCAATTATATATTAGTGAGGGATGTTAACTAGCAGGGGAACGTGGACAAAATAGAGACCGATCAGTTCAGTCACTCTACTCAACAATGAAAACTATACCCGTGTCACAAAAAGTGGCGATCAGGACTTGGTGATCTAGCGGGTAACGCTCTGGCGTTTTGAAGCGGTCAAACCTGAAATCGAGTCTTGGTGGGAACATCTCTCACTAGGAGACAGTTACATCCAGCTGACGAGTCGCAAATAGGACGAAACCCGCGTTCTGGATTCCATTGCCACGCAGTATCCATCGTTAGCATACTTTTGAATTCTCTGAAAAATATTGAAGATCTGAAAGTAGATGATAAGTTCATGGTATCGTGAAATATTTGAACTTTGTTTTTACTGACATTTTTTAATGGAGACAGCAGATTTTACTTGCGATGAACTGACTAAGCAAGACATGGAAATAGATATTTCAATCTCTATCTTGGAGGAACTACTTCTGAGATATACGATGAATGCACATTTCCTTTTCAGCAATGAGTTCTGTAAGCAGTTTAATGATGTGGTTATGAGGTCATCCCTTGGCTCACGCTTACCAGATTTCTTTCGCTGACAAAACTTGAGAACGATCCATCAGTTGGAATTATATCATCGTTACAAGGATGATACCTTTATAGTTCTCAAAATTGAGATTGATAAGAATGCTGTTCTCAATGAGTTCAATAGTGTTCATCCGGCAATTAAACTACACAATAGAAGAGGAGCAAAATGACAGTATCCCATTTCTCGATGTCCTGCTGGTAAGAAGGTTAGATAGAACTCTGAAACGAAGTGTATATAGAAAGCCAACATCGGCAGGTCAATACATGAACTTCTTTTGTGCCATACCCTCCAATACAAAAGAACCTGGTGAACCATCTTGAATACCGTACCACAGCTACTTGCTCTGATGATGCTATGGAGAAAGAGTTCGCCACCATCCTTAACCTACTTAGTAGGAATGACTATCCAACGAAGTTTGTAACTGAATATATGAATGTTACGAAGGTTGAGACAAGAACGCTAACAGTTCCTAATAAGAAAATCTTCTTGAAGCTGAAATTGAAGAGTGACACTGCCAGTCAGATCATCCGTCATACAATGCATAAAAAGAGCCTTCCAAACAGCATTCCTAACCGCTATATCATGTCCCATCTTCTACGACTGCGCTATTCTGGGTTCAAGAAATAAAGATAAACTGCCTGATTCGACCATCTCATGTGCATTTATCAGTTCAACTCTTCCTGTGGAGCTAGTTACTTTTGATGTACAATGAATGTACAATGAGACAGGTCCATCATTGAACTTGTGAGCACCACCCATTATGGTTGAGTAAGGGAAAAATCAGAACAGTGAGGAGCGCCATACTCGCACACTTAGTTGACACTGGACCCCAAGTGGATACTAGGAAGGCATTGAAAATTATTCATTATTATCCCATGATATCTTGTGGGGTATAGGTGCGCACTGCTGAAGAGTCGCATACTAGACGAAGCATCTGTTGAGTGCTTTCAAGTTCCCAGTGTTCTTCCGACTGATGTCAGTCTATGATGAATACAAACTTGCAAATTCATTTAGTCCCCACAAATCCCCAAATTGAATATTCCAATTAATTTATCACTTGTATTACGCATTCTCTTACTTCACTTATCAAGGGCGATTGCAGTCCACCTTTACAAACCTTAGCTTTCTTGTTTGTATTGTGTTCTCTGAGCTGGGTTGTTTAATCATGAAGCTTCCATCTTCTTTCTAGGCGACATCATCAGCACTAACTTCAGTATAAAGTGAGCTGTCAATATCTCTCCATGAGTGATTTAGTACCTTGCCGTGACGAAGTGGTTTGTGGTTGGTCGTTTTCTTCGATTGTTGTGTCATTTACTGACTGCATAGATTTTCTTGTGGGCCGTGTGTCTTCATTGAGCAGGAGGGACATAGTTCATCAGGGCAACCTATTAAATCACTCACAGCGGGAGATTGATAGCTCACTTCGTACTGAAGTTAGTGTTGATGATATTGTCTAGAAAGACGATGAAAGCTTCATGATTAAACAACCTAGCTCAGAGAACACAATACAACCAAGACGATCTACCTGAGCTACAAATATTCTCCGCTATTTCAAAAACTTACCTTTGTATCCAAAAGAAGTTCGTTCTCCCACTTTCATTACCCTGGCCGTCAACATGATGTAACCTCTAGTATTGCTTTGTACACCCTTTCCCCTTCTTGTTCCTATCAATATTCATTTATTTTCTTATTCTTATTCCTTCATAATTAATTATTGTTTTTATGACTGATCACTCGTCAGAAACCACTCCATTTACTATGTAACTTATCTAAGAATAACCTGCTTCATATTACGAATTTTGATTACTCTGTTGATGAATTGTATCTTACTTTCTCAAACTTATCATCTTCATGACTTGCTTAAAATCTCTAATTGTTTTCACCAACTCCACCCCTACCACTTGGTTGATATCTTCATTGAATTGTAATCTATATATTAGTTCAGAGCCCAAGACGAAGACCTAATTGAAAAGGAGTATACTTTTTCTCTCAATTAGTGTTTTTTCGAAATAATGATAAATAATACCCGTTGTACAAGAATTGGATATTGGGCCTCAGTGGCCTAATGGATAACACATTGGCATTGGGAACGATCAGTGTGCGGTCGCAATCCCAGTGGGAACCCCATTACTGACTGGGGTGTAGCTACGTGCAGCTGGCGAGTCTCAAACAGAAGGAAACGCACGTCTTGAACTTCACTACTAGCCACGACCTAGTCAATTATTCATCTTGACTGTTATTTGGCTGTTTAATGTGCGATCAACAATTCCAATTTCTGAAACACTTAGCCCTATACTCTTCTTTTCTTAAAATTATTTTTGCTTTTAGAGTGTATATACGCATAACTCCTAGTGGACGAACTGATCTTATTGAATGCATAAACGAGAATCCAATGAGTAAAGATTTCGACGATGTACCAATCATTAGCCAACAATCTTCATATTTTGAAGTAGGTGTTGATTTGACTGCATACAAAGAACATAATAATTCATCATCTGAGCAATTTTCGTATAGTCGAAGGCGATCAACTTCTGATGAATCATCAGTTGAATGGTCATTATGGAATCAAGCTAATCCTAAACAAAATTGTTGTACTCCCTTAGTGATTAGACGAAATTTTGTTCAAGATGCACCTAAACCTCATTCTAAGCAAGTAAGTTCTTTGTTTATTTCAGAATACGTATTTAAACATAGCTGATGTTAATCTCTTTTCTAGAAAGTTACAGAATTCAAGCTGACGGTAATGTTGTGGAACGTTAGACGGAATCTTAAAAATATGACTGGAAATACGCATATTTTTGTGTGAGGGGTGGTAGGAGTAAGTGAGTTGCAGAGTATGTGAGTGAGCATTCTGTCTATTCAAAACTTTAGGGAAAGCTGTATGGCCGAGATATATCAAATCATACTTATGATAGTTATGATTGAAGGAGAAGGAAAAATCTGATTCGAACCAGCAACTTCCGAGTTACCGATTTGATGCTGTGAAATGTGACTGCTGACCAACCAGATTTTTATTTCATTTCAGTCGCGAAGGGTTTTGACTGACTGACATACGGATTCACAACACACTACTATCGCTTGATCCTATTCATCCTGGCTGCCTAGTCGACTTTTTTTCTGATCCGAATCTCCTTGCTCACTTGGTAGAGCACCAGACGAGAGACTCGCCGGTCTCTGGTTCGACTTCTACTGTGGGCCATATTTTCGTCTCACCTTACATCGTCACTCATTTTCAGTTTAAGGCTGCCAAACAACGGCTATTTCAGATAGTCAAACTGATTTTACATTATGCACTCAAAAGAAAGGATGATCTAGCTATCCGACCAACTTGGATATCCGAAATAACACGTTGCACAAACAAACAAACTAAATTTATCATCCATAGTATTTTTCAGATTGGTATTCATGATAAACTGGCATCAGTTATAGAGGCGTTGGAAACCTGGGAGCACTGAACGGACAGCTGTTTTGTTCTAGTATGAGACTACCCGACCGATAGCTGCTACCTTGACGTGGTGGTCGGGCTTGTATATCAAAATGACCCGACAAGCTATGCTGGTGGAACACTTCTTCCCTCGAGGTCCTACCATACCAGAAAGGTCTGTTGGATAGTGGTAAGACGAAAAGCAGTTACCGTTGTGGTGTAAATTACTACACTATGATAGGGGTCTGAGGGTGAAGTCGTACTGCTGCTAGCTGGATGTGGTGTGACAGCAATAAGGTGTTTCCCTTGGATGATCAGCAGTGTCATACTGATGCTGTCTTCTCAGTGGAAGGGGGGAAGTTAGAAAAGGTCGGCCCCCCCCCCAAAAAAACACTCCCCATGCCCCACGGTCTGCCGGGCCGGCTGTGTTGGTTCATTTGTCCTTTCCTTTTGGCCATCTGGCCCTAAAAATACAAAAGTTCAAAATAATCATATTCAAAAGGCTACGTGTGACAGGCCTCAAGCAGATGTCCGATGGGCTCTGCGGTCACACAAATCTCTTTCAGGTACCTTAAGAAGAAATAGTCTTCCATGGTGTGGGCAACCGGAAAGTGTCAAGCGCCCTCAAAATTTTGTCAGCACTCAAGTTTATTCAAACTGCTGTCCACCTCCCCCATCACCAGCTTCTAGTCTTCCTTTACGTCTCTCAACTAACGATGCTACATCATCCTCGATTTCTCCTAGCTCTGTAGCCTTCGACAACAATCTGAGTCCACAAAACAGTATCACTGGTCTCCTTAAACCAAGCTCCAAATTACATATTGGAGCCTTCAGTGTCCGAACTCTGTCAAATTGGTCAACAGGCTTCGTTGGCAAAGACTCTAGCAACTCGGGGCATGGATGTGTGCTGTGTTTGTGAGACACGCACATAGGAGCGAAGTGTGGTTATTCACCTGACCTCTCCCTGGCAGTCTGGTGAATGCACAAAATTCACCCTTCGAGTTTCTGGAGATTCGATAGCTAGCTCTCGTGGTCTTGCAGGTGTAGACATAGCTTTAAGCACTAGGGTAGAAAACTCACTATTAGACTGGATCCCAGTTGATAGTTGACTCTGCGATGGCGGACTGAACGGCACAGTGAGAACTGAAAGGAATAGTGAGACTCGCTGTTGTCTCTTTGTAATTGCTTTAACACCCACCGACTGCAGTTCTGTTGAAGTGAAGGACGAGTTCTACCGTAGACTGTCTAGCCTCCTTCCGAAACCCAAACGTTCGGACGTGGTGGTTGTTGCAGGTGACTTCAATGCACAGATGGGCAGACTGAGTGAGGCAGAAAGGCACTTGATCTCTACACTGATTTCAGGTTAATGAAGGCCTGACTTGCTGTCTTTCCGATCCTGGCTTTCACAACCTCATCTATGCCTGTGCCACCGCCTGTAGTTAAAACGATGCTGTCTATCTAGGTGGTAGGTGAAAGAGACAACTTCGTTTAGATTTCTCCAGTTCATGGTGATTGGTGTTTATTGTTTTTGTTGTTGGTGGTGGTGGTTGGGTATCTTCGTCACTTCTGTCTTCTCTACCTTCACCGGAAGTCAGTTCCGTCTTCGCTGCCCCTTCTGTCAGGTTGTTGACTTTTGTCTGTAGATCTTCGAGTTTGTGTGACAAGACATTAGACATCAATCATCATTGGCGGCGAAATTCAAATCTTCTTCTGGTGGGGTCTTTTCATCGGTCCGGCCAGCGTATCCCCGTCTTCTTACATCTCACTTTTTGTTGCATGATCCGCTTCAGTCGACCACAATCAGGAAGATGATAGGTGATAGTAAGCGGCAACCTTTTCTCCTTCCTGTCTTCACTTCAAAGGCATCGCTGAGCTTTCCATTGTGAAGCACTTGGCATATAGCGTTGTCATATAGCACATAGCTTTTGGATAAGGTTGATGGAGGTTTGTGTCACTAAAACCGTAGTGTTAAAGCAGCTGCCAAATTACTTCTCGGTTGGCCCCTTTGAAGTCCTTATCAAAATCGATGAAGTTGAGGCAAAGATTCAGTTGCTGCCATTCTATGCTGTGTTCTATGATGATGCGTAGCGTTGCAATTTGATCCGCACTATGATTTGTTCTTCGTGAAGCTAGAAGCTAGCTTATTCCGGTGGTAGTTTTGAATGTAGATCCTTTTTTATTCTCTCCAGGATGATGTGGTTTAACGTTGTGGTTGGGTGGACAGGAACAAGATTCCACACCAGTTCTCGCAAAGACTTAAGTGGCCCTTGTTTGGGAGTTTGACAAGGTACCCCTTCTTCCAATCATCGGCAGGTACCTTTCCTTCCTTCCAAACCTTCTCCAGTAGGAAATGCAAAAAAGGCTGATGAATTGAAATGTTGTTTCCATTTAGGCCAGTTCTTATTAAATGAATGACAAATTATTGCATCCATATCTTTATTTGTCATATTAGTCAGACCGTTTGCCAATTTTAATAGTTATCTTATGACTAACCTAGTTAATCATGTCGTTTATAATGGGACTTATTATGAAAATATGCCTTGGTTTTTTAGAAACTTCATTCATTTTTTCAATTTAGATTTCTTACTATCCTGGCAATAAAATGCATATGTCTTCCTATCGTCAATCTGCTAGTATGCATACTCATCTATTTGTGCATATCAAAGTACCTGTAGCTGAAATCACTATTGAACAAAAGCAAACAGTGGAGTTACTTTGTTTACGGTAAGTTTCCGGCTTCCTTTCTTGTTTTTTTTATCTGAAGTTGTAAGTAATTCATCGTATGTGTGTGTACGGATACATTTCTGTCATAACTGAGTGGTTGATTGAAGATGAAATAAAAATTTAGGTCAGAACAGGATTTGAACAACGACTTCTGGATCACTGGCCCAGTGCTGTACCAACAGACCTACACGAACCGACTACTGAACAGTTTTTGCTCAAATGCTATGTGAATTCATAACGCATTGGTATCGCTTGATCGTACTTACACTGGATGTGGTGTCAGGACTTATCATAATCCAAATCATCCTGACAACAGATAGGTGGCGCACCATATTGACTATCAGTTTGACTATCTTAAATAGCCATGGTTTGACAGACATGTATGGATACTGGGTGATGATTGAAGGTGAATTGAAGATCTTGGCCACAGCAGGATTCGAACTACGGAATTCTAGGTTATCGACTCAGTACTCTACTAACTGATCTGCTGTTTCCCTGCGTGACACAATTAATAAACAGATTAAAATGATTTGTGTTTGTTTTTATTTTATGGCTAAAGTATTGATTCCACCACAACGCAATCGGCAAGAAGCCCTGAATTCGTTGACACTCGTCAGTAAGATGTATCTGCAACCCCATGGAACTGGTGTCCCGTCCGGAACTCGAACTCGCGTCACCCTATGTTGTAGTCAACGACTTTACCACTAAGGTATTCGGGTAACGATTGACCTCCTGTAGGACTAGGTTATATGTATTGATTGGTTACGGGAGTGTAACCAATTTCATATTGCCTAGTTTTGAGTGCAGACCGAGTCCTGTCGATCATACTTGCAATGTAGAGCTAGGAGGTTCAGCATCGCGGTGCACATTAGTAGATTTTAGTTGGTTAGAGACAAAACAAGAATACCTAGGGCTATTTGGCTCGTGGCAAAGTGTAGTTTTATATGGTTTAAGTAATGTCGAGGCGGAACTCTTTAACTTCTTCACTGACTGACTTCGGTTCAAACTTCCGAAAGAATAATTTTCGTGAATGTTTCAAATAGGTCTCATCAATGGTTAAATGATCTATTTTCAGTGTTCTGCAGTGCCTACAATAACTACAGGACAAACTTGATGGGTCAGCATTTGTCAGGATAGGTTACTGTTTAACCACCAATCCGTGTGATAGAAATATAAGTCAAGAAAGGATGTAAACCACTGTCTATGACTGTGAAAAACTTTCTGTCAGGAACAAGAAGCGAGTAGGTTTTGGATATGGCAACTGACTTTCAACCAATGAGTCACGAATCTCCAGCTACCGAGGTTTGGGCAGTCAGGTAGTATCACTAGCTCGCATATACTAGTTTGACTCGTTGCTTGGCGAGGGGACGAATGTGTAGTGTTACCAAGTGGATTTCGACTTTTCCCTTCAAACGCTTTTTCATACCTTTGTCACCGACTCGATAAGAAACAAAATGAGATATTCTTAACTCTTTTTTCTAGTAGTTTTTTCTTCCTTTTAAATTTTATAACTAAACTGTGTGTGATTACAGTTTGTTATTAAAAGAAAACCGGTTGTACTTTATTGTCTAGTAAGTAAAGTTATATGGTGAATTTAAAATAATGTAGAAAATTCATAGTTCAAGCGGATAGTCTTGGTTGTATTGTACTCTCTGAACTGGGTTGCTTAGTCGTGTTTTCGTCGTCTTTCTAGACGACATCTTCAGCACTAACTTCAGTATGATGTAGACTGTCAATATTTCTCCGTAAGTGATTTAATAGCTTGCCCTGACAAAGTGGTCTGTCATTGGTTGTTTCCTTCGATTGTTGTGTTATTGACTGACTGTATAGATTTTCCTGTGGGCCGTACCTCTACTTGGCCTCTGGCCTTTCTGTCGTTGATCATTTTTCTCATTGGTTGATAGGTTGGGTCTATGCCTATACATCTATTGGATTTGTGACTGACTGACTGACCTGAATGCCAAGCTTCTAGGAATTCTGTGATATTCTCTGTGTTTCCTCTCTCCGTCCATGATTTCTACATAGTCGAGATTGAGTTCATGTGTATAGTTGTTATCCAGGTGCATTGAAATGAGTGATGAAATGTGATGACGTTTAATAGGCAGTCGGTGTTCATGTAGATGAAGGTGAAGAGGGCGACCACTTTGTCCAATGTAGTGTTGATCATAATTATTGCAGTTGATTTTGTAAAAGATATTCTGCTTGTCTTGTTTGGTTGTTGGATCCTTTGGTCTGCATAATAATGTTTGTAGGGAATTAGTTGGTTTATGAGGCAGGCACACCGATTCCACCAAGTGGTCTGAGTAGTCTTGTTGTGATTTCTGATGTGTTCTTTATGTATGGTAGGACGATGGGTTTTTTGATATCTGTGGATGACTTTGTAGTTGATGATGTACGGGATAGGCATCTTCTGATAAGGATTGGTAAGTAGCCGTTCTTGTTTATGGTGGACATGAAGTGATTTTCTTCGTTTCTCCGTGAAGTTGTTGTACTGCAGTGCAGTGTGTTTTCACTCTTTTGAATAGAGTCTGGTGGAACTGATTTTGTGCGTTGTTGGATTGTTGCTACTGTAGTTGAGTATTTGATCAGTGTGTGTTGTCTTCGTGTACATTTGGGTTTCGATTTTTCCAGCATTTGTGCTAGTGACTAGCACATAGATGAATGGTAGTTGGTTGTTTGACTCCTTCTCCATTGTGAATTTGATGTCATTGAAAACGTTGTTGATCAAACTGTGAGTGTTTTCTATATTATCTTTTTTAATGATGACAACAGTGTCGTCCACATAGCGAATTCAAATTTTTTGTTTAATCACAGGTAGAATGATGGCTTGCAGTTTCTGCATCACTGCTTCTGCAATTAGTCGGGATGTGGGTGATCCTATTGGAATTTCTTTCATCTGTTTGTGTATCTTACCATCGAATTGGAAGTATTTTGTCAGACAAAGGTTGATGAATTCCATCATTTTTGTTCGTTCTGAAAGGCTTATGTCTTCATCTAACATCGTCTTCACTATCAACATAGGACCAGGCATTACTGCGTAACGGTTCGAGTTGCCACACTTCATATCAGCACATCAAGTAAAAAGGTAGTGAGGCGAAGGATGAAGATAAGTGAATGCAGTCAAAAGAAATATAAAGTACGAGAAGAAAGGAAACAGGAGTGACAAAATAGTGAGATTCGGTATAGTGTTGTTAAGATGAGGATAATGTGTGTATACATCTGCGCCACTCACATCGGTTCTCAGCCATATCACCTAGGGTCTCCAACCACTGGTTCCTCTTGTTCATCTAACAGAAGGGACATAGTTTCCTTAGCCTATTGGGGGTTCGATGGATGTGTATGACTTTGTGACATCGAATTAGGCTGTTTCCTCATTTTGAGAAATTTTCTTGTTTGAATTATTTTATTGACTGCAGTGCAGTATGACTTAAATTTCTGTGTGAACGTTTGACCAAGTTATAAAAGTCTACATTGTCTGCCTTTAATTTGTCTAATGCTAACGCTTACCCCCTCCTGCTTTCTAGACTTATGTATGATCTTTTATTATGGCAATCCTTATTACCTAATGATCGTCGCCTACGTGCAACGCTGAAACGTCCTAATAATTCGAGTAGAACAGTAGATCCTGTGGCCAATTCAGAAGTGGATCATCGTTATTGGTTTTTAAGTGATCCTGCCCCACTTGCTAGCATATATGCTCATCCTGAAGCTGCTCGTGCAGCTGCTGAACTTGAAGCGATTTCACCAATTGGCTATCATAATGTATGTCATCCAAGTGGGTTGCATTACCATTCAGTCAGAAGCGATGATGACGATGATGATAGTGATGACATTAAAGATGAAATGAATGAAGTTTATGCTAATATTGAAAATCCTGTCGTCAACCGATGTTCTACACATTTTAATACAGAGAATGTAAAACATCCTAAATGGAAAAATGTGTGGTCAAATGATTTACGCAAGAATTTTTACAGTAAGTCATACATGTTTTTTTCGGAAACTCCTTTGTTGATTCATTAGTCTTACTTTATTGATTGTACTATTTCAGAGACTAGACCGTAGTTCGCATTCTTGATAACTTTGATAAAATATAATTATGGATTGTTAACAGTGGAGCTGTGGCTTAGTGGTTTATGCAGATGACTGTCGAGCAGTGAATCATGGGTTCAAATACCATTCCACTATCGAGGTTTGGCAGCCAGGTAGTTTCACTAGCCCTCACACAATGTGTGGCTCACTGCCTTGTGTACGGATGTGCTTAAGATGGCTGACTACGTTTCGTTTACGTACTCGTATTCTCTACGCTAAGTGGAATCTTAATCAGTGTAATGCTCACCGGCGACGTTTTCCACTTTCTTAAATCATAAGCTTGTATAATCTATTCGCTACGCTTTAACCTGGAATAATGCTGTTCGCTAATGTTTTGTTACCTACATTGCTTGTTGGTTCAAGTCTTCAGGTTAAGGCTGCAGATTTCGATTCTAACTGTTATTTTGTAACGTTAAGTCCTATACAATAGATGTATCTTATGTTAAACGGTTGAAGGTAATTGAGAGTAAGCCGTAAACCTAGGTTTCATAAATTTTGGCTCTCCTCAGTAAGGGGTATCTACCACCTTAAGGGAGTTGATGTCTTCTCAGATCTCGCGTTATCCAGTTCGACCAACAGAGACGTTACCGTTATACTGTTGTAATCGCAACTGCGCCTTGCTAACGAGTTTCAACAACTACGAAACGCTTTCTGGTGTTTGCTTCTGTTAACTTGATGACCGCATTACAAAATGACTGGTAGAAATTGATCAGTACATATAACTAGACAATATGAATTTGGTTGCTACACAATGACCAATCATTGTAGATGTAATTCTGTGTAGCAGGATTACCTAACATATCTGCGTCATGTTCGTTCAGGAATTATAAACAGGCAATTCTACAGTTGTTATTGTTGTTAGCTTCTTGTGTAGATTACATTTGAACTACTTTTGAATGGCATTTAGTTTCAGAAATACCGATTTTAAACAAAGGAAGATATTTGTCACTGACATTTTATACAAACAGATTAACGCTTGCCTTAACTGACTAGGCATGTATGCATACTTTTGTTAAGATTTATTTAGCAGTACTTGATTAGAAGGGGAATGCATTATGATATTTTGACGCAGACTTTTTCTCAGCATTGCTTTCGTATTGTGGAATCATCATGTAAGCGATGTCAAGGTCTGGGGAAGGCGACTACACAAGGCAGACAGACGGTAATTCTTCACCGACTGAGGTTACTTGGACATGTGTTGGGCATGCCGATCCATTGCCCACCTTGATGTGCATTGTTGAACTGGGTTGGAAGAAGACTCAGAGTGGCAGATCAAGATGTGTGGTAATTTATGAAGTCCTTGACTACTAGTCTGAGGCATTTCAGGAAGTGCAGACTGCGTACTTGGGGTCCTCGAAGAAACAGGAATCAATTTCCGGGTGGCCTTTGTGACAATGGCTGAAGATCTGTTACAACTGCGCATCAGTAAGTAATGGTGTTCCCTCTGAAACCCAGCATACTACATCTGCAAGCAATATATAGGCATGTGCACAGACAGGAGCCCATGGGCTAACAGAAACTGATCACTTTTAGTCCAGTATAGTAATCAAGGAGAAATTATGAGCAGCGATAAACAACCACTGATACCCACTGCATGACAGGTGGCTTTCTCAACTCAGTGGCTCAGTGGATAACACTGGCGTTTGAAGCGATATCTACTGGATTTAACTCTCAGTGAAAACAGCATTACCCACGAGTTCAGGTACATCCAGCTGATGACTCCTGAATAGGCCGAAGCACGTTTCCTGGATTCCACTACTGACATACGATGTAAATGAGTAACGGACGAAAATGTATATATTTTTGGTTGCACTATTGTCTCAGATTAGCACAAATTGTGGTCTAATGATTCCCCTTGGTGTTCACTAATGATCAGTTATTCTATTCTGATTTATTACTTTTTATACACCCTGACTAATTATATTTCAGCTTCATTAAATTTGGAATAAGCTGGAGAGTGATGCTTTTGTAACAAGAGCGGAACTCAGCTGGGTACAGGCGTTTATTTACACTAGGCTTATTGTGTATAGTGGCTTACCATTATGTATAACACTTTACTTAGAATCAAGATGATAATTGTTTGGTGTTGTTTAAGATTCGACGTTTGATAGCTAACGTCTCGTGAGGAAACTACGTGTTTGCATAAAGAAATAAAACATTGTTTAGGGGTAATACTCATCATGGACGGATATCAGTTGGGGAACCATTGAAAACGTGGGAGCACTGGACAGTTGTTTCATCCTAGTATGGGACTCCTCAGCAGTAAGCACTCACAACCCGCCATCCCATGGGTGAACTTAAGACCTTCAGGTCCACGACGAACTCGTCAACCACTCAACTGCTGGGTTGGAGTTGTGGTTCATAGTTTCCAACTTCTGTTAATTCACGATATAACACGATTAGCACCTAAGGTCTTCAGTTGGCATCCGCTTCCCTTCCGACTGGTTGACCTCACAGGTCACGACTTGTCGTTAGAACTTCGTGATATCCATCTGGAGGCATGTTACGGCGAATACGTTAGCCAAACCTGAGTTCGATCCCTAGCCGGTTCGTGGTTTCGAACTGCCGAGGAGTCCCATACTTGGACAAAACATCTGTCCAGTGCTCCTAGGTCTTCAGCTGTTCCCTAACTGGTGTCAGTCCATGATGAATACTACCTCTAAATTAAAATCCCCATTCATCTCAAAAATAATACATTGTTTGTTTACAACAATATTGCAAAGATTGATCGTCGGGTAACTGAAGGAACTTGTAACAACACTATCTATTCATTCGTTTTATATTTCTAGTGTTTAATTCACTTCCTGGGTGTATTTTTTTCCCAACTTGTAGGCAAGACAAGTATAAACCCGAATATATCTTCGCGTCAACACACTTCTAGCCTTAACCAACATCGTTATGATAATAATAATAACAATAATAGTAATATTGATAATAACGATAACGTAGATGGATATCATAACGTACCATTAACTAATACATCTGTTCAATATCAATCATCTATCTGTTTCCAACTGGATGTAACCTCGACACAACTGACAACATTTCTGCCTGAATCGTCTGTGGGATGTCAGTTGAAAGAGAAGGTTATTGTAAAAGCTACAAACACAATACTCTTCGCAGAAATTGCGCATAATTCCAATCCATTTTTGAATTATATTGAAATGGAGATTGGGGAATTTGATATATCTTATTGTTGTAAGTTTATATTTACATGAATATTATTAACAGTGAAAATCTCTGTGAAAATTCATTTGTACTCCTTACCTGTGTGATCTCAGGTTCTTGACTTATACATCTATAAGTGCTCACCTTTTAGGTGTCTCATAGTGGGAAGTAACAACTGTTTATACTAGTAGTCCCTTATCTGATGAAAATGACATTTAATGAATCATATGGGTCTCGGGTATGCATCCATTGTCCTATCCATACATTCACCATCTTCAAATCACATGATCCACTGATCAATCAATAAGAAAATGAAGTTCTCAGTAGTTGTGTTTAATCTACTCTACATCTTCATTGTTTGAATAGTCAGGTGAAGGGTGCTAGGCAATGAAGGCTATTTGTAGATGAAGTTATGAAACTCTATTGACTGAGGTGTTTGAACATGTTATGCGCTTGCCGAACCACAACCTACCAGAATGTGAAATCTTAGGGATGGCAAGATTAGATTGGAAGAAGACTGAGAATGACCTTACCAAAACGTCTCATCAGACAAATATGTCTCTAACTCTTGGCCTTAGCTGTCTAAGGGGATGTAGACTACCTAGCTGGGGTCATCTGTCTCCCTGTCTGTTTGAATGGTCACTGGTTTGTGTAGTTTTTCCGAGATGATTTACTGTTTATTCTTTAGCAGTGTGTCAGTTGACTCGAAAACTAAACCTTCCTAATCTCTATAATGTTCATCAATGCATGAGATTTAAGGTAGCGTACTTCTCCAAATAAACTGGTATCTTTAGGCTATCATGTTGTGTTTCTTTTGGCTTCCTTTTGTTTACCCGGCTAATGTATCTCTTCGAGTATTTGAACGTTAACTGGATGACTACACTCTTCTTGGTGTAACGATATGTACAATTCATGTAATGTCTTTTGTTTTAAAGAAGTGATATTACTATTTATTGATCCTAGGATGCAGGTACATCCGGCTGACGAGTCCCGATTCGGACGAAGTGCACATCCTGTATTCCATTGGTTATCACCACTATGCAAATTATAGCATGATTGCTGTTGTAAATTGTTATCCTACATATCGCTAAGATTTACCATCGAATACTGTCGATTAGCTGATATCATTTTGACTATCTGAGTGAGTTAACTGTGGTTTGCTAGACTAGTATTGATAAGGGATGATGATTGAAGGTCAAGTGAAAATCTGAACCTTGGTGGGACTCGAACCAGCGGCCGTGTATGTGTGTCTCTTCATAGTTGTGGTTGATGAACTTAATAATTCTGACTGATGCAGTATGAAGCATTCTGTCTGTTGGAAACCATTAGGATAGATGCATTGCTGAGACATTTCACATTATACTGAATGATGATTGAAGGTGAAGGTAAAATCTAGGCCACGGAATGATTGGAACCGGGTTACCGGTTTGATGCTATTCCAAACGAGCTATGAGACGTGACTACTGACCAACCAGATTTTTATTCCACTTCAGTCATGAAGGGTTTTGTCTGACTGCCATAGGAACTCGTGATGCGTTACAATCGCTTGATCGTACTCACACTGGCTGACCAATTAAGACTTTTTATCCCAACTCAAATCTTACCGTGGCCCAAATTTTCATCTTCAGTCATCATCCAGCATAATTAACTGGTAACCGGAACATATCACCGAAATTCATTGTTTTGTTGGCAAATTCTTTTCTCATCATTATAATTGTTCGCTGAAATTGATTACTTTACAGAGCATAATCTTACCTAATTGTATTTCAGTTTTTATTTAGTCTACAGTTAAAGTCTGAATTCATTTATAAACAGAATGGAATTAAAATGCTTAGTCGTCATGGTCACTGACTCCATTTTGGTTAATACAATTCATCTAATCGTAATTAAAAGTTATTTAAAGTTCATTAGTGTAAAAAAACTAATTGTTATCTAATCTGACGTAAAAATCTATTTGTGCTAATGTGTTTGTATATTTGTCAAACTTGTCAAAACAGTTATTGAAGACCATATGCAAAAACTCAATCATTTTATTGGTTCCTGTAGTGCTGACGTCTATTGTCTGTACTTAGTGTCAGTTCCGTAAACGTATTTCGGAGCATTGTCCAACGTGGTCATCCAGAAGAGAAAGAGAAAGAATATCAATAGCTCTGATCGTGCACACTTTATCATCTTTGAACATCTGATTCCTCTTCTTCCTGCCAGTTCCTCCAGAGTAATTAGCAAAGTACCTGCTCACAATTAATTCAAAAGGCTTTTGACTGCGCCATCTATGCATAACTGAATCATTGGCACTTAACAACCTTAAACCTGATCTCTGCATTCAAAGGCATCATATACATTTGTTAGCCTCAGTATGACTGAAGTAGTCATTTTCTTCTGTCTTTAAAACAACCTATTTTATTTTGTTCTTGCACTATGGTAATTCTGTGTCCTTATTGTTTGACAGTAGACCGTTATTTGCTTTCTATGATTTCAAACATGATTGTAGTGGTTTGGTAAAAGGCAATCGTCGAAACGAGAATTTTATTCACTATTACATCTTCACTTTATGGTTTAATTCATTATTTCAAGAATGTTGCCAGATGTAGCTCATCATCTAAGGCATTCATGATGGGACAGCATTCTAAGCTCCGCATTTTCAACATTAAGACTATCTAACTGAATAAAGAGTTTGTGCAGTGTATTACTGTAAGATTTTAGTACTTAAAAACCACTTCCAATCAAACAGATTATAATAACACCGTATACTCTGCGTAAAAGTACCTTAGTTCTGGTTATCACATGTCACAACCGACTGCAAAGGCGAAGTAAATGAAAAAAAAGAACCATAACAAAGGTGTTTGAGAGGAGAGTAAATAAAAAAGTTGAGGTTACAAAAAGTGTTCAACATTTCAAAAAACGTTGAGGTGTGTATAGACTCATTACTCTGATCAATTTTCCACCACATTGCCTTCAGTATGAAACCGATGATTCTTATCCTCTCGAAGACTCCAACTGGACAACATTCACTTTCTTACACGCTTCATAATAAGAGTCAAATTATTGATAGATTGATGCTACTTCTTGATTTACCCACTCCTAGCTTTTTACCAGACCAATTCCAACTATTATAGAAATTTACTTCAGTATAATCCTAGTATGTCTCAAAAACGAAAACAAGGTTTTTATGAACGTCTTACTGTAAATATGGCGCATCGCCTATAACGAGGTGCTGGTCACTCATGCGAAAAACATGCCAAATGTACTTCACTCAGTTCGCTATTTCATAGACCTACTTATCACCTTTACCTAACCTTACATTTCTCACATGATCAAAAACATTTTCATGATCTCTACCTTCCTTCCGAATCAACCTCTCAAACCTTTAAAATAGGAAAAATTATTGCTGCGTAGCATATTCAGACTTTTTAATTATAGTCGGTATCGAACTGCTTGAATATCATTCTGCGTTGTCGACATTACTTTGGATTGATTTTTTCATGTCAGTAGGTTTTCTGTTGGACAGTGTTACCGCGTAAAATTAGTGGTGTCCACCAGGGATGCCCACTGTTCTGATTCCTGTTTAACTTCGTTGCCGATGTACTAATGGGCATACCCCTAGATACTTTGACTTCATACAGATTGGTCTACTCCTGAAAGTTATATGGTTGACTTGAAAAATGCAGGTGATAATGTCCTATCAGGGAAAAACTCTGTCGAAACGCAAACAGGGTCTTCTGTACGCGTTGAGCAAAAATATCACAACGTTTGGTATGCGTTTCGATCCTGTCGAATGTAAGATGACTCTGCTGCTACTCCAGTTAACTGATAGGAAGTGAATTGGTTGAATGTATGAACCACTTAGGAAGTTGCATCAGCCCGAACGGACTGGTCGCTAATGAAATCTTAGCTAAGATACAAAAGGCTCATCTAGCATTTGCCAACTTGTATCATCAAGTCAGGTGGAGGGCATTAGGCAAAGTCGATTGATGAAGTTTTGAACGTTAGTTGGGTGAGATGGCTTGGACATATACTGCGCATGCCGAGCCAACACCTACCTCGATGTGCCATACTAGAGAAGGCTGGATTAGTTTGGATCAGGATTCAGAGTGGCTAGATGAGGCGTAGCACCATTTGATGAAGTCTTCTGACTGTAGGTCTGAGTTGTGTGGAACGATGTAGACTACCTGACAGATGTCCCCGAAGCGATAGAAATGAGTGGTTGGGGACTGTTGGTGAGATGGTTGGAAATCGATCACAATGCTGCCGATTTATTCGCTCCTTGATATCCTCTACAACTTAAATATTGGCATTAACCGTTATCTTCAGATTGTTTATTCTCTCACAATTTTGTCACTTTTGATATGTTTTTTTCTATCCGCTTGTTCTTTCTATACCACTGTGAAGTGTAGCGACTTGAACCGATGCACTTGTGTGGAAGGTTCTATGATCACTCTATGTGTCTATCTGTCTGTCTGTAGAATAAACACACTTCCTACTTTTCCGCCATTTCTATCATTATAATTACGATATTGAAGTCTTTGTAATAACCTGATATTAAATAAATTTATTTATTTATTCCAATCTTCCAGGTAATCAGAATCCAAATTCAGATCATCATCACAGTCCATCTGAGGGCACTAATTCATCGGATTCTCCAAAAAATATATGGCCTGTTCTGATTCACCTGTCATGGGATTCTATTGGTTATCCATACGGTTCATCACTTCATCAATTCGGAGTATCCAGTCCCAATTCATCGAATGAACCCATGATCAGCTTAGCTTTAGAACACAGACAAACTCATCATTTATCTGACTCAGGTTAATAAGAAATTTCCACTTCTTAATCTCTTCTTATAGTTTATGCTAATTTGGAATTGAATATCCGTAGATAATCCATTACTGCAGTTGATGCGAGTATGCAGTTATTGTGGTGTTTTTGGTAAAGTGTCATTTAATATCCTGTTAGAATAGATGACCAAAAGGGAAACAGTAGTATATACCTGAAATTTTACTTCACAAACAATTCATACAGCTTTAGATTGTTAGTTTGTGGTGAAATATAGACTTCCTGGTTAATGTCCACGAGATAACCGAAATCAAATATTGAAGACTAGTTGATATTGCCTAAAAGTGATCATAGTTATCTAAATATATCCAACTATTATTTCTTTCTTCATTTTGTCTTATAGCTCTTTATTTGAACAAACATAGACATACAAAATTGACATAGATACTCGCACAGAAGTACATAGACTCAAATTGCCACACTCCATAGCATCAGACAAAGTGGAGAAAAGAGTGATATTAATGTAAGCAAAATTATATGTGAGGAAAATAAATTTGAAAGGTGATGGTTAGTGGAAACGTTCACGCCGTAGAAGACGTTAAAGAGTGAATACTTGTGCGCTGATGCGACTGAATTTCAACCTTCCCACCAAATGTTCCCGAAAATTCTGTCCTGCTTCTTCGAGAATCCCAGCCATATAACTTACATCTTCCTACATTCTCCAGATCAACATTCAAAGTCTTGATTAACTGTGCTACGCCTTGGTGTGGCCATCTACTTCGGTTAACATTGTACATTTATTATTATTATTATATTATTAGTCCCTTGGGTTCCTAATGAAACATAGGGCTTCAGTAGCACGTCTCCAGTGAACTCTCTTCTCTGAAATCTTTTGAACCTGGCTCCACGACAGCCCACAAGCTCTCATTTCCTCCTCACACGATCTCCTCCATGTCACTTTCACCTCGGACATCCAACTCGTCGCTTCCCATGGAGATTTCACTCGAGTGCCTGACGCGTGATGTCCCCAGTCGGCCTTCTCAGTGTATGCCCAATCCAATCCATCTCCACTTCCTTCCAGTGCATATTTGTTGAGTGATAGGTTCTTGGTTGGTTAGTCACCAGCTAGAGTTCCTTGTTGCTTATTCTTATTATTCTGGCCATCTGATCTTCAGTAGCGAGCCAGTGTAAGCAGTTGTTGATGAATGTCTGTAGTTTATTGGAAATCCCTTTCGTAACGCGCCAAGTCTCTCATCCACCGCACAGAAGCACTGACTTGACGTTGGTGTTGAAAATCCGGATCTTGTTCACGCTTTATGCTGAGTGGAGGAGATATCCACACTGGTTTCAGGCTAACGAACGCCTATCTTGCTTTTCCGATTCTGACTTCGACATCCTCGTCTGTGCCTGTGCACCTGTAGTTAAAACAGTGCTGCCCAGATAGGTGAAGGAGGTTACTTCCTTTAAGTTTCTCTCGCTCATGGTGATTGGAGTTTGTTGTTGTTGGGTATCTTCATCACCTCTGTCTTCTCCTATATTCACTTGAAGTCCCGCCCTCGCTGACTCGCCTCTTCTGTCAACTTATTAGTTTTCGCCTGTAGATCTTCAAGTTTGTGTGACATCAGGCACAAGTCATTGGCGAAATCCAGATCTTCTAGGTTCTTTCCCGCGGTTCAGCCAGCGTATCCCCTCTTCTCGCTCTTCACAGTTGTCGGTTGCATGGTCCAGTCCACCACAATAAGGAATATCATGGGTGATAGTAGACAACCTTGTTTCACTCCTATGTTCACTTCAAAATCATCACTGAGCTTCTCATTGTGAATTACTTGGCATGTGGCGTCTTCATATAGTTGTTGAATGAGGCGGATAAAGGTTTGTGGTACTCCGCAGTATTGAAGCAGTTTCCAAATTACTTCTCGGTCAACGCTGTCAAAGGCCTTCTCAAAGTCGATGAAGTTGAGGTAGAGAGCTGATTGCCATTCTATGCTCTGTTCTATGATGATGCGAAGCGTAGCGTTGCAATTTGGTCTGCACATGATTTGTACTTACTGAAGCCTGCCTGTTCCGGTCGCAGTTTTGAATCCAGTGCGTCTTTAAGCCTCTCCAGGATGATGCGGCTAATATTTTGCTTGGGGTGGACAGGAGCATAGTTCCGTGCCAGTTCTTGCAAACACTGAGGTCTCCCTTCTTCGGGAGTTTGACAAGGTAACCCTTCTTCCAATCAATTCACAGGTACCTTCTCTTCCTTCCACACCTTCTGAAATAGTGATGTGAGCATGTCCTCTGTTGTGTCTGCGTCTGTTTTCAGTGCTTCTGGCGGGATCCCATCTGGTCCTACTGCTTTCCCACATTTTTAGTAGCTTTATGGCATTCAGGACTTCCATTTTTGTTAGAGGATTTATGTTCACTTGTAGTTCTATGGCTGGGCTGCAGGTGGTATTTCTGGACGAAGTGCAGGTGGTGGTCGATTCAAGAGCTTTTTGAAGTGGTCGGCCCATTGTTTCCTTTCTTTCTCTTCTTTCGTAATTAAATTTCCTTCATCATCTTTTATTGGTTTCGTCTGAGTCGATCTCTTCCTTGATGGTAACCTGGTTATTTGATACAATATTGTCAGGTCTCTCTTACCGGCAGCCTGTTCTGCTTCACTTGCCAGTGTTTCGTAGAAGTGTCTTTTGTCTTTGCGTGCACTCTTCTTTACTTCTTTGTCCAGTGTAGTGTCTTATACATTGTACTGAGTTCCTCTTGTCGTTGAGCATCCTTGCACTGGTTTATCTTCTGCTTCACCATCCTCCTCTCCTGCTCTATCAGCTTCATGTGTCCATCGAGATCCATTCCTTGTCTTTTTTCTTCTTCCTTCCTAATACGGCTATGCAGGCTTCTTTCCACATCTCTTTCAAAGACTTCCAGTGTTCTTCCACACAGGTTTCTTCAGGGATGTTGCTCGATGTCTCCCATTTTGTCTTGATGGCTGCCTTGAAGATCTCCTTTGTAGTTTCATCCTTCAGTTTCCGAGTGTTGTACTTGAATTTAGGTCTATCATCAGCTTCCTTGAAGGCTTTTAACTTGATTTGGAAGGTTCCCTGCACTAGATAGTGAGTGGTGTGAACCTACATCTGCTCCTCTTCTTGACCTTGTGTTAAGTAGACTGCGTCTCCATTTTCTTGAGATTGAGATAAAGTCGATTTGATTTTTAGTGTGTCCGTCTGGTGAAATCCCTGTCGCTTTGTGGATATCTTTGTGCCTGAACACACTGGCCTCCAATCACCAAATCGCTGAATGCGCAGAATTCTGCAAACAATTCTCCATTCTCGTTCATCACCTCAGCGAGCGCTTCTCGACCCATGGTTAGTTCTCTTCCTGTGTTGTTTGCTCCCAGTTTGGCATTCATGTCACCCATTAGAATTTTGATATCGCCAACTGAAGTCTTGTCCAGTGTTGATTGAAGTTGTCTGTAGAATTCCTCCTTTTTCTCTTGCTCTGCATTATTTGTAGGTGCATAGTGTAGCATTGTACGATTGTGACCTTCCTTCCTTTTGAGTTGAACCTTGCTGTCATGATCCTGGAGGAGATTGGTTCCCACTGCATGAGAGCCTTATGCTGTTGGGGACATCATGATAGCCACTCAAAAACTCAGTGTGCTTGTGGTTGTCGTCTGGGTGAGAATATCGGAGTAGATTATTGATTCTCCAGTTGATAGTTGGGGGAGTCCACTCCCATTCCATCTGATTTCGCATTAACTAGGACCTCCGTTATTCTACTCAGCAGTTTCCTATCTCCTTCCTTGAATACTTCTGTTCCAAACCTAAGGACCATGCTTATTAGGATCGTTGCAGGTTGGAGGCAGCCTTTTTAACTTCTAGCAAGATTGAAGGAGCAACATCGACGTCACATTCAGGTTCGAGTTGGCTGGATGCTCGACAACTGAAGCGTTACTTTGGACCAGTTGAACTACGTTTCAAAGTGTTCCGCCCAACTTTCTAGCCATCTGTCCTGAGAAGTTTCAATGTACCATCCTTTTCGGTGATGGTTTCACTACCCATCGTTTTCTTCTCGCCAGCGTCATTAACAAGCCTGAATAGTTGTCCGGCGTTGCTTAACACTTATGTCTTTTCCATCTCTTTCGCTCTCACTATCCATCACTGCTCGTGATCGTTGCGAAAACTGTTGGTCAATTTACGTTCGATCAGCTTTCATTCCTCGTTGCGGTCAAAGCTAACTAGAACCAGTCTTCTCGCATCAATCAGTTCGAATGAGGTTGCGGAAATCTAATAACATTTGTTAACTTTTTGATGTAGGTTACCAACTATTTTTACTGTTGTTTCTACAGCAGATCTAATGTGACGCCAGGTTTCCTTAGAATGAGGATTGCTGTTGTGTTTACATCAACGCTTAGTTGTCCCCTCCCTAAATACGCACTTGGTGTTCTCATCTTCTAGTAGAGCACCCACAGTCTTCCCTGTCACCTGTTTCCTGCAACCAGTAAGGCACAGACATACATATGGCTTTACTAACACAAAATCGGAGTCCAGATAGGTAATGCAGAAAGAGCGGCAATCCTCTATCGATCGTCTCCAACGATGGCTTATAGTAATATGATTCATCTACGACCATTGTTGGTCTGATGTCGGCGGATGCCATGTTAAGCAGTACCTCTCCCTATGCTTGGAGTTAGTGCTGGTCAAAAACAAGTGATTATCAAAACAAAATTGTATCAGACAATCACTACCGTTGGTTCATTGGCATGACATTTCGTAGATAACCGATAAATATCTTTCCGATTAACTTAGCCTTCCAGTTGAGCGTTTAAATTCCCTGCTATTATGAATGCATCTCAATGATTTTATTTATATAGCAAGATTGACAGCTTTTGATAGAGTTCTTCTTTTGTATCATCTGAACCTTGCTTGGTGAGTGCGTAGATGGAGATCGCAAATAGAAGTCACCGAGTGTCAACGTCCTTCCTACTTCTTACAGATCTATTCAGTTGGTTTGCGCATGGTAGGCTAATGACTAGTATCCAATCGAAAAATACACTTTCCACTGGAAACGTTTTGCTATACCTACTCCAGTAAATCTACAAGAACTAATCATTGGATCTCTGGACGCTCATGAGGTGGATTTCGCACATTCAGCACATTGAACGTGTGAAGTCCAATAAGTAACCCTACTTTTGACATGCACCTCCGGTTTGAGATACTAGAGTTTATAAGAAACGCTTGTTTGATCTGGCATAAAATTAGGACGTTGAAAGCTTCAATGCGAAACCGGCAGTGTGTTTTTATGAGGCTAGAAATGGTGCTTTCCTGTCTTTAGGTGTTAACATTAGTCACAGGATAGGAGTTTAAAGAAGTTGTAAGGGATTTAATCGTGTTATCAGGAAGTGAAGGCGAAACGAAAGACAAAAGTAATAAAAGTAGGTTATGATTAGTCGAGTATTTTATGCTTCCGGAAGCGTGCAGTCGGCTGGTACCTTTTAATTGCCCACATGGAAGCTTTTTTGTGTAGGAGGTACGTGAATGCGAAAAATGATTAGGTTTCCGTGAACACAGAGTTCATAAGACATTTGCTTGAGATCGATCATACACAACCTTTTTTGAAAGTTCGACGTTTATAATTTGACATTATAATGAACTCTATGACTTGAAGCCAACTCTCCACTCTTGATTTCAGAGTTATCGTTTGTGTAATTTCTACAGAATGCTACTGATCATTAAACCTATGCCTTTCTTAAAGTTTCATCCCTACCAATCCTAGTGTATTATAGCCCATCTGCCCTATAAAGAAAATGCCAATAGTTTACACACTTTTATTGAACGCATTCTCATGCTTGGATTTAAACTCTTCCTTATGTCTTCATATTTGAATTCATTATGGACTGACATCAGTTGAAGGAATATTGGAAACCTGGAAGCACTTGACAGCTGTTTCGTCCCAGTATGAGACTTTTTAGCAGTGCACACCCATAACCTCACCCCTTCAGGGATCAAACCCGCGGTCTTCAGGTTCCGTGGCCAGCGCGTTACTATTGAACGACACAATCGGAATCGAATGGTCCACATTTTCTTACTTCTGTCAGTTCACAATATAGCGTGACCTCTAACTAATGTCGTCACTGGGTAACTGTCCTCATGTGATATGCTATCATCAATTTTCTTAATAATAGAATGTAGGTAATTGACTAAACTAAGAACTCAACTAAGAGTATAGTCAGATTTGAAATGGTGACTCCTAACTACCTATCATGTGCCTTGCTTAGTTGATTGGCGAAACTTAACTGTTAAGCTATTTTTCACTTTTATCTCAGTAAATTTTTTGTATAACTACCTAAAGTTCCTACCATGATTGACTCAATTTCACTCATCATCTGTATAATAATAACATAGTATCAAAAATAAACCTTCTACTCTTCTCCTATAATATGTTCAATGTTATACTATGTTTACTGACTTCACGGCCACCTAATTTCCTCAATATATTGAGTAGATACAGTGTATGATTGTCAATTTTCATGATAACTGGAAAATCGTGAGTACACTTAGTTATGAATACAGCATGGTATGTTAGTTTTAATTTAATAACACTGGCAGCAATCAAATTCAAATTCTAAATATCTGTTTACTTATGTGATGAATCACAAATACCTAAATGGTACACTCAACTTGATGAAAATGTTGGTTTTAGTGAAGGTTGGGCGTAGGGGGGGGGAGGCGAGTCGAGTAGGTGGAAGGATGACACATTTTTACCATGAAAAGTGTTTAGCTATATAGTTTCACTCACTGAATGTTTAACTGATTGATTTATCATGTTCATTTAAAGCTCAGATCGCAAAAAATTAATTTTTTCAAGCCTACCTACCATTAGAAAGTAGCTGTCAAATATTAGAAACCGTTTTTCATAAAATGATACACTAGTTACCAGTTTATGTGTATGCGTCTCTTTCTGAAATCAAAAAAACACTTTTCACCATCTCGACTAGTTTGTATCCCAATACGTGGTGATACTGCTATGATGAAAGGTGTTCTTTCTATGTATGACAGTATGCGCTTCTCTCACCCCACTGCCAGCCACCTCGAATATTTTATCTGCCCCCATTCCTAAATACGTATGGTTGTATATCTAAATCGTTTTTATTCAGTTTACTGTCCTAACTGGTGCAGGGGTCTTACATTGAGTATGGAGAGCCGAACGGACTAGTTGCTGACAGGATCTCTCAGCTTGGATACAGTAGGGTCGTTTGTTATTTGCGTCATCTATGACACAGACTGGCCAGATATCCGACCATATATCATAGGACGAGTATACTGTGTTGCAGTCAGTTAGTTCTATCCTGATGTACGGCTGTGAGACGTGGTCGTTAAAAGCGGAAGAAACGAAGCAGGTACAGGGTTTTCATCATAAGTGTCTTCATAGCCATTACTAGCGTTTGGTGGAACCACCGTGTGAGCAATGTTGAGGTTAGATAAGCAAGTCGATTGATGAGTTTTGAACGTTAGTGGACTGAGATGTCTTGCACATGCACTGCAAATGCCGAGCCAACACCTACCTCGGTATGCCATGCCAGTGGAAGTTGGGTTAGGATGAAAATGGGTCCAGTGTGGTCAGACCAAGACGTGGTATCAGTCTATGAAGTCCGTGACTATTGGCCTGAGCCGTGTTGGGAGATGTAGACTACCTGGGTGAGGACCTCGAAAAGAAAGAAATTGGTGGTTGAAGTCTGTTAATGAGACGGTTGAAAATCGATCACGATGCTACCAACGTATTCACTCGTGGACATCTTCTAAAGCTTGAATATTTGTACTAACCTTCATCTTCACATTGTTTACTCTGTCACACTACTTTGTCTACTTTGATATCACATCTTTTCTATCCACCTGTTCTTTGTATACTTCTGTGAAGCGTGGTAGGTTCAAGTAATGCACCTATGTGCGAGGTTCTACGTTGATTTTGTCTTGTTTGTCTGGTAATATTCTTCTGACATGAAATAAATCGTCAATACGTTAATGGATATCCCTTTCTCTCCCTATCTCTATTTCATCAAGGTTATTCTACATACGACGATGAATTCATTTTGGCTCTACGAATTCAGGATATCTGCTTCATCTACTGGCCACTATTCAGTGTGAATAATCGTTGGGATATCTTTTCCAATATTGGCAGTCCTGCCCCATCTCCACTAAATACAAATCCTTCAAATTATTTCAATTATACACACCATACTACTGCTAACTTGAGTAATAGTAGCAATTTAAACCATCTAATTGGTTTACCAAATTGGTTTATTCGATTTTCTAATCTCTGGCAAACACCATCACTACCAATAATTACTAAAGAATATCCAAGTTATCATGCACCAGATTGTTTGTTTTCTCAACACCTACATTTTGAACATTTAACTGTAAATTTTCAAATGCCGTATCCAGAGTATTCCATTCTGTCAGCTAACAAACCAACTTGTATAAATTATCAATTATTGCCTGTACTATTACACTTTATGATCGGTTGTGAATCAGCTAGCATTACAGTGAATACAGCAATGGAAATGTTGACAATCAATTCATCAATTAATCAAAATAATAGTGTTAATCAAGTGGATATGCAACCGGGAATGTTAGTTATGGCATTTATCAATAATTTGGCTCTATTCATCTTCCCTGTCAAAATCACTGTAAGTTTTGAGTTAAATTTGGCGGCATACCTCACTTATACTCCATACTAGATTTGTATATTTGATATATACCGTACAGTGAGTGATACAGTATTATCTGCTTGATGACATTTGTGCATAAATTATTATTGTTCATAATCATATCAATGTAATCATACAACTTTCGGTATTGGTTCGATGAATAAAGATGAAGGTAGCCCTATACCGTGAACTGACAGAAGTACTAAATATGGACCATTAGATTCCAACCCAGTGGCTTAACGCTAGCGTATTATGATTATTTGCCCCTTGGGTTCCTAGTGGAACATAGGGCTTCACTAGCGCGTCTCCATTTCACTCTGTTCTCAACAGTCTTTTTAACCTGGCTCTACTTCTGCCCAGAAACTTTCATTTCTTCCTCACACCATCTCCCCCATGTAGTCACCCTCGACTACGACGCCCAACTCACCGTTTCCCAGTTGGATTCCACTCGAGGAAGTGGCCTGATGCGTGATGTCCCTAAAAAGTCTTCTCAGTGAATGTTCAGTCCAATCCATCTCCACTTCCTTCTTCTGCATATTTGTTGGGCGATAAGTTCTTGGTTGGTTCGTTGACAGCTAGAGTGAGTTTCTTGTTGCTTATTCTTTCTTACCATCTATCTGATCTTCGGTGTCAGTATGGAGTGAGTTTAGGCGGCATCCAATGATGATGCATGAGTGCAGTAGATCTCCTGATCCTGTTGATGTGCGCTGAGTGCAGTAGATCTCTCGCAGAACCTGAAAGTCTTTAGTGCAGTCCTTGATGGGACCACGAGTTCACTCTGATAAGGAGTCCCATACTAGGACGAAACAACTGTCCAGTGTTTTTCCATTTGGTGCCAGTTCGGGATGAACACCAACCTGAAGTCTGTAATTATACCTATTGGATCATTAAGCTGACGAAGCTTATCACTGAGTGAGTTTGTAGGTTCAAATGGTCATCCTTATTCCAACCTTGTTGAGAATCCTTACTTCTTATTTTAATGATTCTATACAACACACTACCAAAAACTAAAACAGTCAGTGAGTAGTGATAGTAGAATATTTTAAAAGTGATAATATTGTGTGTATGAAATATACCAGGTGACTGGTGACTGGTGAGAATCAGTGTATTGATCATGTTACGTAATAGATTTGGATTACTGAAATGTTACATCTCGTATCACTGTTCAAGTTTTGTCCTACTGATGTCAGTCCATGATGAATACCAAGACTGCATGCATAGTTTGAATTAAATCGTTCTTCAGTAATTTAAACACTCAAGTATTAACCTTTTCTGGGCATAGGTCTGAACACCCTTGATACATTAAATAAATCTCAATCGAACATTTGATGTGGTTCATATTATGAATACTGACCTATTATTATCATCATCATCATCACTATTTGTTATTCATGATAGAATCTGCAAAAATTAAATGAATATATGTTATTCGATTTGAAAGTTCCAGGGGATCGACTTGTTTCAAATTTTTATATTCTGAACAAGAATAATTTGAGTTAACAATTGTTTTCAATAACTTCCCTCATCGTCAGGCTCTATACAGTTATAAATTCATGAGAATAAGTGAAATACAGTAGCCAAAATAAGGTATGATATACAGTTACTACAATATTGAAATAGTCCATGTTATAATGTGTAAATGGAGATCGAATCGAATGAGATGATGGATTGTTATAAGTCTAGTGTGTTAGTCGTCACGGTTGAAAATAACTACAGGTAGTAGTATGAATGAATAAAGAAGGGCATAAAACTAATAAAGTACAAAAATGAATGTTTATCAATTAATGGTAATATAGAAGAAATGGATGGGAAGTTAAAATGTGCAATGTGTGGTAGGAAATTTCGTAAAGAAAGTATCGACCCTATTTTGGGCCAAGGTAAACAGAGTGTATATATTTCTTCTGAACACATAGGTCCGGTTTTCTTACGTTGATCCGTATGGCTTTGACTATGGATAAGATGCGAAGTCGTGCACCTTTATAGAGATTGCAAAAGACATGGTATATCATAGAAAAGGTGTGATCTACCTTAATCTGATATCCGGTATGTACTAGATGTGAAAGGATTGCACTGTTGATGCTCTTTGTCGTTCTTTTCTGTAACCAAGATGGTACATGTTCACGAGTGTGCGTGTGCGTGCGTGGTTATCGCCTTTAAGTACGGCCTATGTGACTAGCTCCACAAGAGCAGTTGAACTCATAAATTCACATTGAAGTGGTCATCATTTGTAACTTATCCATGGTTCGCTGTGTCAGTAATGGTTTGGTTGAGAAGCTGACAAAACGTTTCGCTGCATTGAATGCCTTTTCGACTTATCTACTCAATCGATATGTTAAGATATCCGAGGCAAAGTATCATCTTTGAAACTTATTCTTAGCAACATTGTCTTACTTTATCTTCTCTCTAGGTTTTGATAGATGTTTATTTATAAAGTTAGCGATAACCATCTTTCTGCAATGTTACCTTCAGTTTATTCATTTCTTTTCAATAGTCATCAGACAAATATTTCTTATTGTGTAACTGAGGCATTTGAATCGGTGTAAAGCTATGAAAGTGTGTTCTACGGTTAACCGCTTCAACGGGTGATATTTTTGTTTATGACGTAGAATCTGTGGAACTAATTTTCATTTGTTCAAAAATTCCTATTCTAATAGAAATATGTAGACAAAAACATCCTTTGAATATGATCACCACGTTTTGCAATATTTTTCTGATCGAACTTATTAAATATAGGTGGAAGCTCTGATAGCGTCATCATTTTGAATAAGAAATGGGAAAAATTGAATATCCGGATATATAAGCAAACAACAATTAGAGATTCTGAGGCTTCAGTCAAATATACATCGATTGTTTTTCAACATATATACTAAATATGAAGTCAGTGAAGGTTATTTGTAAGACAGCGGTAACAAGGATGCTGACTGTGTACTTTTGGATAATAAAATTAGTGACAGTACAATAGATGATGCGTATGCTGAGAATGATATGACAATGTAAACACAATATCCATACAAACAAAGTAGGTCAGAGCTTGCAAAAGGACAGTGGGGTCGCCTAATACTGGCGAATAAAACCACGGGATAAATGAAGCTTGAATGTGAATATAGTAGTAGTGTGAAAGGGATGACAAATATAGAATAAAGAGAGGAAGGGCAACATTTTAAAATTCTATAGGTAAGGTTATTCATTGAGTCTTCCCTGGACAAGACAGGGATAAAGGTTTCACAAATTCATTCCCAATACAGAGGTTTGCTTTTTTCATTTAATTCGCATAGCTTCAGTCATGTGTAAAAGGCGAATTCGAACTTTGTCGGAAATGTTCGGTGGGATGCGGTAAATCACTTTGGATGCTTTCCTTTTATCTACTTCCACTACCAACTAGATACGACAAAATAGAGTTTCTTATCGATTTAACCTGTCGTTTTCCCATTCACGAAGGTAGTTAGACGTTGGGTATTATGTTGGTTAAGTTCCCTAGTCGTAAACTTGATATAACTATCCTTACAGGATAAATTAAATTGATAAATACACATGAAAGTGGGGAAACTGTGTAACCTGTCATTCATATGGCACAATCCCATATCCCGCTTATCACTGATTCATAAATTATCTTGATTGCTTTATATTTTATGAGCGTGTTGAAAACTATCTATCTATGTTAGAGTGAAACCCAAGGAGATGTAATTGAAAACAATATTATTCCCTTATGTATCTTATAACTTTCAATATAGGGGGGTTTTCTAACATTTTAAGGTTATATGTCTTTGTATTTCTGTTCAAATAAATATATGTAGTGAAAAATATGATTGCAATACCCAGATAAGTTGAAATCAAATATTCAATGAATATTTTAGGCGGGATGTAAGTCTCTTTCGAGGTTGTAGATACGCCCTGCTGACAGGTGACAAAACTCTCGAGATCTACGTCAAGCAAGACTTTCTCACAATTCCATCAAAGAATTTTATCTGGTTTATTTATGAACTTGTTATATTATAATGTAAAATGAACAAACTGTGTAACGATTGATTAGTCGAGAACTTGAGCAGCTAACTGTTCTCACTAAATTCTCATCAGGCCTACATTATCATCAAATAATAAAATGAGAATATCAACATAGATAAAAATTAAATAAGATCACGTCGAAGTGTTGGATAATGGAATTCTGTGATGAATGTGGAAGCAATGCAAATTATAAAATTTGATTAAATACGGATCGAGGCTTACGCATTAGAGACCCATCTACCAACAGAGATAAAGCGATCCGACCGTGCGTAGCAACGGGAAATTACAAGTATCATAACAACAGTGATACCCGTTGCACAAGAGGTAGCTACTATGCCCAAGTGGCTTACTGGTAACGGTTTGATGTTTGAATCTATAGGTATTGATCTCGAGTCTTAGTGGGGTGCAGGTACATCCAACTGACGAATCCCAAATAAGACGAAACGCACTTCCTAGATTCCACTGCTAGCCATAACTAAGTCAGTTATGAGTTTAGTATTAATTTATCAGGTCAGAATACCAGTACTAGTTGTGTTCTTTGGAGTTATGGTACATTGGTCTGGAAGACTGACTTTCAACCAAATGGGTTCGAACACCACTCCACCTATTGAAACTTCGGTAGTCAGCTGGTATCATTAGCTTTCTCACACAATTGGTGTACCTCATTTCCTCCTGCACGAATAAGCGCTAGTTTGCTGGGAGTGTCTAGATTTGAATTGTATTTATGTTTTTGTAAATATGCGTTTCAAGTTGTTTGGTTTCAACTGCTATTATTTCTTCAATGAAAAAGATTCAAAGTTAGATTGCTTTAGTTTGAAATAAATTAAAACCGATCCTTATCATTTTTTATCATGCACTGAGGTTTACATATTTCTCATTCGCACTTGTGAGGACTCAAAAGTCTAAATAATCTTGAGATTTCCTTAACTGATCTTGGGGGCCAATAGTTACAGCTTTGATTTGAACCCCACTTTGATTGATCTCTGTTATCATATAGGCTTCTATGTGGATGCTTCGATATTGTCTGAATACTTATTGTTATGACTGACTTGGTTGCGGCTAGTAGTGGAGTCCATGATCCACGTTTCATCCTATTTGGGATGCGTCAGCTGAATGCACATGTATCGCTTGAAACTCCAAAGCGTTCGAGCCTCAATGGGAACAACATCATTCACTAGGGTATAGAAGCATCCAGCTGATGAGTTTCAAATAGGACGAAACGCGCGTACTGCATACCATAGCTAGCCAACACCAACCAAATTATAAAGCTAATAATCGATGACCCAGACTAGTGTCAATAAAATTGATGTACACCTTATGAATCAGTGGGTGTGTATAAATTGCTAGACTTGAGTTTCAGTAGGAATTCTAGTACTGTCTGTGGTGTATGCACATGCATAAACAGAACTAAGTGTTACTATTATCTGCTGAGAAGAATAATTATTTCCAGGTACTAGTCGACCAGCAGTTGATGTACTCATGTTTATTCTGACAATGAATTGCATAATTTCTCATGTAAAATTCTTTTTCATAGATTTATACCTAGTACAGTTTTATATTCAAGAGATAGAAATAAAACAAAAGTGTTTATAAGTTAATGTTCTAAAACGTATACACTACAATGTCTTTCGCCGTCTTCTTCTACATTACTACCTCTAGTCAACCAATACAACTGGTAATATTCTCCGCACTTCTGAAGTAAATCATACGCATCCATTATTAACTAGTTTTCGTAATTGGCTCAATACCTTGGATCTTAATAAAGCTGTGTGTGTGGCAAGTTTAGATCATTTGGAGTTGAGATGCTTTTCTGAGCCTGTTATTCTACCAAATACAATTGTAAGTTCAGGTTAATTAATAATTCTTTGTTCAACATACTACTATTTATATATAAGTAATCACTTACTTAATACCAGTTTGACTATCTGAGATAGCCATGCTTTGACTGACTTGTACTGATATTATGTGATGATTGAATGTGAAACTAATAATCTAGTCTATAACTAGGCTAGTGAGCTGTAGATCACTGATTGGAATCCTGCTACAGCCCAGACATTCTCATCTCATCTTCAATCGTCACTCATTATTTATCTAATAGTTGATATAATTGAAATCCAATAATTCTACAGTAGTCTATCAACACGGCAGCTGGCATTGAATGCCTTTTTTTTAATTCTTATTGATAACATTTGAGTAGCATTGATGTTTATAAGTTGATTATACAGTTCTCCAATAGCTTACATCGATTTTTCGACGCATAAACTGCTGGGCCAACTCTGCACCCTGGCTTCATCACCTCAAGGCCAGCGTACATGCATTCCAGCATGAAGCTAGATGCATGCGTGGGCAGCAAACCACTGAATGGCAAGCCGAACCCGATCGCTCAAACGATTTAAAATGGTAAAGACATAAACAGGGCGGATTACATGGCTATAGCACACAACTCTCTTTAAACCTCTCACACGACTATAAGATCATGTACTGTACCATCACCCTTAACGATCTGGTAACATAAAGTCACCTGAGCACCATAAGAGTATCTGACAGGTTAAGTACTAATGGAAGTAACCCTGTGTACGTCTGTCCTTACATGGATTGACCTACTCCCTGGAAGTCATCTAGTTGACTTGGAGTGTGCAGACAATATTTTCCTACTAGGTGAAGACGCTGACAAAATACTCGGTCTTCTGAACGTGTTGAGCAGAAATCTGAGTATGTTTGGCTGGCACACGTCTCGCACCTGTCAAATGTAAGATGATACTCCAGGACTGACCTGCTTGAAGTACTCCCAGATTACTGATAGGAAGTGAAGTGGTGAAATGTGTCGACTACTTCACTTACTTGGGGAGTTGCATCAACTGATCGAACAGGTTGGTTACTGACGAAATCTCATCTGGGATACAAACGTCCCGTTTGGGATTTACCAACTTACGTCATCTGTGACGCAGACTGGCGAGATATCTGACTATCTATCAAAGGACGAGTATACTGCGCTGCAGTTCGTTTTTTCCAGCTGTACGGCTGTGAGATATGGCCGTTAAAAGTAGAAGACGTGAAGCGGTTACAGGGTTTGGATCATATGTATCTTCGTAGCATTACCCATGTTTGTTGGAATCACCGTATGAACAATGTTGAGGTCAGGTGAAGGGTACTAGGCAAGACAGGCAAGTCGATCAAGGAAGTTGTGATTGTTACTCAACTGAGATGTCTTGGGCATGTACTGCACACGCCGAGCCATCCCCTACTTCGATGTGCCATACTAGGTAAAGTTGGAATAGAATATAAAAGGGTTGAAGGTGACCAGACTAAGGACTGACACCAGTGGATGAAATCCGTAACTGTTGGCCTAAGTCGTGCGCAGAGATATAGACTACCTGGTTGGGGTCGTTGAGGCGAAAGGAATGAGTGGTTAACACTTGGTGGCATAACTGGAAATTGTCTGCAGTGAGGCGGATGTACTAACTCCTCGACATCTAAAGCTTGAATATTTGTACTGACCTTCGTTTTTAGATTGCTTATTCTCTCATACAACTTTGTCTACTTTGATATCAACCCTATTCTATCCACTTGTTCCTTAAATGCTACTTTGAAGTGTGACAAGTTTAACTAATCCACTGGTGTGCGAAGTTCTACGTTGATTTTGTCAGCCAATCAGTTAGTTGTAGGTTGATTTACAATATATGTTTGCATACTTGAGTACTAAATAACTTGATCTGACTTCTCTAACTTTGATTTCCTTCAATGCGTGTAAACTAGGAGTAGAAACGAGTAATCCCTTTGCCCCGTTCTGTATTTATTTACAAGTATATTGATTAAACTCGAAAGAAAATATCTCAGCCGGACTCTAACCAGTAGCCTCTGTGTGATTGTATAGTGCTTCATGTATACTGATGAAACCAGGACAACTGTATACCAGTCAAATATTTTCATACAGCCTATCAGAGATAGCGAGTGCTGATTTTTATTGTAACTCATTCTGTTAGCTAATGCATAACAACATTCAAAAACTTTCATGCTTTTAGAATATTAAAAGAAAGTTGGCATTTATATGGAGCACTGGACACCTGTCTCGTCATTGGCGTGGGACTCCCCAGCAGTACACACCCACGGCCCGCCTCTCCGAGGATCGGACTCAGGACCTTCAGGTTTCATAGCGAACGCAGTAGCCATTCAACCACAAGGTCGAGGTTCAATGGTCCACAGTTTCCTAGTTCTGTCAATTCGTGATATAACGTGACTGTCCACCAAGGTTTTCAGTTGGCATCCGCTTCACTTGCGACTGGTTAACCGCAGTCATGCTATATCGAAAAGTGATGGAACTAGAAATTTGTCCACCATTGGACTTTGATTAAATGGCTGAATGGTTAGTGCATTCGCCGTGTAACCTGAAGGTCCTGAATCGACCCCCTGGCGGGGAGGGTCGTTGATGTGTACTGCTGAGGAGTCCCATACTGTGACAAAACAGTTGTCCAGTGCTCCAAGGTTTTCAATGTTTCTCCAACTGTTTTCATTTCTATCTATGATGAAAATAGTACCTTAGAAATAAAATCTCCATTAACCTCAAAATAAATTCAGGTCATGGTATCTGTAAATTGTGAGTATTCTACTAAATAAACACAACTAAATGACACATTCATAAACAGATCTCATAGTAGAATATTCTGACACAGTACATAATAACTAATATTAACAATCCACGCTATTCAAATAGATACTTCATTCTCTCACTTTTCTACCACTAATATTGTATTGCCTAATTCAATTTATATTAGCCTCTATAAATCGAAATGTTGAAAGCACCATCTTTCTGGAAATATATATATATATATGCATTTCTGTTGTATTAAGTTGTGCAATTATTGATGTATCTACGTGGGGAAATATAAGTGCCTACGTTCGTACACATACGGAAGAAATCTAGCCAATAGCGTCTACGTAGAGTGTATTTATTCAACTAAATGCATTAGTAGTGTGTGTTAGCAAAGTGACAAAGATTAAATGAAAATAACTTTATTGGAAAGTAAAAACAGAGTTAACTTTTTTGTTTATAACTTCAAAATATGTCTTTCAATAACTGTCCCATAAAATGAGAGTGACTTTTGAAGGTGACTGTAGCAACGCTTGAAATAGCCGATAAGATTGCTTTATTTCGTTCGGAAAGGCAAATTTTCATCAAATTAAAAAGGTCGAATTGGTTATTTCAGTCTTTGCTGAATCAGTCTAAAATACATCCATAGTTTGTAATTTGTTTGCGTCCTGGATTTTACTACTGGTTACCACCAAGCAAATTGCAACGTTGTCAATAATCAGGCAGTGATAATCTATGAAGTTCCTCCACTTCATCTTAACTGGTATATTTCCACATAAAATGAAGAAAATTAACTGGTTAGGATGGCTTTTAGATTCAATCTTTAGGTAAAGCTTTAAAGAGATATTTCCCTGTTTTCTCTGTTTAGATGAAACACCCACTAAAAAATCGAGTTGCAATCCAAAAGTTAGCGAAGGGGATTGACAATAGTTTGATGTATGCAATTCAGTGTGTTCATGTTAGTTTTGTTAATCTGTGGAACGGATTTCTATTCGTATAAATAAAGATTCCCCTCATCGACTCTACATCTCGTTTAATGACATAAAATACTATCAATAGGATGGAAGGAATAGGTTTTTCATCTATCATCTGATGGATACCAATTCAATACAAACCAATCTGTTAGGCTACGGAGGATATACACATAACACCGTAGGACCAAACAACGTATATGAAAACCATGATGTGTATTATGATCAATAATAATGATAACAATAGTAATATTAACGAAACAGATCAAGAACAAAAACTCTGGAAGTATAAGATACAGGTAATAATTGAAGACGTAGATGTTTGATTTGACAACTTGAATTACGCAAGCATCTTTTTATTCTAATGTCTACTAATTATCGTGAAGGACTTACATGCATCAATGTTATGGACATACTCCATTGAGTGTTTCGTTATCAGGGTTTTCTTTTCTGTACGCTTCAACTATTTTTGTGTAGGTGCCCAACCTTATGCGTAGAAAGACACCTCAGTGTACAACCTATATGTTTGCTTTTGCTGACATATTCCTATGATATCTACATGTGTCAAGGATCTGAACGCTGTCCTTCTCGGGTTATACCGATACTGGTTTAGTAGCACTGAGTAACATGAGTTTGACAACGTATTCGGTCCTTTTGATAGGCTTTTCAAGTTTTCGCCTAATTATCTTCTAACATGTCATCACTTTCAAATGCTAAGGTGATGTAAACTGACTTTTTCGGTATGTTGGGGACATTGTCATAATTTCTACCCATTTTGTTGCTTGTATATAAAGCCCGTTTTTTACTAACATGTTTTTCAGAATAGTTACTTCATGGTTAACTGTCGTGTCACAGCATATTTTTAACTTTACTACTGGAATTCTATCATATTTATTCATACACTATGTAGTTTTCTTTTCGAAATACGGTTATGCATTTGTATACAGTTGTAATCCACTAACTTGAGTTCGCACAAGAAGAAGATTGCGTTTATAAACTTGTATTCGCACAGTTTATACAAGTTAGACAAATCACTAATGAATATATAAACATCCTCATAAATAAAAATATAATCCCAGTCACTGTGGCATATCAAGACTAAATAATATAATGGTAATGACTCATTTAACCATAGTATCTCTTTAAACAGCAGATGTGGCCTTTATTAGCCATATTAACCTGACTCACTAATGAACTGCGATTGGCATTTATCGTTATCTTTGACTCATCGGGAACGGATCCCCTACCTAGTTTTAATACTTTCAACGAATATGATCTATTCCCGAAATGGTGAAGAATATTTATTGTTCAGGTGGATGAGCGTGGTTGTATTATTGTATTCTCTAGGCTGGGTTGCTTAATCGTATCCACCTCACGATTGAACAATCCAGCTGAGAGATTACAATATTTATTTCTGTTCAGCGTAGTATACTCAAACGATGTAAAGTTATGCATGGAAATCTGCAAAACTATTTCCACTTCTCACATGTAAATAGATACTCTAAAGTCGATTTGCGTTGGGACTGAATCTGATGAATGTGTTTGTCACTCTGCAAAACCCTGACTTACAGCATTACCACAATCTATTTTCTCCTACGGTTATTCCGCGAAGTCACTAACAATGGATTACCTAAAAAGGTCTACCTTTATTCCGCTGTGTAATCATTGTTCGCATATAGAAAAAATAAAAATAAGCAAATACACGTAAAATATTAACATAGGACCTGGAATCAGTACATATCCGTCTACAATTCGATGCCACATCACTACATCAAAGAAGAAGATATCAGAGAGAAAGATTAAAAAAAGATAAAGTAAACGTGTGATCGAAAACTGTAGAAAGCTACTAGACCAAGAAGGAAGAGAAAATAAAGCCCGCAGCGAAATTCGATAAGGTATAAATGCCTGAGCTTCACTGCAATCTATTCTGATCCATTTAACTTATCACTGATTTTGGGGTTGTTTTGTCTACCTAAATAGCCAGCCGACGTCTCTCAGTACAACTCAAACCAACGGAAATGATACTTGTAATTTCCCGTTGCTATACAGGGCCGAATTCCTCGACCTCTACTGTTGGTAGATGGGCTACTATGCGCATGCCTCGATACTCTCGCATAGTCATCATGTTGTTGGTGATTAGCAGAGGAATCCAGGACACTTCTTTCGTCCTATTTGAGACTCTTCGGCTGGTTAGAAACGGAAAATTACTGGTATCACTACGCCAACTGATACCCGTCTCACAAAGGGTGGCTATCATGCCCCAGCATCTTGTTAAATAACGCTCTGACGTGTGAAGTGAAGGGTTCTGGGTTCGAACCTCGGTGGGAACAACATTGCTCCCTGAGGTGCAGGTACGTCCAGCCGACAAGTCGCGAGCAAGACGAAACGCGCATCCTAATTCCTCTACTAGTCACCAAGACCAGTTGGAAACTTGGTGAACTAATGGCATATTTTTAAATCTGCCCGCATTTAACCCTTTATGAATCATAGCCCTAATTCAGTTAGCATTATGCATCCGAGGCTACAATAGTCTTGAATGCAGAACACATATCTTCACGACCTAAGTTGTTGGAAGGTGTACATTGTTTATTACTACGGTCACGTGATGCTGCAAAGGAAAGGATGGTCGAATACCTTAAACTTCCTTATATCCCCATATTTTGTTGTTATGTCACTCCGTAGGAAAAAGTAATCTGGTTGGGTAGGACATTCAACTTTTAATAGATGCAAGTTCGTGGGAAAAAAATTGAGTGCCAGTTAAAAAAGGTAAATCATCCTATGAATAAACAAAATTATACAGATTCCATGTTAGATTTGTTTATTTGACATTTGAGTGATACATTATTTACTGGATGATGTTTCGAGCATAATTTAGTACTCATATTCGTATCAAAGTTATCATATGACTTTCAAACTTCTTTTATGTAGTCCAGCAGTTTCTCATTCCCTTATTTTAATGGTAGTAACATTTCCTAGATATCTGCAATATGTAGTGAATCATTCCTGTTACATGTTTTAAGTGTGGATTCAATGAACGAAGATTCTATGATCAACCTCTCCCTCCAGCAAGCCATGTTGCATTTTATTATTATCACCTTAACCCACCCTATAGTGTGATAATGGGTCAGTGCTTGAAGAGTGATAGCCGAGATTTTCTTCAAATTACTTATCTTAGTAGGATTTACCATTGTGTTTCGCTAAATGTTTGTGTTCTGCTATTCTGACTGACCCAAATCGGCTGCTTTGACCTATATTATTGACCTCACAGTCATTACACGGTATTTTCCTTAATTACCTACACTACAGAGGATTTGAGTTCCCTCTTAGTTATTTTGCAGTCACTACTAGCATTGCCAGTCTTTCTCTTATCAGTCCTTGTAAACTTTTCGATAAATTCCGGAGGGTGGTTTAAAGAAGTAATGCCTCGTTGATGTCTTTCATTTCCTTGTTTAGGTTTTCTGACTTACTAACCAAACTCCTAACCCGATTACTTAGATATTTTATCAGGCCTAACTTGACAGTTATTAAGTGAGATGATGTGAAATCCAAGTATCGAGTCTAGTGTGTTGGTTTCCTATCAACAATGGTATCTAAGCTCTCACTTTCAACTAATGATAATTTGTGCTACAGATTTTGAAACACAATATGCGATAACGTGTGGGTTTAGATTTAGATTGAATGAAACCTTCGAGGGATTAAACCGACCTATGGTAGCAGCCTAACATAATAATAATCACTTTAATGTTATTGTTTGTATTATCTCGTCGTTTATTGGACCGAATTCGGATCCTAGTGGGAACAACATCAGTGACGAGTTTCAAATAAGACAAAACGCGCGTCCTGGATTCCACTGCTATCCATCATTAATAATCACTTTATTCCAGACGATAATTTTTAATACAGTATGGAATTATTACCGTGACGTTTCAAAAAGTGTACTTATTGCGCAGTTTTTTCAACTTCAATAGCCATTGCAACTGAATAATGTTAATAATAACAGTATGCTAAGCAATAATACACAATAAGCAGTTGTTTTTAGATTATTGTTTAGTTTGTGGGTACGTTGTTGGACTGGCGGATGAGTAGAATACCACCCATTGGTTCGGTTGTGGAAGATCATTCAGGCAGCATGAAAAATTTGCAATTCCTGCTAACTATTCCTGAAATAGTTATGTGTAAACTATTGTGCGCTCAAGCTTCCACTGCTACCTATCGTGATGTTATTTTTGTAGTTTTGTTGCATATAAGATGGAAAATATTTGGTAAGCCAAAATTTTAAACAGGCCTCCAGAGTAGTATGGTAATTATGGTATGTGCTCTGCACCATCGAACTGCGAAGTACTTTTCCAAGACTGGCCGGAGCCTATACCTGCGCTTACCCTCGGTGGTGAGCCGTTGGAAGTAGTTGAAAAGTTCGTATATCTGAGTGGTTGTGTGAGTGATGAAATTTACAACCGCATATCGAAAGTCACCTTTAGCGCCGTTGCCACGTTAGTTCGACCGTAAGAGATCGGGTTTAAAACGCTTTGGTGCGAGTAGTTTTACTCTACACCTGTGAAACCTGACATCTCCGAGCTAAGGATATGCGACGACTCTGTGTGTTCGATCATCGTTGTCTCCGTAGGATTGCTCATATCCGGTGGCAACACCATGTAAGTAATCCTGAGGTACGACAGCGTGTGTTTGAACATGATGGAGAGCGTCATTCAATGAGTGAAGTTATCTGGAAACACTGGCTTTAGTGACTTGGACACGTGTTACGCATGTCGTCCCAACGGCTTCTATACCGTTCATTGTTTGCTAACCGTGAGACTGGATGGAAGAAGCGGAGTAGGGGTGGTGAGTGTATGACGTGGTGCCGTGAGATGAAGGATAGTTGTATCGGGTTAGCATCTGTTAGTGCATCATGACTCCCTGGGTGGAGTCCAAGAGATTGCAGAACTCAGTGACTTGAGACGAAATCAGAAACGAAACCAGTGGCAATCATGCTGCTGCTTCCTACTATCTTCTGCTGCTGAAAAGTAATGAATGTTTTGCTTCGAATGTACTTTACTGAACTGCCCTTCTAATCATTCTATTCTTATTGCGTTTTTCTTTTTCACTTATTCACTTCCCTTCGGTTTATATCTTCATAATGTTGTGTTGAGCATCTCAAGATCATCGCAGTGACTATCTATACCCTTATTTTACACCTTCAGAATTTTATTATTCCTAATATATTTACCCCTTTTTCTCTTGTTTGCCGTTAAAAATGTTGGAGTTTCAAGGAGGGGAGGGTGGTACATTGTCATATGACGTCTAAATCATCTTGCATATATATATATATATATATATATATATATATATATATATATATATATCTGTTCAACTTTACTGACACCGTTGACTTCAACATCAAATGGCCTGTTCTATTCACTACATTGAGTATAACGTTTCCTCAAATCGATATAAACAGACACTTTTACTTGATCTTATTTTCACAAAGTGTCTAACCTAGTTTTTTTACTCTGAAAAGCGTATCTGTGATGTTGTTATCATTCTACTACTATATTAGTGTGTATGTGTGTGGAGTTGTTTCGTCTGTTTAAGGAATTGACTTTCAACCAATGGACCACGAGTTTGAACACCGCTCCACCTACTGGGGTTTAGGAAGTTATGTAGTAGTCGTCTGCAGCCTTCATACACACGCAATAGGTCTGGCTGGTTGCCTGCTGCACGAAGGTGCTCGAGGTAGTTGAGTGAATTTCGCTACTAGTGTGTTTGTGTTTGCATGCATACGTGGACAGTAGTGTATTTTCTTTATTAATTTATGCCACTAAGTTTCATCTTCCTCAACTATAAGTGAAATAAATTTCCTCTATTTTCTTCTTTTCACTAATATAGGATAATAGTGACAGTAGTCAATCACTTGTCAATCAAAATTCTACACTGTCTAGAATAGTGAATCAATTCGATATGCGAATCACAAATAATCTTCTGAAGATAAACACATGTGCAGATAGTTTAGTTGTACTGCATAAGCTTGTTGAATTGCTAAGTGTCTCTGAAACTCTTCCCACAAATCATCTATCCCCATCTGTTACGAAGATACCTTCACCTGCTATGTGTTCAACAGATTCTGGTGTTAAGCGTTTCAATCCATCGAGTTCAAGTGTGTCAAGTCCCATTCATCTGGTGAGCTTGTTTCTCATTTTAATGCTTTTTCTTTCTATTTATTTATACAACTAGTTGAGATCTATGGTTAGTTGAAATTGTCTACGCTATTTCGCATACAATATGTAATATCCAGCTATTATATTATTATTTGTCCTTTTGGTTCCTAGAGGAACATAGGGCTTCAGTAGCATATCGCCATTTCACTCACTTCTCTACAGTCTTTTTAACCAAGCTACACGACTGCCCACAAGCTTTCATTTCTTCTTCACACCATCTCCTCCATGTAGTCACCCTCGACTTCAACGCTCAACTCGTCATTTACCCTTTGGGTTCCACTCGAGGACGTGGCCTGATGCGTGATATTCCCAAATGGTCTTCTCAGTGAGTGTTCAGTCCAATCTATCTGCACTTCCTTCTCCTGTATACTTGTTGGGTGATAAGTTCTTGGTTGGTTCATTACCAGCCACAGTGAGTTCCTTGTTGCTAATTCTTTCTGACCATCCATCTGATCTTCGGTGTCAGTATGGAGTGAGTTTAGGCGGCATCCAATGATGATGCATGGGTGCAGTTGTTTGTTGAGAATGCTTTTCGTAACGCACTGCCAAGTCTCTCAACCATCACATAGAAGCACTGACTGACTTGAGTGGACTTAGTGTTGAAAATCCTGATGTTGTTCACGCTTTATGCAGAGTGGAGTGAAGTAGATCTTCACACATTTCAGGCCTGAATATCCAGCTACCTTGTATAAAATCAAGAGAACCGTAGAAAAATTCACAAGAATTACAAACTTCAACATAAAGTCCACTGGTCAGTTCATCATGAACTCTACCTGAATCATAAAATCCCCATCAACCTCAATATACTTTAAGTAGAACTATTAGTTTCCTTTCTTTTGTTTTTGCGTTTTTCTATCACTTTCACACCTTCGTTTCATTTTAATATTACTCTTAAAAATAGGATAAAAACGTGATTGAAATTTTACTTGTACCAGTCTAGTAGAGTCTCTGACTGATTGAATTATTCACTTGACTTTGAACCGGTAGGTCTCTGGTTCGAACCCCACTCCAAGGTTTGCACAGTGAGGTGGTCGTATCGTTAGTGCTAATTCACACACAACAGCTATAGTTGATGCTGAGGGCATTTCGAAATTTTAATTGTATCTGTTTAAATGCTTGATGATCACAACAGTAAACAGAATGATTGATGTCGGTGCGTAGTTAGCACTAGGTAGTATAAAATTAATTGCCCGCTATTATAACCGATCAATGTATAAGTTGATATATCCAACAGTTCACTTATTTTATGCAATGTTAAAACTCCATTTCTTTAAATAAATTAATTGTCAATTACTATATTTTGAAACTTTCAGCATTGTTCTCGTAATATACTTGATAATAAAGGTAAAAGTGGTTCAGGAAGTAGTTTGGATCTTATACAAGATGCAATATCTGATGTTGAGTCTGTGAGTATTCGTAGTATCTAATTGTACTTTTATTTTAAATAAATACTACTACTCGATGTTAATTTATTGAAGTCAACCATTCAAATATCTTGAAGAAACACAGGGAGACAAAATCAAAATAGAACCTGACATAGAAGTGCATCGCTTCAAGTTACTACACTTCACAATAGCATAAAAAGTTAAATTGGGAAAAAATGATATCAGATTGGACGGAGTTGCATTCGAGGAGAAGAAATTTGAGCGATAAAGGTTAGTGAGGTCGTCCAGACTCTTCAGAATGTCAAAGAATGAACACATTTGCGTTGTTGTGACCGATTTTTAGATTTCTCACCAACTGTATTTGAAAATGATGTGACTGTGTCGGGTATGACGTGGGTTGTAATAATAAGTGAACGAGATAATAACGCAGTGAGATACTTGGAGTGGATAACAGTAATATGACTGTTCTTCCGCACACCCTATACCTCACTGAACCGCAAAAATCAGAAGACAAAAGACGGGCCTGTGACTTATTTAAGGAAGACGATTTTGTTTGACAAAAAACTTAGTATTTATATACAGCTGCTGCTTAGAAAATGAAGCCATTAGATCACCAATCAGATGGACATAAATCATGGTCTGAAACGAAAATATTTCTACTCCATCGGTGAGTGACCTTGAACGGTTCCCATTTTTGGCCACTTCCCAACAGGAAATTAAGTAATTTTCTTCGTAATCTCAATCAGGCAATCTGCATCTACATTGCTCAAAGCAGTAGTCAGTGACTTCATGCACTGGTGTCACGTCTTGGTCTGGCCACTCTGAATCGTTCTCCAACCAAATCGTATTTCAATTAACATTGCAGATTGATGAAGATGGTGGTTTGCATGCACAACACATGTCTAGGCCATCTCAATCGTTGAAGATTCAGATCTTCATCAACCGAATTACCTGCCTTACCTCTTACCCTTCCTCCGATCTCAAAATTGCTCACACAATGATTCTACTTTACGCGTGCAGTGCTACGAAGACACATGTGTTCAAAACTTGTGATCTCTTCATTTCTACATTCAACGACTATGTCTCCCACTGTATAGCAGGACAGAACGAACTCCAAGATAGTCAGATATCTTGCTTATCGACTCCAGAACCTATTGGAGGGCAAATATCCAGTCGATTCATTCTCGCGAATGTCTGGAAACTCCTTGGTCTTCTCGCTTTTGTTATTCTCCAGCCCAATTTAGGTGTTGGATAACTAAGGACCCAAAGATCTTGGACATGACGTCAACCAAATTGATTCCCTTATATCTATCACAAGGGAAATATTTCCTACTTTCCGTAAACTTTAATGATCAGGAATGTAGGCCAGTCTGATGTGACCGCCGCCTCTGGTTCGCATATACTACCTACGTTAGTCAACTCAGTAATTTCCTACTTTTTCCCTTGAATACTTTTGGGTCAAACCCTCAGATTATATTGTTTCGCATCGTTTGAGGTCTAAACGGCCTTCTCAACTCCAGGGAGAGTTGAAAGACTGACATCTACGTCCCATTCAGTCTTGAGATGGATGTTAGGCAAGTGAAACGTGATCACAAGCCCATTGGACGTTTTGTACGTCCAAATTTCAAACTTCTTACTTAGTATTCGTCTGAATGATATCTCTTTAATTTTAATAAAACTCCCCTTGTCCATGAAGTTCAGCTATTCATAGACTTTACAACCTTCGAAATGCTGTAATAGATACAATAAGGTATTGATTGTTGTTGGTATTATTTGAGGGGTTTTACTGTCATAATTTCAACGGTTTTTACGTTCAGCAACTTTTTATTCATGGTAGTTAGTATCATCATGTGTAGACCTAGCAGTATATAATTTTTTTAATCATCCTGTGTTACATCAGAATCGGAAATTATGAATTCGGACAGCAATATGTAAATTTTAAAAAGGTATGAATTTTTAGACCAGGTGTTTTTTTTTCATTGCGTGTATTTGAAATAGTGGTGTTAGCTCTGAACATGAATTTATTGGATGAAGTAGAGTTAAATTTTAGATATTTATTACTTGAAGGTACTTAAACATTTTTATATCATGAAAAGATAAAAAGAATGTATCTTGTTTACTGGCGTTTACAAGCATCAGAAGTTGAAAAAAGTATGTTAACCGCTATATAAGAATCAATCAGTATCAGCATAGGACCAGGCATTACTGTTTAACAGTCCAAGTTGCCACACCTCGTATCAGTGCAGCAAGTAATAAAGTAGTAAGATGAATAATGAAGAAAAAAAAGATTAATCGGTCAACAGCAGTAAAAGAGAGGAAGGAGGAATGAGATGTTGAATTCCGTATAGCGACTAAGACGAAGATAAAGTATGAGTATATCTTCGCTAACAACCGTTCCACAGGCATAGCTTGTTGGGTCATTGCGATATACAAGCTTAACTATCACGTTATTGTAAGAGTTATCGGTCGGGATATCAGAAAAAATTTTAAGACTAGATAGAATCTTTGTTACAAATTTTTAACATGAGGAGCACAGAGTACATTCTTCGGCAAAGGAGGTAACTAGGTTGACTAAATTGTAAACCCTCAATGAGTAAAGTGAGTGGAAGGGGTGGTTCTCATGCCGGGTCACCATCTAACGCTATAAGCTATGTTTCAGCCGAAGTCCGGTTAAGTTGGAAAATGGTTTTACTGGGGAACAGTCTGGAACAGGAGATCATCCCATGACGAAGTCTTTGAATTTATGTAAACCTCTGGGGATCGAATCCAGAACCTTCAGGTCCCACGGTCAGTAAGTTATCACTTCAAAAAACTCGAATCGACCGCCACCTGCAAGTCGTCCGGAAATGCCGCCAGCAGCCGCAGAACTCTCAGTTAATACAAACCCTCCGACAAAAGCAGAAGTCCTGAATGCTATAAAGTTACTGGAAGCCAGATAAGCAGCAGGACCAGATGGAATTCCTCCAGAAGCACTGAAAACAGACGCAGAGACAACAGAGGACATGCTCACATCACTACTGCAGAAGGTCTGGAAGATAGGAAAGAAAGGTACCTGGCAATTGATTAGAAGAACGGGTACCTTGTCAAACTTCCAAAGAAGGGCCACCTAAGTCTTTGCAGGAACTGGTGCGGAATCATGCTCCTGTTTACCCAACCAAAATATTAAGCCGCATCATCCTGAAGACAGACTGAAAAATGCTCTACATTCAAAACTACCTCCGGAACAAACTGGCTAGCTTCACGAAGACCAAATCATGTGCGAATCAAATTGCAACGCTACTCTACGCATCATCATAAAACAGAGCATAAAATGGCAGTCAACTGGATCTTTGCCTCAACTTCATCGATTTTGAAAAGGCCTTCGACAGAGTCGACGGAGAAGTAATTTAGCAGCTGCTTCAACACTACTGAGTACCATAAACCTTTATCGACCTCATTCAACAGCTATATGAAAAAGCCACATGCCAAGTGATTCACAATGAAAAGTTCAGTGACGCCTTTAAAGTGAAGACAGGAGTAAGAAAAGGATGTCGCCTATTATTACCGATCATCTTCCTGATTGTGGCCGACTCGACTGGACTGGATCATGCAAGAAACTGTGAGGAGCGATAAGATGGACATAGGCTGTCTGGACTGATGAGAAGACCCCAGAAGAAGATTTGGATTTCGCCGCCGATGATGATTTATATCTAATGTCTTGTCGCACAAACTCGAAGATCTACAGGCAGAAACCAACAAGTTGGCAGAAGAGGTGGGGCAGCGGAGACGGGACTTTTTTCAGGTGAAGGTAGAGAAGACAGAGGTGATGAAGATACCCAACCAACAACAGCATCAGCATCAACAACAAGCACCAATCACCATGAACGGGAAAATCTAAACGAAGTTGTCTCTTTCACCTACCACCTAGGCAAGTAGCAACTTTCCAACTACAGGCGGTGGCACAGGCACAGATAAGGTTGTGAAAGCCAGAATCAGAAAGACAGTAAGACAGGCCTTCATCAATCTGAAATCAGTGTGGAGATCTACTCCACTCCACTCAGCACAAAGCGTGAACAACATCCGGATTTTCAACACTAAATCCACTCAAGTCAGTCAGTGCTTCTGTGTGATGGTTGAGAGATTTGACAGTACGTTATAAAAAACATTTCCAACAAACAACTGCAACAAGGAACTCACTCTAGTTGTCAACGAACCAACCAAGAACCTATCGCCCAACAAATATGCAGAAGAAGGAAGTGGAGATGGATTGGACTGAACATTCACTGAGAAGACTTTTTAGGGACATCACGCATCAGGCCACTTCCTCGAGTGGAATCCAACTGGGAAACGGTGAGTTGGGCGTCGTAGTCGAGGGTGACTACATGGGGAGATGGTGTGAAGAAGAAATGAAAGCTTGTGGGCAGTCGTGTAGCTTGGTAAAAAGACTGTAGAGAAGTGAGTGAAATGGAGACGTGCTACTGAAGCCCTATGTTCCTCTAGGAACCAAAAGGACAGGTATTAAAATAACAATAAACGTTACAATTGAGCCACTCGTTCGGAATCCACCGGTATATGTAACCTCCTCCGTCCATTGTCGTCACATCCGATTTATTTGACGCGACCATTCACGATGTCTCATTAAAACGTCGAGAATCTCATCACGAAATAAGTCAGTAATGACCACTAGATTAGTTCAATTTGGACGTTTCGGAGGATTTCCTGCTCTCTTTGAGGTTGGTATTCATGGTTATCCCTGGCAGGATCATTGGTGTGCACTGGTGAGGAGGCCTATACTCGGACGAAACAGCTGTCCACTGCTCCCAGATTTTTAACTCTTTATTAACTGATGTCAGTCTATATTGAATACCAACCTTAAAGTGTTTGGAAGTTATGAAGGTGACTTTGATTTACTCTCCAGTTTTTGTTTACAGTTCAATGTTTGCCCCAGTGCATATCATTAGTGAAGAATGCCAAATATTTATTTAGTTCATTTTTTAGGTATTTACTTTTCACAGCATTTAATCATCCGTCCATAAAGTTACGATCTATGAGGACTGGTTTGTGTTTAGATAAGTTAGCATTTACTAGCAAAATGCCTTTTCAGTTTCTAGTGAAATGTTGTCCTATCAGAAATTCAGATGCTCATTCCCTTTTACTTTATGTTCCGGTTCTCTTTTCATTTTGAATAATGGGATGGTTGAATATCATTCTTTCTTCAGTTAGCATATATTTTCACATTTCTCTATTGGATCGCATAATCAAAAGTTGTTTTCCATGTTTATTAGTACTGAAAATATTTCTTTCTTTTAGGTGCCATCATCGCCACTCAAAAATTTCAATCCCAAAAGATCGTCAGCTGTTGATATTCCGTCGAATATTTCAAGAAGTTCTAAAAATAATGATTCATTTGCAAGACGTATGGAACAGACAATTAATGATGGTGTCATACCTGTTCAGCCATGTCGTATTGTACACAACAACGGTAATAGTACTAAGCAGAAAACAATTGTTATATCAAAAGACATAAGACCATCCAATCCTATCAGTTCTCCTAGTACTTCTCCTACTGCCTATAAAAGTAAGGAGATCCTGTCAGTTGATAAGACCCAATTGTATCCAGATTTATCTAACCAGTTGAAATCAACTATGGATGAAACGCATACTCCTTTTCGACCGTCAAGCCTTTCAGACGATTTTGTTTTTATTGATCCATCCACTGTACCTGCATTGAATTATTCAACACCGAAAGAGAAAATCCGTTGTCTACTACAACCAAGTATGAAGATTTCTGAATGTGTTCAAACATCATTACCAAGTTTTGATATACACGAAAATTTTTATAGTCCACCTAGTTCAGCTTCACAGACTAAAAGTCATCTTATCAATCGATGGAATCGTTTATTTACAGATCCTGTAAAGATATATCCCCATCCTTTATTAGCTATAACACTATATGATGTTTCTTTTGAATGGAATATATACGGTGGAAATGATCTGATACCATCATCAGCGACTTCATCAGGTCAGACATTTAATTCTATTTTGACTAGTTATAAATTATACTTACGTTGTTTTTCTCTGTCTAACTTGACTGACTGCCCAAACCCGTAGAAATAATGACAGTAGAAATGTTGCAATATATATATTCAGCCAGGTTTCCTCTTCAAATCTGTTACTTTAATTTAGCTATTGAAAGCTCAGTTTCTAAGTATAATAGTGTTTCAGTATATAGTCTCTTTTATATGATAACATATATAAAACAATCCGAAGATTTTACTACCTCCGCAACAAACACAGAGAGACAAATTCAACATAAAACCTTGCACTCAAGTACATCGATTCAAGTTGCTACACATCACAGTAGTATACAAAGACCACGAGGACAACATGAGAATGATATCAAGACAAACAAAGTTATGTGAGAAAATAAGAAATCTGAAGATAAAGGCTAGTGTGAATATTTAAGCTTCAGAAGACACTGAGGAGTGAATATATCTGCACCACTGTGAACTATTATCAGTCTGGACCCTGTTTCAACTTAATCCAGCTTCCCTTAGTTTGGAAACTTGAGGTAGGCGGTGATTCGGCATGCACAGTATATGTCCAAGAAGTGAATATATCTGGGTGACTCAGGCCAATTTTCAGCCATGTTACCAAGATTCCTCAACCGCTGGTTCTTATCGTGTCGGGGACCCTAGCCAGGGTGTCTGCATCTCCCCAACAATGAGAAACTTTATGGGCTGGTGTCACAGCTTTGTCTGGTCAATCTGAATCCTCTTTCAACCACACACCTGAAAAATATATGAAGGGGATGTGAAAGATATAAACCACATCTCGAAACTGTAAAGTTATCGTGAAATGATTATAAACAGTCACTTTTCTCTGAAAAGTTATCCAGTGATTTATATGTAGACTGTCATTATATTTATTGTTATACTTGTAATTCTCCGTTGTTTTTCCAGTTTAATTATGAGTTGGACAAGGTGTCAAGAATATGCATTTCTGATTATAGATTTTAAGCATTTCTCAACTGTATTTTCACAGAGATTCTCACCAAAAACACCACTTATTTCAAGATTATATGTTATACTTTCCGTCATGTGTCATTTAAGCAAGTCGGCGAAACAATATAGGTTTTTAAACATAGCCCACACTATTTAACCAGATCAGTTTTATGTTTAAACACAATCGTTTCACCGTAATACTAAATAAATCCACCAACTATATAACTGAATATATTTATCTTCGACTGTTGCACCGTCTAAACCAAAGGATCTAGGATGCACGTTTCGTTCCATCTAGGACTCATCGGCTGGATTTGCGTGCACCTCAGTGTAGAGTGGCGTTGTTCCCGCTGAGGCTCGAACCTAGTGCCCTCCATTCCAAACGCCATAGCCTTATCCTCTCAGCCACTGGGGCATGAAAGCCAACAAGTGTCAGTATCAACAGAAATCGAGCAATGCAGCCCTATGTAGCATCGGGAAATTACAAGTATTATAATAACAGCTGATACCCGTTGCACAAGATGTAACTTAGTGCATAACGCTCTAGCATTTGAAGCGAAGGGAGCTGGATTCTAGTCTCAATGGGAACAGCATCACTCCGCACTGAGATGCAGGTACATCCAGCTGACGAGTCTTAAATAGGACGAAACGCGTATCCTGGATCCCTATGCTAGTCACTGAGATCATTGTAACCAAACAACTTCGGCCGAAAGTGTACATTAGGCGTCTTAGTAAAAACGTTACATCATTTTGCAGACAGTATGAAAAGTTCTTTTGTTTGAGCATTAAATTGCTTATGAAGTTAAGCCCTGAGCAATAGTTTAGTTCGAATCTGGCTTCAAATGTTGCCCTACGAAGTTATATAGTCAACAAATATAACTTCACTGAATATTTCAACAATGCTCTTCTAAGTAGTTGGTTTATTATGATACTATGCACTCCTTATCGTTACTATCTTCTGTATTTCAAAGTAGTATTTGTCACGGACTGACATCAGTTGAAGAATCGTGGAAAACCAGGGAGTACTGAGCAGCTGTTTCGTCTTAGTATGGGTCTCCTCAGTAAAGCGTGCCAAGGACTGGCGAGCGTGTTGCCATCCGCCTACTGAGTGGGAATATAATAGTCCATATTTTCGTACTTCTGTCATTTCACGATGTAGTGCGACTGTCATCCAACACCATCGCCGAGTATTCATTCTGACATACGACTTGGTTGACACCACAGGTCATGCCTTCTCACTTGGAAATAACAGCTGTCCAGGGCCTCCAGGTTTACAGTGGTTCTCCAGGTGATGTCAGTTCATGAGGAATACTACCGTGAAATCAGCAAATCGTAGCGAACCTGTAAGCTGATTTATCTTCTGTATATTTGGTGTGTTTTTTTGAATTTTGAGTTCTTTTTTCTTATTATATTCTTAGTTCCATCATTATATTATTCATCTTTTAGGCAGTATTCCTCCAAATGAAATTTCGATTCCTGTTAGGTCGCTGAACAAATCTCCAACACCATCTTCACCACTGAAAAATACCTCAGACAAACTTATAACACCATCTCATTCAAATGAATCACCTGTGAGCAATAAAACTACCACAAATACATGGCCTAATGCCACTAATACCGGAAATCTTTCATCTCCTAATCAGATGTCAAAAGTATGCCCTAAACCAGGTTATCGTTTCCGTCATGGCCGACCAGTTATACATGAACCAGGTCCTGCGGGTACCAGTGGTGGTGTTGGCCTAAAGTCAAATAAACCAAAGTCTGAACAAGTTTCATTACAATCCATCAGTGATCCTAGGAAAGGAATTCGTTCACGTCAACTGCTATATTCACAAGGTGGTCCAGGACGTCAAATTGATAATGTAGGTTTCACTTTACTGTTGTGTGCATACTTGTTTATATGATACGACTAATGATACTGACGTTATCCTACTGTTTCAATGTATTCTCCGAGTTGCGTTGTTAGATTCCGTCTGTTTGCATACACCTTTGTCTACTTTGATATCATTCTTTTTCTACCCACTTGTTATTTGTACACTATTGTGAAGTGTGGCAACTTGAGGCGACACACTTGTGTGGAAGGTTCTATTCAGAGTTTTGCCTGTCTGTCTGAGTTTTTTAAATATTAACTTGACATCTATAAACACCTATTAATATGGGAGTAATTTGTGCAGTTACCTGATGAGAATATGGACAATGAATTATGTCCGAAACACCATCCAGTAGAGGATACTATTTCACTGTGTTATTTCTAATAAACAGACTAAATTGTGTACAGTTTGTTTTCGGGTGTGTGATTGTTATTGGGTTGTGATGAAAAGCCGCTCAGCACAGGCCAGTTCCTCCATTCCGAATGGAAACGCTTTCACCTGCCATTCTCTGTCCTATTTGACGATCGAACATGGAGGCGGGCAAGTCCTCATGAACAGAAAGGACAAGGCGCCAGCCAGATAGACAGCCACATACCCACTTCACTCTTGGGACTCGGCTGCATTTATTATCAACGCGGTTGGTTAGCCAGGATCAAGTTTTTTTGACTTCCTGATAATATATACTGACACACGCACCCAGTCAACAGCCTAGTCCTCAGATTCACTACACCATTTGCAAACTATTCACAATACCACTGACAACAACTGCATCTCACAGCTTCACACATCACAGTCACCGAGAAATCAACCAACACTGACACATCTTCCGCCAGACAACCACCATTCACTGCTTCATCTGCGCACATTGCATCCGCTCTATACTACTCTGCAGGCTTATCAGTAGTTGGGAGTGGATGGTCAGGTGAATCGAGTGGAATTCGACTGGATGACTTGGTCACATCTAGGTGTCGTACACTTTGCGACTGAGTCAATTCTTCAGGCACTTGGATGCAGCGAGAAAGGCCGGAGAAGTGGTGTGGGTTGAGGATGTCAGAGGATGATGAGTAGGAGGGAGTGAGTGAGAGTTGATGGTTGAATATGAATGAGTGTGATTAGGAGGGTTGTTGTGCAGAGTGTTTGGCTTCGGTTTGATGTGGATGTGATGTATTGAGTAGGTGAAAGGGGTTGTTTAATGATTGGGTGATGTGTGTTTGTTTATTGTTTCTAGTGTGGGGTATTATGTAAAATCAATGAGGTGTGCGGGATGGATTGGGTCTGTGTAAGCATTCTGTGTTACTTGTGATGTGTTAATTGTTGAATGGATGAATATGACTAAGCAGTTGGATTTTCTTGTGATATGATGTGATGTTTAGGATAATGTGAAGTGATTGTTGTGCATAGGTATTGATATGTTATGTTTGTTGAAAGTGTTATGTTGTTGAGTGAGGAGGTAAAGGTTGGTTGTATAGATATGAATACGGACAATAACTTACGTCTGAAACACTATCCATTTTAAGGATACTTTTTCAATGTGTGAAATTTCTAATAAACAGACTGAAGTGGAATTATAAGCACTTAGTCATTGAGATGCTTGTCTGAGGTAGTTATGGTTTTCCAGACTGGAATTATTAATGCTGGATGATTATTGAAGGTGAAATAAAAACCTAGCTCGCAGTTTTCCCAGCTATCCTCAATTATGATCAATATGGCTTTTCCTTTCTCTAATTCAGCTTGAATTAGATAAGGATGAGAAGTTTTGTCTGGCAACCACTGTGATTACAATGAACGGAAGATTACGCATCATGAATTCACATAGTGACCAGATAGAAGCCTCGATAAATGATATGAAGATAAGATCTAGTTACCAGCTTTGTCTCGTAGCTCTCAGTTTGTAGTTTGCCGTGCGGGTAACAGGAAGTTCACTGGTTCGGATTGTGTTTTGACTCTGATTTCTATCTCATCCGTAATCATCACGGAGTATCAGAAAATTTTTATTGGTTTTATATCCACTAAGTTGAATCGTATAACTTATCTTAATAATCTAGTAAAATGAATCATGGAACGTTCTCAACTTGTTATTGCTTGGCTTTTGTAATCAGTTTGTCTCTTTTCAAGCATTTCTCTCGACTATAATTTTTTCGTACTGGAGCTAACTGATCGACCTCTGCTGGCATATGAGCTCCGACTTGGACACCTGAATACTGCTTGAATATTCATTGTAATTAACTAAAAGTACCAAAAAATAATAATATAGAATGGTTTGCTGAACGAAACTATCACCCGGTTAGAATTATATTGTCGTTACATGGATTGATTGATTGATGAGAATGCTGTTCTCAGTGAGTTCAATAGTGTTCATCCGGCAATTAAACTACACAATAGAAGAGGAGCAAAATGACAGTATCCCATTTCTCGATGTCCTGCTGGTAAGAAGGTTAGATAGAACTCTGAAACGAAGTGTATATAGAAAGCCAACATCGGCAGGTCAATACATGAACTTCTTTTGTGCCATACCCTCCAATACAAAAAGAACCTGGTGAACCATCTTGAATACCGTACCACAGCTACTTGCTCTGATGATGCTATGGAGAAAGAGTTCGCCACCATCCTTAACTTACTTAGTAGGAATGACTATCCAACGAAGTTTGTAACTGAATATATGAATGTTACGAAGGTTAAGACAAGAACGCTAACAGTTCCTAATAAGAAAATCTTCTTGAAGCTGAAATTGAAGAGTGACACTGCCAGTCAGATCATCCATCATTCAATGCATAAAAAGAGCCTTCCAAACAGCATTCCTAACCGCTATATCATGTCCCATCTTCTACGACTGCGCTATTCTGGGTTCAAGAAATAAAGATAAACTGCCTGATTCGACCATCTCATATGCATTTATCAGTTCAACTCTTCCTGTGGAGCTAGTTACTTTTGATGTACAATGAATGTACAATGAGACAGGTCCATCATTGAACTTGTGAGCACCACCCATTATGGTTGAGTAAGGGAAAAATCAGAACAGTGAAGAGCGCCATACTCGCACACTTAGTTGACACTGGACCCCAAGTGGATACTAGGAAGGCATTGAAAATTATTCATTATTATCCCATGATGTCTTGTGGGGTCATAGGTGCGCACTGCTGAAGAGTCGCATACTAGACGAAGCATCTGTTGAGTGCTTTCAAGTTCCCAGTGTTCTTCCGACTGATGTCATTCTATGATGAATACAAACTTGCAAAATCATCTAGTCCCCACAAATCCCCAAATTGAATATTCCAATTAATTTATCACTTGTATTACGCATTCTCTTACTTCACTTATCAAGGGCGATTGCAGTCCACCTTTACAAACCTTAGCTTTCTTGTTTGTATTGTGTTCTCTGAGCTGGGTTGTTTAATCATGAAGCTTCCATCTTCTTTCTAGGCGACATCATCAGCACTAACTTCAGTATAAAGTGAGCTGTCAATATCTCTCCATGAGTGATTTAGTACCTTGCCGTGACGAAGTGGTTTGTGGTTGGTCGTTTTCTCTAATTGTTGTGTCATTTACTGACTGCATAGATTTCCTATGGGCCGTGTGTCTTCATTGAGCAGGAGGGACATAGTTCATCAGGGCAACCTATTAAATCACTCACAGCGAGAGATTGATAGCTCACTTCGTACTGAAGTTAGTGTTGATGATATTGTCTAGAAAGACGATGAAAGCTTCATGATTAAACAACCTAGCTCAGAGAACACAATACAACCAAGACGATCTACCTGAGCTACAAATATTCTCCGCTATTTCAAAACCTTACCTTTGTATCCAAAAGAAGTTCGTTCTCCCACTTTCATTACCTGGCCGTCAACATGATGTAACCTCTAGTATTGCTTTGTACACCCTTTCCCCTTCTTGTTCCTATCAATATTCATTTATTTTCTTATTCTTATTCCTTCATAATTAATTATTGTTTTTATGACTGATCACTCGTCAGAAACCACTCCATTTACTATGTAACTTATCTAAGAATAACCTGCTTCATATTACGAATTTTGATTACTCTGTTGATGAATTGTATCTTACTTTCTCAAACTTATCATCTTCATGACTTGCTTAAAATCTCTAATTGTTTTTCACCAACTCCACCCCTACCACTTGGTTGATATCTTCATTGAATTGTAATCTATATATTAGTTCAGAGCCCAAGACGAAGACCTAATTGAAAAGGAGTATACTTTTTCTCTCAATTAGTGTTTTTTCGAAATAATGATAAATAATACCCGTTGTACAAGAATTGGATATTGGGCCTCAGTGGCCTAATGGATAACACGTTGGCATTGGGAACGATCAGTGTGCGGTCGCAATCCCAGTGGGAACCCCATTACTGACTGGGGTGTAGCTACGTGCAGCTGGCGAGTCTCAAACAGAAGGAAACGCACGTCTTGAACTTCACTACTAGCCACGACCTAGTCAATTATTCATCTTGACTGTTATCATACACTGAGCGTGTACAGCTCTATTGCGTAGTACGTGATATTAAACGTGATGGCTGGGTTATATTTCATTCAATTCACTTTTATAAGCGTTTATCATGTGTGATGACGGATGTAGGAAGGTTGATGTCAACAGCATTTTAATTGATGAGTGTTTACAAATCATCATACAACGAGACTAGTACACTATACCATTTTAGTAATAGGATTAACATTATTACCTAGGTGCCTAGCTTGCAACGATATCTGAATTCATTACTTCCAGACTACAGAGTCAACTTTATGAACTTCTGACGCTCAACTCGACATACAGCAGACTGAAGATGGCTTCCTTTGGATGAGTGATATTGTTCTGTTCCGATAATTTTCGAGATAGTTTCACACTAAAAGTGACCTCATCAGCTAACAGCTTTCGCACTGGTCTTGTAGTTGTAGTTTTCCTGCGTCCATTCAGGTACAGACATACACGTATTCGAGCCACAGCATAGTCGCTATCCAAACATGTACTCCAAAAGGATTTTCAATCTCAACGACCGTCTCCAGGGATAATTCATAGTCAAATCATCTATCTGTATCCACCGTTGTATTGAGGTCAGTAGACCACGTCAGACGATGTCACTCTTTGTATCTGAAATTCGTGCTGCGATTGGCGTTATTTGTCCATTCTGTTAGGATTCCGAGATGCCTTTCTGTCTGACTTAGCTCACCCATTTGTGCATTGTAATCACCTGCAAAAACAACCACGTTTGGGAGTTTATCTTTTTCAGTAGAAGGATACGTAATTTTCGGTAGAACTCATCCGAACTGTTATCAGCGGATGCTTTAGAAAAGATTGCAATGGTGAGGTGCACTATTCCTTTTAGTCTTCGTTGCATCACTCAGTCGAACAGCTCATAGGTAGTTGATTGTCAACTGAGATCCAGTTGAGCACTGAGTCTTCTGCCTTACAACAAAATGCTGTGCGTACACCTGCAAGATCATGAGAATCGAGCGTTGACTGTCCAGAAACTTGAAGGGTGAGTTTTTTAGATTCATTGGATGAGGTGAAGTGAAAATAATCGCACTTGGGTCCAGTGTGCATGTCTCCCAAACACAATACTATCTAGATGCCTATAGTGCAACACAGTTTTTGAATGCATTAAAGAGTCAACTTTTCAGGAACCTCTATTTTCTATTTCTCTTGATATCAGAATCATAAAAGTGAATAACATATTTTTATCTGTTTCACCTATTTGTATTTTTTTTTGTTTAGTGTATTTCATTCAACATCTCAAAATTATACTTTCGTCATGCAAAATTTCCAGCTCGTATGAAAAAGTCAACTAGTCAAAATGGACACCGACAACGACATTCAAATTTATTCAATTTAACTGTTGATCCATTTCAACGTTTAGTTATTCACATTTCATCAATTGTTATATTGGATCGTGTAATGAATTCAAATGTCAATCAGCTTCTTTATTCATATAATAAAATATATTCAACAAGTACTAATCTACTACCTCATAATTCGGATACACCAATGCTACGTATGGTTGTTGTCTGTTGGCCAGTTGTTTCACATCAAATAGAACAAGTTAGTGTTCTCTTACCAGAACAAACTAATCGAAGAGTTGAAGTTGATGAAATCGAACGACGAGATGAAGAAGATGATGATGATGACGATAATGATCAACAAACATCTAAGGAGCATAGTATGAATACACCGCCATCATCGATTGCAAAATCAGAGTATATTTATTTACCAAAACCTAATAATCTTGAAGTAGAAATCAAACTTTCTGTTCAACCGTTGAAAATTAATTTAGATCAGGTAGGTGGTTTGTTTTTGTCGATTTAAAAGTAATCTATATAGTTATAACTCTCTCTAGTTGTATTTGTCTGATTCACATGACTGAACTCGAATCTGTTTACCCAGTCTCATATAGGCAATTTAACTATATAATGAGTCACACAATTGCGACCTCTTAACCGCTTACAGCGAAACACAAAGTCAAGTGATTATTTCAGGTGATTCATCTGTGCGTATGCAACTGAATTACTTGAACACAACGCACCATAATTTCTAGCCGGAATATTGAAATCTGATTGGTTATTATCGTGGCTTTTAAAATTGCCCAATTTCAAGCATACACAAAAAGAATGGGATAATGTACAGAAAGAGATTTCACTCAATATGAAATTAAGAAAAATACAAACCATGGAAAAGTGGATAAGGGCTCAGTTGAAAGCTCTGAAACTGAACTATGCAATAATGTTACCAAGTTAGTTATAAATACAACAATATAACCAATCACACTTATCTGATATCCACATTTTTCACTTTTCGGCTGATATAACATTCATCTGTACTGATTGATACTACCTGAAATATTATTGAATTAAAAAATGTACATAACTTAATCTATCCTTTTAAGCAGAAATTTCATGAGATTTCATTAATAATTGCTTTTTAGGGAAACTGAACAGTCAGGAATGATCATACGATATTATGAATTGATTGAAGTTAAAACATACTGGTATTTAAATCTTCATTCAGCGGCACAATCGTATTATAATCTCCAATTAATTTGAAAAGTCTAAAGTTTTTCATTGTAAACTAAGTGAAGGTATGACTTGTTGGCTATTTCTGAAGTAATTTCATTTTAGTCTGGCTATTAGAAATGCCACACAGAAAGAAGCATTACGAAGAATTCTCAATTAGGTTGGCTGGGATTTAAATGGCATTTACACCAATAAACTCAGTTAGAAACAAGTTTTGTAGGTTAAAAGATCTTATCGATGCAACTAAGTGAAATAATCCAGTTTACCCAATCTGTTGCAATGATTTTGAGGTCAAATACATACGTTGGTCAAAGTAGTCGACTAGAGTCGATCAGAATAGCAGAGCACAAAATCCTAGCTAAATCAACATTAGTAGATCCTAACAAGATAAGAAATTTAAAGAAAAGTTCGGCTATAGCACTGCATGCGATTACACATGATCACTCAGTAGGGTGAGATAGAGCGACAGCGTTATAAACCAACTTAGTTGGGCGAAGGGAAAGAATGATAACCGAATCTTTGTTTATCGAATCAATACCAAATACATGCAATCGAAATGATGCTATACCTGTCCCAGATATATGGAAAATTCTACTACCCGTGTCATCACAGAGAAGAAGAGAAAATTAGGAAAATATAAACTGTGTTTCGAAGTTTAGGGGTAACCTGATATGAATATGGACAATAAATTGTGTCCGAAATGTTATCCAGTAAACGCTACTGTTTCACTGTGATATTTCTAATAATCAAACTAAGATGGAATTACAATCGACCACACTGCCCAAGTTTTACTCCTATATTTATTGCTGAAGTAGAAAAAGCGTTAATGGATTTGTGTTTGTTGATGTCTTTGATAGATTTATTGTTTGATCAACTTCTTCTTAACTGTAGCTTTTCATGAAAATGAAGTTCTCACATCTTTCGTAGATATTTACAGTGGTAGTTAATGATTCAACCTCTGATCGTTTCATCATCTATGTTAGATTGTGTACTTTTTTTAATATATGTCAATTGTTAAACGTTTATCACCTCGAACTTCACTGTCACAGTTTCAGTTCAGGTTACATCAAATTATTTTTATCTTAATAGTAAGAACCCGTTTGCTTGAATTCACCTTAAACCTTTGCTTCAAAGTTGTGTCAATCTCTCTTCTTTCTTACATTTGACAATTTCCTACTTGGATGGAAGCCAACGCTCCTAATCCATTTTCCTACAATAGTTCTCATTACATTTAACTTACAGTAACCAGAACAATATGACAGGCCACCTCTTGGTGTATCTACCAGTTCACCTTCTCCTCTTGAGCAAGATACATCAGCTATAGTCAGAGATTACTGTTAACACGAATACGAGAACATATTCCTGCCTGGTTTTACGAGGGTGAAGGGAAGTGTATTATAAGTTCTATCCTTCAACTTCTAATCGATTCCAACCCTTTCAAGTGACCCAAACAGTGATTTTAAGGTGGTCCATTGAATTCGTTCAAACATCTCACATTTCCTCCGTGTTCAAATTCTAGAAACAGCACAGCCCTTGGCTACCCATGAAGTGAAGCCTGACCTTTGTGTATAGAAGAAGTATGTACAGTCTTTGTCATTACCTTGGCCTTAACTTATTTTGGTCTTGGTGTACTTCATTTCTTTTATGTCTCTCATTGTTTACTTACACTATACGACCCCACAGAAGTACGATTTATCCCATCTAAGTGTGTTGCGTTTATTTTGCAACATCATCGAAGTTGATGACTTGTCTCGTGGATCTGTTTTCAGACAGATCTTAAAGACCTCTGTAATAACGAATGAAATAACCAATCAGTTTCTTTATTACATCTGGAAAGGTGACTTTGTACAGAACTCTAACTGGTTACCTGAAAAGTTGTTAGGATGGCCTTTAAAGTCACTCAAATCTAAAGATCACTATAAGAACAACTGAAATAACCAATTAGACTTCTCTACTTTATGAAAATCTGCTTTTCCAACAGAAATAAAGAAACCTGATTGGTTGGTCCGACAGTTGCTAGCGTGGTCTTTAGAGTCAACTGTTTTTAGTGGGATCATAGATAATTTTAAAGTTTGGATGCATGCTAATCGTTTACTTGTTTGACTGATATGTTTCACGTCTGTATTTCTTCGAATATAATTTACGCTTTTTTAAATAATAGTCACTGATAAAAAAACTGTTCTGTTTGTTACGTTCGCCTTCACTTCTGTGTGGTAAAACCGACGAGATTCGGTGATTAATAGAGGAAAGTTTAGTTTGTTCACTTCAGCCTACACTGTAACCATTTCTTTATTGATTAAAATCATATCTGGCGATATGTTCTGCCCTGAAGATGTACATCTTCAAACACTGACGACCTCATCACCTTACTAAATTGTTTGACATCAGTTTTTATTACTAGTTGAGACCTGTGATATAAGCACATTCATAAATTATTAGAGTTTACAATCCGTCATCACTGAGTGCAATTAGAACCTTACACGTGACTACCACCATTACTAGTTAAGAAACCAAAGACAAACAAATTTTATGATATGTTTTATACTACTTAAAATAAGCACATTGTAGAAAAAATTATTAGGGAAGGAAATTTTTCTGTTCCTTTTTTCCTTCAATTTTTATTTCACACTAAAGGATGGCATTTTTGTATCGAAGGGGAATATGAGACTCATATTTGCTCAGCATTGTCTTAATTGTATTATTTTTTTTAGTGAAAGCACAATATAATCCATTTGAATGAACGAATAATATTCTTTTCGACAACTTCAGGTTCCACAATTATATGTACATATTAAGTAATTATGCGTCAATAATACAGAGATTCTGCTTATTAGTTTGCTAATAATATTATTGTAGAGCTGAGGAAGTCAAATGAGAGAAGTCGTGTGTGAACGTTTATGATAGAATTAGCTGTTACTAGGATTTAATTCTAAATATTTGATTATCTACACGAGTATACGGCTTATATAATAGTATAAGGTTGTAGCTTGATAAAACAGTAGGAAGACGTTTGGGACAGCTAAATTAAATAGACTAAGAAAGATAAAATAGGTTGGGAGAATTTGTCAAAATTATTTTAGATTATAGGGGAGAAAGTGGAGATGGACTGGACATACACTGAGAAGATCATTTGGGAGCATCACGCGCCAGGCCCTCGAATGGAAGCCAAATAGGAAACGACGAGTTGGGTGACCGAGGGTAACATGGAGGCGATCATGTGAGAAAGAAATGAAAGTTTCTGGGCAGACGTAGAGCCAGGTTGAAAAGACTGTAGAGAAGAGAGTGAAACGGCGACCTGCTACTGAAGCCCTATGTTCCAGTAGGAACCCAAGGGACAAAATAATAATAATAATAATAATAATAATAATAATAATAATAATAATAATAATAGAGGAGAAGGGGTATCTTCGGTATGGAATTAGACTATTTGGTCTAGGATGCTAACGAATTTTTGCATCCCGAATCGGACCACCTAATTGTATAGGTAATACTTGCTTCTCTCCAACTCACAATTCGGGTTGTTTGATCCTGTTTCCTACTGCTTCTGCAATTTCAAGAGTCCTGAACCGGGTACCTTTTGGCAAGCTGATCGCAACAAAGTACAGAATGATAAACGACTCATTCATACCCACCAGTATGGAGCTGTTAATGGTCCCTACCGCACCTTCACTTAACCACACCGGGAGGTGTTTACGAGCACGGAAAATTAAATTCCTAGAGTAGCGACCGACGTAACTGCTTCACATGAACAGTTGAACTGATAAACACAACACAGAGTGGCTATTCTAAGCAGTTTGGATTTCACTCTCGGTGTCACCATTGGGCGTATGGAAAACGAAGTTTTTAATTTACCGGGATTAAAAGTACTCTGAATTGATCTACATACTTTATGAGTTGATATCTCGCTGAACACATCACCTCTAAATTGTACCTGAATGCATATAGGTTTTCTGGTAGGAGTTGGAACATCCTTTCTTGCCACTTTTGTAATCATATGTTTCTTTATGAACACATCGGAATAGCTATTTTCGAATACTGTGTTGTGCAAAGCCACCAGTCCTTCCTCAACTGTATCTCCCGAAAACATAGCCTTTATTGTGTAACTTGAAGTTTTTACTACATTTCTGTGGTTCTGAAGGGTGATGAAGCTGAGAAAATGTGTGTACTACCCCGTCCACATACTTTTTCTAAACAGATTCCACTCTACCGACCCATCTTTTTGTCATGGAGAAAATCTTTCTTGGTTTGTGACCTTTCCTCATATGTAAA